CAGAAACACGATCTTGTTTTTTCAGCAAACTTAAAATTACTGAATCATCTGAGTTATAAAAATAAAATTCTGTGAGCGCCTGCTTGAGAACTCAATAGTATATAGAGTAAACAGAAGTGATGAGCTCACACAACCCTGAGGGACATCAGAACTACTATATTTAATTTGGACAAACTATTATTTACTTTGACTGCCTGAGTTCGGTTTGTTAAAAAAAGAGTGATAACATTTAGTAATTGTAGAGTTTATTTCTAACTTTTTTAGTTTCCAAATTGAAACGTGGTTGAACTGTATTAAATGCTGAGCTAAAATCAAAGAAAAGTACACGTGCATATGCATCAGGGCCTTCTAAATGATTTAAAACAAAGTGCAACAGACTATTGATGGCGTCACATGTACCTACTCCTTTGCTATATGCAAACTGAAGTGGATCAAGTGGTCTGCTATAATGGTAATGTATGTTAAAGTATGTTCAGTCAGTAAAGTATGTTCAATATAAAGGATATCTCAAGGGCAAACACTTCAAGTATAAAAGCCTTGTCCGTTTCGCGAGCTGTACGTGCAGTGGGCAGAGGTTCGCTACGCAGCGCCAGATGAAAGTATAAGGGCGTACTCGCACAATGTACAGTTGACTTAAACCGGACCAAAGCACGCTTGTCCCCTCTCCCATCTCCCCCGACGGCCCGCACTCACATTACCATCGGGCCTGGGCACGCTTATGTCTCGCTCAGCACAGTGGAGATTTCTCTACATCGCTTTAGTCCTTAGGAACGCGGTGACACACAGTCAGATATTTCGCTGAACAGATCAGCCACTTTTGACGCTCATAAACAATCATAAAGCCCTCGTGCTGCAGGAATTAGGAGGTTTGCTGAAGGTGCAGCTGTCGTACAGTGAGGGGTTTGCGCATTTAATAAACTACGGCAGTTTGTGTTCACTAAACAATAAGAATGATTAATTAATCCATATGAAAAGGTCTCTTAAAAGTCAGGACTCACTTTCAGTTTTGGGCTTTGCCGCATTTTGCACTCACACACAAGCGCACCGCACCAAAGCCTAAGTGAACCGTGCTCAGGCACACCACTTCCAACCAGGCCAGGGTCGGCCAAGTGAACCGTGCCTGAGCCCGACTCAGAACTCACACTTCCCAAACAATCCGGGAAACGGGCCTGGGCACGGTACGGATATCATAGTGTGAGTAGGCCCTAAATCTGTCTTGAGACTGCTTGCCCAACGACCTGGCCCCAGAAAATGAAAATGAAATGAATGTTTGAATTAGATCATTCAAATTAATCGGAATTAGCCACAAAATCAAAAAGTTACGAATTGCAGTGAGATTGTGTTGAAATGCAGTGTGGTAAAATATATGCTTTGAACCAATTTCAATTTTCAACTAAAGGTTTTGCATTTTGAAATGTCTAATAGTCTTATGATAAGTGCAGATACCTTTAAATTGTAGATATGTTTGCATTAAATCTTTAGTGTTTTTAGCTTTCTTAATGCTCTACTAAAAAAGCGTGAGCTGATTTTTAAGCTTTAAGCATTAATAATTGCTTTGGCTTAAAAACAGAAAAACACCCCCCCACTGGCACATCTTTTATGCATTTCCCACTTTAGGTTTGTGAAGTTGAGTCGCGTGTGTTGTAGACAAATCATCATTGCTTTTATTTAGACTATAAAGAGGTTACCAGTCTTTGATTTAAGCAACAGTCCTCCACAACACAGTATAAGAGTGAATGTGCGCAATTAAATCAACTCTCATTCCTTGATGTCTGCTGTATTTTTCAGTCGGTCACAAAATGCAATGCTTTACCTCATATATATTAGCAGTTTGAAGCTCTGTCATGCGGAAGTAGACTGAAGATGAGGCTGAGATGCTGCTCAAATGGACCCCATCCAGAAAGAGTCAAATCCTTTGAAAATCTTTTTAAAATGCTAAGCAGAGAATACCCGCCACAAAGGCTCATGGCAAAATGGCAAACTCAAAGTCTTTGCCTAAAGAAAAACCTCAAATTGGCATTCCTTTGAAAGCACGAATAGAGATGTCCAATACTAATGCAGAGAATGCATTGCTGATCTAACCAGTGAGGATACACAGACATCAAACAGCGGTCTCATTCCGACCATAGAGGCGCAAATGGTGACGAGGTTTTCATACTAAACACAAGGCTTAATGAGAGACTCCGATGTGCGTAGGTATCCATCAGATTGTGTAGCTTCCAGCGAACGATTAGGAAAGGAGCCAGAGGGGACCTGTATGAGACGAGTATGAAAGTTTTGCTAAAGTAAACACGCTGTTCTCATCCTGTTCAGACATCCCAGATGACCTGCTAATGAGCTGTAATGCATGATAAATGATACGAGGAAGTAATTAATTAAACGACGTGGTATGCATGAGTTAGCAAACATTTATTTTAACCAATGTATGTTAGGCTATTCCAGCTCACTTAAAGGTATCATTCACGCCAAAATAAATATCTTATATACATTCACTCACCCATAAAGCCATCCATTACTGTATGTAGTGATTCTTTTTTACAGTGGAAGATTAAAGGTGCTATATGATTTCTAAATCCTAAAGATATTATATTTGCAGATATTTAGGAAACATGCGAAGTGAACATATTTATTTGGAAAACAATGCTACAGTCAGTTACTCTGTTTTGATAATGTTTGGTCTCTATAACTAGCCCACTGCCAGTTTACCTGTCACAATCACCAGCGATCTATCCTTGCAGATCGCTGGTATACATGCGGATCACTAAAGTGTTATAAATCTGCCGGTATACGGACTTAAAGTTCCAGTCATGCATCACTCACACGCACCTGTTCCACATTCAGTAGATTACACGCAGTCATGGCTGGGAGCTACTTATGAACTGATTACCTGGACTATATGCACAGCACACATGCACACCTCTTGGCTGAGTTTTGTTTAACTGTGTGTGACATTACTTTGTCAGCGTCCACTTCACATTACATTACCCAATTGTATTTCAGCACCCTGGGTTGCCTTGTTGTAAAACACAGCTTATTTAATTTCAGTTGTGAAGGCTACCAAAATATATTGTGACATGGCCAAACATGTGACTTCCTGGAGAACAGTAACAGTCTCTGAATGGTTTTAATTTTGCAAACAATTCAAATATTACAAACGTAAATATTAGCTGATCAGCTTACACTGCAAAGCTTAATCTTCAGGCATGCTTGCTTCTGTTGGTATTGTCAATCTGGCAACCTGTGTTTGCATCATGGTGGAGTAGGAGGGGCCAAGTGAAAACATACAGTGACAGCAGTACCAAGATTCAGTCCTACATACTTTCAAAGATGTTTTGTGCTCTGGACTGACATGAAACTGCTCAGGACTGTTTGCCAAGTCAATAATAATGTAAATCGTTTCTTTCACAGATGTATAATTTTGCTTTATAAGAACTCAATGTTATGTCAGAAGACATTTTATGTGTACAATAATCTGAATAAATGTTCTACAGAAGAAACAAAAAATCACTTACACTACCTAACAAAATCTTTTCATCGATCCCAGTAAGAAAAACAAATATTAACTTGACTTAGTTGATCATTTAAAAAGTGACAAAGGGTAGATTGACTTTATTAGTAAGTTATTTGAGTTGTCGAAGAGAGATGTATGGATGCGGTTGTCCAAGCTCATGGGAGTCATTCACAATATTCATTCTTTTTCCACTGCATCATAGCTTTATATTTTATACTGTACATTATTTCTATTAAGTGACAAGGCTTTTGTCTAAGCAAAGTCAGACCTTACTGTCCGAATAATTAAAAATCAAGGCATGATCATATTTTAATATGGTAAAATAAGCATAATCTAGAGGCCTTTGCATTTCATATTAGCTACTTCTGATACCAAATGATCAACTTGAAGTCAAGTTATTATTTGTTCTTCCTAAAACGTGGATAGGCAAGACTTTTGTCAGGTAATGTATGTTTGGCATGACCTGAAGATGAACAAACTCACAGCAACTTTTGAGTGAAAATCTCTTCTAAAACTGAAGGTTTAGCCAGACGAAATGCACAAATGCCATTTAAAAGAATTCGATATTAACTGGGGAAGATGACACAGCATGCACTTTATCAATCAATACAGTTACTAAACTGACAAAAAAAGAAACATCTGACCTGACGAAGCAAACAAACAATCCACACCTGAGTTTCATGGTTGGTTGGAATCCAGTTTTTAATAATGAAATGAACCATAAAAAGCACATTTAAAACAATTTCTCACTTTAGTTACAAAAATGGGTCACCGAAAAGGCCTTATCATTGCATTCACAGAAGGTTTCGAACAAAAAGAGGCCTAACAGATATGTATTTTTCCCATTTAAAACAAAATCCCCACCCAAAATATATAAACTTAACTGTATAACCAAGGTATATACAGGGAACACCATACTTGCATCAGTATGGATGTTTTTCAAGATAGATTGAGGTATATGACCGATCTACAACTGGAGAAAAATCCTAAAAAACAAACAAATAGCAAACAAAACTTAAATTAAAGCGAATTAATGGCAAGATTACTTGAATCAAGCACAGGAGACAACATTCGTTGCACGTGCTGTTGAATCTTCCTCTTGAGGTGTTCAAACTGCGAGCGACTTCGGGATGGTCAATATATACAAAGGACTTACATTACAATTAATTAATAATAGGGAACTGTTTGAATGCCGTCTTTTATTTGCGTAATAAAAAGTACACAGTATTCATCCACAAAATATCAGTATTTAATTCTTTATTTTGTTCAGTTAACTTATAACTTATAAACGTTCGTGAGGGATTTGGAATTTAAGAGCCAGATGCAATTGTGATACACATGCAAGTTTTGAAAGTGGATTCAGAAACAACAATAATGTACAAAATAATAATTACAGTTTTATTAAAATACATCCTCTTTCTCATAGCACCTCTTTTTTTTGTATTTTGAACAAGCACCATTGTTGTCGTCTTTTTTTCTTTAGTTTTTCTTTTTTTTTTTTTTTGATTTGCACTGCACCGTTGAGAGGTCCTCCCTTTCATCGACTCTCCAACCGCTTGCCTTGGCTTGACGTTGTCCTTCACCTTTTCGTTCCATAACAGGTTTCATGTCATGTGATCCTTGCCCCACAAGGGCAACAAGTATTTTCCTGGGTAATACATACATACATGGTAAGACGTGTTCGCTACCCCATTTTTTTAATATTCAAAACTTGCATGTGGCAGGAACAGGGCCTCGATGGTTTGATGAGATCAAGAAAGTCTTGCCTCGTGCGCACAACCCGTCCTACCCAGCCAAGTTATTGGTATTTTTTCTTTGTCTGTGTTTTGTTTAGCCAAGGAAGCAGACTGGACCAACTTCAAATCCAAATTTCTGGTTGGGATCCCCAAAGTCAGTGAACTTCACGTCGACGATTGGAACCTGATCAATTTTGGGAGTGTTAATCTCCAGTACTGTCTTTCCATAGCCCTTCCTCACCTGCAGGAAGAGAAAAAGATGATTAGCTCAGTGTGTTTGGGTTAGAGGTGTAACGATACACAATTTGGTACAGGAATTTTGTCTGTAATGCAGTGCTTGTTTTATTTGTGGAACTCGAATAGTTCCCGCATAAAACATATCAGTTGTTGAAGCTTGAGTTTGTTCAGCTTCTGTCCCGCTCTTTGAGCACACTAAACATACTTCACATATGATCAAGTGTGTGAAGTTACACTTGAGCTTCTCATGCACACTTAATTATCAATCATTGCTTGACATTGCAGCCTGCAGTTATCAATAGAAAATATAGTCAAACAATCCTGTATGCAAGGAAAAAGTGACACTGCAGGACAAAAATGCTTAGATGCTCAGTTTTTCAGTCTGTGTACAAATATTAGGCACCGTTTAGACTAATATGTTCTAGTTTTAAGTGAAGTTTATTTATAGACTAATTTCAATAGGATCCCTTGCTTCTGAGTGAACACAGCTGGTCAATCATTACCCAATTCATGATTCACCAATCAGACAATTTCTAAGTCACTATAAATAACCTACGTTTCATATGACAGCCATCTTCGTCCCTTTCACTCCTACTCTTCCTACTTTCTTAGATGGGTGGCACAGTGGCCCAGTGGTTAGCACTGTCACCTCACAGCAAGATAGTCACTGGTTCTATTCCTTACCAAGCCAGCTGACGTTTCTGTGTGGAGTTTATACGTTCTCCTCGTGCTCACATGGGTTTCCCTTATGCCCCTCGGTTTCCACCCACCGTCCAAACCCACCGTCCAAAAAACATACAACTTAAGTTAATTGACTGATCCAAATCAGCACCATAGACATGCTCCGAGTAAGTAGTTATCTTTTAAGAGCAATCCCTATCTGTGCATTAGCTACTACAGCAGGGGAGTTTCAAGATCTACCTGAGCTCAAACTCCCCCCTCGCCCTGCAATGGGAGGGAGCCCTGGGCTCAATGATCTTATGAGCTCAGGGCTCTCTCACGGGACAGCATGCCAAACACACTTTATAATCAATCATCAGCTAAGTGTGAACTCTTGAAAATTACTCTAGAAATATGATTCATTATCATCATCAATATCATATCATTATCATGCTGAAAAATAAAACTATTACAAAATAGGTGCTTTCTAGTAGGAACTACATGAAGAATCAAAACATGTCTGTGCTTTTCAGTATTCACAATCCCATTAATTCTGGCAATATTGACAACAGCTCTTCACATTTTTTCTTCTATCTTTCTCTAACTTTTTTTTATTGTTTCTTAAATAATTATACACAAAAAATCCAACTAGAACCCATATTATCTGTTTGAATTTTAATAAAAAAAGAATAAAAAGTAATATATAAAAATACTTAAACAACAAATGTAACTGGGGGCCTAGGACTTTTGCACAATACTACAGTATGTATAATAACCCAATATTTAATAATAGTTAGTTAGTTAAGAGTTAGTTTTCATCCTTTCATCCTTGTGTGAAAGCTTGACAGTAAAATATTATATATATATAAATATATAATTTATTCTTCTTATTATTAACAAACACACTTTATAATCAATCATCAGCTAAGTGTACACTCTTGAAAATGGTGTTTAAGAATGAAAAACGATTCACATCCACACGGACGTTTCACCTAGAGTTTCTGAAAAGATCTGCGTCCACACTACACCACTGAAAACACACATCTGCAGAACGTCTGAGCTCTAGGCATTCAGCAGGCACCTCCACAGATTTGAGCAGGGCACATTGAACAGTTCATTGAGGATATACTGCTAGATTTCATCTCACTATAGTTCTTAAGCGTGATATTTAATTCATCTTGCCTCTATTTTACAACCCTTTGGTCTTTTGAGTCTGATACTTGTTGGCTGAGCATAAAGATACATTAATATAGTAATTTAACCATGTACACTGATTTTGCACATTTGACTGATTGCTTGCCTTTATTTCCTATATTGTATAAAACTTATTGTACGTTATACTTTTATAATGGCCATTATTGATTATAAAAACTAAATTTGCAGCAAAGAAGTAGGCTATGTTTCATTTTTTCAATGAAGATGAAAGGAGGCAGTTCTTTTATAGGCTCCGTTTTGTTATCAAAATGCTTACAGTGAAGATGACAGTCATATAAACATGTAGCTACACGACGCCTCAACATTTTTGGTGTCTGTTAAGTTAATATTAAAATGAAAATAGGCAGTTCCTTATATCATGTTTTCATTTTATTGTTAAGCCAGGGTGATGTGAATGAGGTTATAAAGTACACTGTTCGCTTTGAAGATATACCCGACGTGTCCTCAGGAGTTTGGAGTCTGAACTCAAGGAAAGAGTACAAGACTGAACTTTGTGCACTTAATATAGAGAAAAATCCACAATCAGAGAGGCGAATGTCGGCAGCCACACCTCCATTTTCAGATGTCTCCGTTTTCAGAGCTTGATAACTCCGTGGTGGAAGGCATAACCATAGCAAAACTTATGCGTTATAAAACTAAAACGTAATAGTGTAAACAAAGTTTTAAGTTTAGGATTAGTTGCATGTAATTCTGCATTATTAATTATAATTACATGGAACGTATTACAAGGACACCTTGAAATAAAGTGTTACCTTCTAGAGGTCACACTTAGCCGATGATTGATAAATAAAGCGTGTCTGGCATGCTGTCCCGGGAGAGAGCCCTGAGCTTGGAAGAAGAGTTTCGAGAGGTTTATTCATTTGGCCTATTCCTTTGTTTATCAGGGGTTGCCACAATTGAATGAACCGCTGACTATTTGAGCATATGTTTATGCAGTGGATGCCCTTACGTTCGTAACCTATTGTTAAAACACTCATACGCAACGTGGATCAGTGGATTCTTCAAGACGAAGATGACTAAGCTAACAAAATCTGGTTATTTATGTGTGTATTGGATTCGTCTGATTGGTAAATCAAGTGATAGCTAAAGTGGGACCAGCTGTGGTCAATCATATGCACGTGATCTGCTCGAAATTAGTTTATAAATAAACTTTGTTTCAATTCATTACTACACATGTACAGCATGATGGTGGTCTTACCGCACAGCCGTCTGACAGGGCCTTGATGTAGGGGTTGTTGTCGTATGAGATCTCCTCGTCGTTGGAGCCGAGGAAGTGTAATGCTCTGTCATAGCTGTCCGTAGTGGCGTCGTGCCAGGCCACTGACTGGTGGCAGCTGTAGGTCAGGTTTTGCCTGGCGGAGGCTGTCAGTAGTTTGAGGAACGTCATCTGGACCATGTTTATCGAGTTGCCTTCTGCGTCCACGTATGAAAGCTTGAAGGGAAAATGAAAATGTTATGTTTTTTCTTTTGTTTTTATATGTGACACAAAATAGACACACCTAGGCCACCATCAGCTTTGGGAGCCTAATACTTTTCTAAGATCTTTTCTAAAAGGTATCTAATCCAAAAATCTAAAAGGTATGGAGCAAGTGCAGGGTCATTACTTTTGGGTGAACTATACTTTGTACACAATATGTACACAATATTCAGAACAAAATTACTTTTGAAATCAAAAGACTAGCAGCTTGTTGAACGCAACCTCTTTTGCACCAAGTTACAGCTTAAACGTTTTTTTAAGTCTTTTCTGAAATGATGTGCTGTTTATTATCAACCATCTTTCAGCATTTCTAAGAGATCTTCCTTAGATTTAGCATGTTCTATCTTTCGTTTTCTCTCCAGGTAAATCTCACACTGCCTATAATATTGCCTACACATACTGTATACCGTATAATATTCAGGTCTGGACTCTGTGGAGGCCATTTCATGATTGTCTTTGTTTCATCAGCTGTTTTACTCTCCAAATATGATTTCATAACATTAGCACTGTGTTTGAGATCATCATCATGCTGAAAAATAAAACTATTACAAAATAGGTGCTTTCTAGTAGGAACTACATTAGGAATCAAAACCTGTATGTGCTTAGTTTGTATTTTAATAAAGAGAATGAAAAGTAATATATATATATATATATATATATATATATATATATATATATATATATATATATATATATATATATATATATATATATATATTGTCATTATACCCTCACTAAAACAACAGATGTAACTGGGGGCCTAAGACTTTTGCACAATACTGTATATATTAACCTGATATTTAATATCGAGAAATATGAAATAGGTATTTAAATATACAGTATTAAATTCATGTTGACAGGCACCATTGAATAGATTTATAGCTGGCAAAGCTGGAACTGTAAATAATAGAACAACTATTGCTTCTGACAAAGTAGAAAACAGTCAGAACAGAAGCACAAAGCTATAGCGTTTCACCGAGGTGCAGGAACGCCTTTAAAACCCTCAACCGCATCAAATATAAATGTGATGTGTATGTCTGCAGAGACGTGTTTGTGTGCGATTGTATGTATGTGTGTGCGTATGTCTGTGCAGAGGCGTATGAGTGTCTGTTTGTGCGTGCATGTCTGTGCTGAGACGTTTGTGTATGTGTGGTTCTGACATTCATTATGTAGTGGAGAGCAAATGTCTCCACAAATATCCACAAAAGCATCTTTGGTCCCCATGAGGAAAACGGATCATAAACCATCCATTATTTTGACATGTAAAATTGCTGAATGTTAATAATAATAGTAATAATAACAAATAAATAGTAATAAAATTAACAATTAATAAAATGCGGTTCACACTTTATTTTAAAGAACAATTTACACCATTAACAAACCATTAACTTATACTTTTTGCTCAATAAACCTCTAATTTGCTGCCTAAATATACACTCACTGGCCACTTTATTAGGTACACCTGTCCAATCTTCTGATAGCTACTTCCAGCAGGATAACGCGGCATGTCATAAAGCATGAATCATCTCAGATTGGTTTCATAAACATGAAAATGAGTTCACTGTACTCAAATGGCCTTCAAAGTCACCCGATCTCAATCCAATAGAGCACCTTTGGGATGTGGTGGAATGGGAGATTCAAATCATGGATCCACAGCCGATTAATCTCCAGCAACTGCATATGCTATCATGTTAACATGGACCAAAATCTCATGAGGAACGTTTCCAGTACCTTGTTGAATCTATGCCATGAAGGATTAATCAGTTCTGAAGACAAGCCAGGGTCCAACTTACTACTAGTAAGATGTACCTATTAAAGTGACCATTGAGTGTGGTTAGTAAGGTATTAGCTGGATTTAGCTGTTGGCTAGGATGTAAAAGAAGATCATACTTAATAAGTTCTAATAAACAGTTAATGTCTTATAGGTAATGAACTAGTAGACAATGGTGTGAAGTTTTACTTAAACTAAAGTTTTACCATAGTACGTTCTACATATACAGCCCCTTTCCAGGGCTCAGAGATGCTTTACAGTGTACGTATATGTATGTGTGTGTTCAGTTTGTTGATGGATGCAGGGCTGCAGTGACAGCATCTTTTAAAAGCCGAGCTCTTACTGGTGTCTGTCCATTGGTGAAGTAAAGAAAAAAGACGGAGCAGACCACTCAGGTCCTTTTAGATTCCAAGGACAAGATGATGTTTTTCATAAAGGAGAAGATGAAAGAAAGACGGGGAAGTGCACTTACTATTTTGCCACGCTTAAATTCACTGAACCAGGAGCCGGGCACCTCTTTGGGCCATGAAGATATTCTCACCTTAAAGAAGAGACAAAGAAAAATGTGAAAACATAATGGCAAAAGAGCAGCTGTGTGCGTGGTTTTGTATGCACGGCAAACTTGCTTCAGCAGAACATTAAATAAAATTAAAGCCTATTTTTTTTTCCATACAGCATCTGTTCCAACGATTGGAATGAAATGAAAATGCATCTCTCTGAAATTACGGCTTTGTTTAACGCAGCATGAGCGAAGCAGATTATTTTAATACTGGGAATGAGCTTTTGATCTAATTTTAATCTGTTTTTGATCTTTCAGATCTGAATGCACAGATGAACATTACAAGATGAGACTGTTGAAAGACAAAACATTTCAGGTAAAAAAAGTTGCAATATTGTGAGAAGTAAATCTTTAGTCAAAACAGACATATATATTTTACTCCAATATCAGAAATCAAAAGATGACAACTTATATTTACTTTTTGAATGACCACAATGGTCTTTACAATACCTTTGTGATATTATTTTCAAGCATTTTTTACACACACACACACACACACACACACACACACACATATATATATATATATATATATATATATATATATATATATATATATATTCACACAACAGTTTTGTCTGGTTCTGGGTTCTGATTGGCTAATAACCGTGCAATATTCTGCAATATTAAAACTCATACAGCCTCCTCACTCTTGTGTATTATTCCGCCCACAAAGAGTGACAGCAGATTATTACAGCTGTGACCTGTGGCTAGATATATTTTAAGTTTTGAACAGTTCAAAGCTTTTTGTAAAAACAAGTGGTTTGAAAGGTTGAAGCAAATAATAAAGTTTTAAAATGACAGACAATTAGAATTTTAAAGCTGCACTTTGATTCTTAAATAGAGTTTACAATGTCATCAAATTATTGAAATAAGCAAGAGTATTGGGCATTTTATAGATAGATACTATTGATAGAAAAACAACAGAGATAGATAGATAGATAGATAGATAGATAGATAGATAGATAGATAGATAGATAGATAGATAGATAGATAGATAGATAGATAGATGGATGGATGGATGGATGGATGGATGGATGGATGGATGGATGGATAGATAGAGAGCACCTCTAGAGAGATTCTAGTTCTTTTTTAAAAGGTTGAGGAATGACACTCACTCCATTTGACTTTTTATCAGGGAAGATGCAGGTCTCTCCTCCTGCTGTGAAGTTGCAGTACACTTTGAAGGAGTCTCCAGAGCAGCCCTGGTTAGGATCAATGTAATATTCGCCTTTGAAAATAATAAAAAAAACAAAAACTGTAAATCACACACTGTGAAAAAATTTACGTTGAATGAAAGAAACGTTCAAATCCATTATAAATTATATCAGTTAAACAGATTTAGGACATAATTTTTTTTTTAATTTGTACAACTTATATCATCTAAAGTGATGTGATATAAATGTAAACTATACAATTCTTATAGTATATACAATACAGTATAAAAAGGAAATCATTTAGATCTTTTTCTGAAGTATTATCTCAGTAGCTATTTGTTTCCAAAGCTATAAAACACACACTCGATGGGCATCAGCAGTGGTGATGCATTGTGTAAATAAAGGAGCAGGCTAATGTGAGTGCGGTAAAAGCAGCTCTGAAAGGTCAGTGTAAGCGCTGGCATTTTGTAAGCCATGATTTGGGAGGGAGAGGTTAGATCCCGCTGGAGTCCGCAGAATGCTAAACATCTTCCCAATCAGCGGCGACTGCTGCGGCCGTTATTCTCATCCTCCTGAGTGACGGCGCGGGTATTCTAGCCTACATCTATCTTCATCCTGATACATTTCAAAACAGCATTTTAGATTCAAAACACTCTCCATCCTTGTCATTTCAAGTATTTTAGAATAGTTGGCAGAAAATGCTTAAATGATCCTACTGAGCATGTGTAAAATGTAAAAATTCTTTCAGATGATACAGAGGTGCCAGATATTATCATGGTATTTTTCTGTTCTCGAGGCACGATACATTTATTAGAAGCACATTTAAGCGCTTGAAGATTATGTGAAATTAAAATGTTAGCTTCAGTTTGTTAGTTTTACGGATATCTTTTAGCCAGTGTGCTCCAAAACATTGACAGAATTTGTGTTTAGTAAATATAAAACTGATATAAACATTCAAAACTTGCACCTGTTTTTCTTTCTTTTTTTTTTTTTTACATCATCTTATACTTTAGTTTCTCATCAAATCTTGACCAATCAAATGCTCTCTAGTATCTGACATGCTCTTATTTGCTTTTCATTTAATGCACTTGATCTCAACCACCCTCACTGGCAGAACTTTGATAAAAACTAAATGCTATTGGGTGTTTTTTTTTTACAGGGAAGAAGCTATTTTATATCTCGCCCTATCATTTTTCAGTTGAGATTATGTCACACATCGCATAAAAATGCACATTTCGAAGCACTTCATGGGATCTTTAATAGAGCATCTAACTTGTGTGACTCTGTGACTGTTTTTTTTTCATGACAACAATGTAGCCAGCTACGATGTAGCAAGTTTTTCCCTTGCCTTTTAACAATGTCTCACGTCTACATGGCAATGTTTTGTTTTCAAAACAATCTGCCTTTATACATATCAGCGAAAACAGCTAAAAACACTGTTAAGTACAGTTGAAGTTAAAATTATTAGCCCTTCTGTGATAGTTTATTTTTGTTTTCAAATATTTCCCAAATGATGTTTAACAGAGTAAGGGATTTTTTTTTACAATATTTTCTATAATATTTTTTTTTTCTGGAGAAAATCGTATTTGTTTTATTTAGGCTAGAATAAAAGCAGTTAATTTATTTTTTTTAGCATTTTAAAGTCAATATGATTAGCCCCCTCAAGCAATATTTGCTTACAATTGTCTACAAAACGACCTATTATGATTATAAATGTGTTGAAAAATCTTCTTTCTGCTAAACAGAAATTAGGGAAAAAAGACAGGGCAACTAATAATTCAGTCTTCAACTGTAGGGAAGTGTATATTTAGACACATTGTTATTAAACAGTACTGTGTGTGTATGTAACAAAGTGACGTCAGTGGCTCAGTGCTTGTTTCTATGCATAATTTTCCTTGTGTTGTGTTTTTGCTTTTATAGGGTGTCTGCGGGGTCTTTAAAAATATTAAAAATTGATAAATCAATTATGAGAAAATTAAGGCCGTTAAAAGGTATTAAAAAGTCTTGATCACATTTTTTACGAGGTCTTAAATTTTGTTCAAGCGTTTGACTCCAAAAAAGCATAAATATATTTATTTTTCTTCTAACATTAACAACAGCATGCTCGATCCACACGATTGGTTCGGGGCAGGGCGCTTCCGGCCAAGCTCCACCGTCTGGGTGATGTCACGTAATTTGGAACAAATGCGGTAAGGTGATGTAACGCTCTCTACATGTAACGAAACCATAGTGCTAAACAGATGGCAAAATAGGAAAAAGTTTGCTTACAGTGGCTGAAGCCTGTCGCTGAAAACAACCGCATAATTTAATCTTTACTCAAGCTTACCTGAGTTCTGTTGCATGGCTGTGCTCCATTGATTTATTTAACTACAACTGTTTATTAATAACTGTTTATTAAGGTTTGATAATGATTAGAATTTGAAGTGGCGATGAGGTCTTAAAATATTCTGGGAAGGTATGAAGTCTTAAAAAGGTATTGAAATTACCTTTAGGAATCCTGCATACACCCTGCCTTAACAGAGCTTTTTTGTTAAAATGTTAGGAAAGACTTGAGCAACAACACTGCCATGAGGTCTGCCATTGTTGTATGTGTTTGTTTTCACTTTCTTTCAATCTACATACCTCTAAATATACTATGCAAGTGCCTGATGTTTTCCAACTTTAATTTTCGGATGTTTAAACATACACAACAATGACTGAGTTTTGGAACAATTTAAAACCCATTTTAAAATGTATCTATTTTCAGTCCCAAAAATGACATTGTCATGTAAACGAACATGCAAACATATAAAAAGGTTATTTTTTTTTGTCAATGCCAATAGCGTTGTGGTTCGTGCACTGACACATACAAATATTTTTGAAAAAAGTTTTTGACCCGGGTTCGATTTCTGTTTTGAAGTCCTTTGCTGATCAGATCTCCCTCTCTGTACTCCCCACGCATTCCTGCCTGTAATCTCCTCTGTCCTATTCCAATCAAAGTTCCCTGTTTTTGTTTAAAAACATTGTCATGTAAACGACCATGGCATCTTATCATCTGCCAAAGAAATTTCTATAATGCAGTTGACATTAAGTTTAAGATTAAGTTTAGATTTATCAGAAAAAAAATGTAAGCATTCATGCATATGTGAATGCCACTGAAAATTTCATATAGTTTATATCTGAATTTGTGTTCTGAAAAAAAAAAGGCAAATTAAAATATTTGTATGTAATTGTATGAGGATGAACTAAAATTGATGTTTAGTTTTAAGTGTCTTGTTTTATTAAGTGCTACTAGAAGCCTGTTTTACATGGTTTCTTAAAGAAATAATCTGAAACCATGAAATGATTTCTATTAAACAATGGGCAACACCAGATATTCTGCCCTGTTTTGGTTGTTTCAGATGTCCTTGATGCATGCTGCAGTTCATATTTTTATGTCGTTCACACCAGAGTTTGTTTGGAAGTGGATTAAGACTCAGTTATGTCAATGTTTTTTTGCTGAGCACCAAGGTTCGGATAGCAGCATTCAGCATTCGTTTTCAGATGAACCACACTAACAGATCAATCTCACCAAATCTACCAGCTGAGAACACACCCATAGAATCACAGCTAATACCAACTTGGTATGTTGTAAACTAGCAAACGTTGCACATTTTCCAGGTGTGTATCTGCTCTACACACTCATCTTCATTCCCCACCTCGCCTGCTTACCATCTGGGAATTCAGGGTGAGCGAGCTGAAGGTCTTTACAGCTTCGTGCTGGGTTGTTTTGCGTGCCCATGGGGTACTTCATGCGCTCGATGTCCTGTTTGAGATTATTGAGAGAGCTGAATATGTCCTCCATGCCCTCTCCATAGTCCAGCATGGTGCCTGCTTCATCCGCCTGCATGTCGATGGAGCGACGGGATTTCTTGGGACTGTGGATGGGCAGAGGCTGGATGACCTCACCAGGAGGACCCTACGGGATGACAAAATGAGAGTTCAGTCTTGCATTTCGGATAATAATATTCTCATTGAAGCAGGCTAAAGTTAACTTACAGGAGGCCCAGGAGGTCCAACCGTGCCAGTGTCTCCTTTTTGACCAGCAGGACCCTGCAGAAAGAAGATTTCCAAAATCATGAGGCTTACATTAATATACCAAGCCAACAGAACTACAAATAAACAGATAAAGTGGTACTTACAGTTGAACCCTTGGATCCCTTTGGCCCTTGTGGACCCTAATGAAAAGAAAAGGCATTTGGTGAAAACTGAATTGCAAAGTAACAATCTAAAAGGTTCAATCTAGGGCTGGGCGATATGATAAAAATCTTATATCATAATATATTCATCTCATATTCTGATAATAACATATCATGATAATATAGTACCATTTCTGTCAATACTACATGCTGTACATTGATCTTTTTTTTCTGTTTTTTCGTTTATGTTTTTTTCAAGCATATACTAAAAAATCTGTTCATTCATACATGATCATATTTCTCACTTTACTTAAAACTTTAAGGCAAATGTTTGATAATAATAAGAATAAATATTAAGAAAAAACTCAAATATACTTTTTCAAAAACATGATCACAAGCCCAACATAAAATATCGCTAAATAAAATGTAAACATTGTACTTTCTCACAATGCTGTTATTCAATTTCTCTTTGCATCCCCTTAATGACATGTAATATTGTGCTCATATAAATGATGAAAAACTAAAACTATTACAATAAACAATGTATTTTGTGACAAAATAAACAGTAAAGCATAATATAATGTATGATTGTAATAATATGGTTTGTTCTGTAGACTAACGAAAAAAATATATATCTTTAAGGGGCTAATAATTTTGTCGCTAAAATGGTGTTTAAAAAATTAAAAACTGCTTTTATTCTAGTCAAAATAAAACAAAAAAGACTTTCTCCAGAAGAAAAAACATTATCAGACATACTGTGAAAATTTCCTTGCTTTGTTAAACATCATTTGGGAAACATTTAAAAAAAGAAAAAAAAATTCAAAGGGGGGCTAATAAAGAATCTGAGAAATATTACTTTAAAAAATATATCATTATTTTTACAATAAAAAAAGTATAATCATTTTAATGTCATACATTATTCAGCTTCATTTCTCCAGTCTTGTGTATGCTGAAATGATTATAATATGTTTGCTGCTTTGTCATTTATCATCAGTCTTTAAAACAGTTACAATGACACACAGTAAACAGCATTCAGACTAAAATAGGACATTTAAAAAAAAAGAACATGCCTGTTCTGTCGCTTTTAGTCCATTTGAATTAAATGTGTTCTTAGCAAATAAATGTATTTTAATTATTTAATAAAAACATTTGAAACAGTGGTTAAAATGCTGACGTGTATATACACTTACAGTAAATGCTGAATACAGTCAATATTGTCAAGACTGTTGAGGTGGAACAAAGCATCGTGGCAATTTTAAGAGTGGAGAAAACATTTGATGCACAAACTTTTTTTATTACTATTATTTTTATGCTGTGCTATTTTTATATAAGATCTTCTAAAGCTATGTAACATTTCTTACAGCTGATTATTGTGACTTTGCTCTTTATTTTTCAGATAGTACCATATACAAGTTTGACAGAAGCACTAAATACAAGAGAAAAAGGACTCACAGGCAATCCAGGAGGACCAGGAGGACCAATTGGACCAGAAGCACCACTGATGCCCTAAATATAAAGAGCAAATGGTTAGAAAGCATAACTTTATATGACTGATTTGTCAATGGATGTAATAGACAAGCATGTGAAGTGTTAGTTAGCAGAACTTCCAAACAGCCGTGTGAGGCGATGAGACGTTTACTTTTTTTTTTTTTTTTTTTGAAAGAGATGAAAACAACTCTTCTAATCATATCATTCCTCTGTTGTGCACTGGCAATGATCATTACACTTCATTAAACTCAAGGACTTTTGAGTTAATTCTATAGAGAGGAATGCAGCTTCTGCTACTAAACGCAGAAACTGATCGCAAATCTGTCTAGTGGGAAAGGTTAGAGAGATTAAATCATTTCCCAAACTCACAGAAGGAAAGACTACATTTCATTTAGCTTAATTGGTAAATGTTAAAACTAGCGGTGTGGTTACGAAAAATCATAATTGTTGTTTTAATGATGTGTGAGCTGACATTTTCACATTCTAAAAAAAGAGAGATCATAAGCATTAACTGCATGATGAAGCTTATTATAATGTAGTTAGAATGACCTTATAATTAATGTTATGAAAGCTGAAAATTCATAGTAATATGAGTAATATCACACTTGAAAGTGTTTCAATATTAAGTTACATTTTGACACAATAGTGTCAGTTTTGACGATAAAGAAAGTTACTTGCCACATCTCTATATATATTTATACAACATCCTTAAAGTATGTACTTTTGAGAATATATTAGAAAGGTACTGTAGACAAGATTTGAAACATCCTATTGTTAAAGCATTACATTTTAATAGACCCTTGCTGCATCCCAGTTCACATACTATCAGTCCTAAATTATTATCATTACTTTGTTTATTTAGCTTGGAGATCACATTGAGACAGGACTGTTTCTTCTTTCAGTGAGACCTGGTCAAGACGGCAGACAGCACATCAAGTTTCACATAAAAATCGCAAAAACAATACCACAAAATCACCATTTATAAAAAGGTAAAATCCTAAAAAACAATTACAAGTATCCTTTAGGACGTACAGAAGATGTTTAACAGTACTCAGAGTCGGAAGTGTGTCAAGATTAAGCCGATTTTGCAAGTCAAACCAAGCCCCAGGAGCATAAAAGGAAAAAGCACCTTTGCCAAGTTTTAACAATACCCTTGGCACTGTTAAAAGAATACAGGAACCAGATCTAGTGTGTTGGTTATTTATGTGAAATGTTAACAAATTAGAAAGATAGGATGGTAGTTTACCTAAGAAAGCCTTTAAAGTAAATAGGTATAAATGTAATTTTCTCCTTTGATATAAAGATGATCAATCTAAGAAATCATAGTGATGTGTCCACTGCACAATATTTTGTTAGAGTGTCGATATCACAATGCGTGTATCTGCAATAGTCAATAGGGTTATTTATTAAAGATTAAAAAAGGAATATATTATTATTTTCTAAATTTTATGTATACAATAATGACCATGTTATTTTATGCTTGCATATGCTTGTATTTATTATAATTTGTGCAAATGCACTGCATAGAAAAAGTCTGGATCATCCCAAACTCATTTTCCAATTTTCTTTTTATTCTTATGATATCTTTAAAAATCTTAAATTATTTTTACAATTGCAATATATATTGCAGAAAAGCAAAATATCGTAATGTCAGACTTGTCTAGTATGGTGCCGGTCTAATATACGTTTATTTTGTATATACAGTATTTGTATTTTATGTACAGTATGTGTGTATTTATACACACTGCACATGTATATATTATGTAAATACAAACTTTTTTATCTCGGATGCGATTATTTGTTTGACAGCACTAGTTTCAGAGCAAAAAAAACTGAAACTTGAACTTGTTAAAATGTTTTTAACAAAGGTTTATAAATGATCATTGAATATTTTTATTTAGGATCTATCCCTTTAAATACTGATTATTAGTCAGTCAAACAGTATTTATTTGTGTTTGTAGCTCTGAACTGTAAATCCTCCTCTAAATTCCATGTGTTATGGCCAATGTTAGCCACAGAAGTGTGCACGTATTTGAAAAATCAACCGCAAATAGAAAACTTCTTTTGGGATACTCTTTTCAACATACTGTGCTTTGGGACACACATATGGTAGCACCAGAAAAACAGTTAAAATATCAATTCTGACCCCAAAAAAAGAATCTCCCCAAAAACAGATATAATTTTGTCAATATTGCACACCCCTGGTGTTAAGCTGAATTGCTTTAAACCACTGAGAAAGAACCAGTGTAATTGTTTATTCAATCAGCCTTTCTTTATATTTGCTGAAACGCTGGATTGCATTGGATAAGTGTTGCACAGTTATGCGACAAAGCAAAAGAAAGAAAAACATTTCACAGTTTGGCTCTGAAAAAAAAAAAGAAACGTAATCGTGCTGGTGTTTGATGGGAACGTCTGGTGTAATGGAATTACCGCTGGCTCTGAGAACCTTTCATGACAGCTCCATCCATAACACGATTATGATGATGTACACAGATGCAATAAGCGCAGACATTATTGTTTCAGTCGGTCGTTACTTTAATTTGCAAGCAATATGGGAGGAAAAGTCCTGATAGGTGCACTGCTGGAGGTACCACATTTGTTGGGTTGTGGAAAGGACAAATATATCATTAGTGACTCACATTATCACCCTTACTGCCGGCAGCACCCTGAGGTCCAGGCAAACCCCGATCTCCCTTCTCTCCCTGTTCACCGGGTGGCCCGATGAGACCGATAAGACCAGGGTGACCCTGAAGAAAAATGCACATGATAGCAGATTAGAAGGTCAGTCAATGTATAGACAACTTGCTTATAATGAACGCAAAGGCTGAACACAGCAACCTAGCAATTTCAAGGTTTTATGAAATATTTGTAAATTATGAGCGTTGTTTATACATTATGAATATTTTTGGCCACCATTGTTTTGTTCCTTTTTAAGTTGCTTTGAGTAGAAGACTGTAAGATTTATAAATTAATACAATAGGGTTTTGATTAATTAATGACACAAATTAAAATGTAAAAAAAATTGTTATATTTAAAATCTTTAAAAAGTATCAGCGCTAACTAAAAAAGAACTAAACTGCAGAGTATATTTTATATATTATATAAACAATATAAGAAAAATATTTCCCAGAGATGGGTTGCGGCTGGAAGGGCATCCATTGAGTAAAAACTTGCTGGATAAGTTGGCGGTTCATTCCGCTGTGGCAACCCCGGATTAATAAAGGGGCTAAGCCGACAAGAAAATGAATGAAAGAAATATGAAAAAAATTAAATATGAAAATATAAAAAACAAAAAACTGCATCAAGGATTCAACATGACATTTACATTACAGATATAGCCATTTCATTTCTAAATTTTAGTTTTGTATAGCATATACCAAAATGCATACATCATCATGTATATATATATATCAGGGTATCCGTGGGGTTTTAAAATGTCTTAAATTTAAAAACTAAATTTTAGGCCTTAAAAAGTCTTAAATTCACTGCAATATATAGTGTTATAGGTGTTAAATCATTTTAAACGGGCCTTTATTTTCCTATGTCCATGTAAAGCTTCCCAATCGGGCCAAGTTTTAACAAAAGTTTATTTATTAACTCTATTTACCAATATGGCTTGATTATCTTCCTTACAATATTATTTGTTTTAATGTTTTTTTTATGTTTTAACTGGGGCATTTGAAAAAAATCCTTAGCCTTGTGTAAGTTTGAAATTTCATTCATCGTTCAAAAACGTTTAAATTTGACATGATGAAAGGTAGGTATATTAATGGCAGCCCAAGTTTTTGGTGACATTTAATGTTTTTTTACTATTATTTTCCTTTTACGCTTTTTTGTGTGTGTGTGTGCCTGGCCAAAAAGCAAACATCCACAAATGAATAACCAGTGGAATATCTTTTCTCGCCCCACATGTTTTCTTATTCTCGTTGTGGTGCGTGAGAACAGTTATTGTCCCACAGACAATCTCACATGCTCTGTAGAGACCCACAGGACCCACAGAGACGCGCCTTTCTGGGACTTAAAAATGACAGCACGTACACAGCCACAAAAGCGAGAGGAACATTAAATAATTAATTCGTTGATCTAAACGACTCAGATAAACGTTTCTATTTCTATCTATGACTCAGAGAGGACAAAATTACATCTAAACTGGCTGCAAAATATTTGAACACCGTTAGAAATGGTTTATTAACCATTTGCCTTGTTTAAATATAAATTTATAAGTATAAATTTTTATTCTTGTAATTATTATACGTTGTATAGATATTGTCTGTTATTATGCCTTTGTCATTTATTTCTCATTTGCTGTATATTATTTTAATTTTATGATGTTGATATATTACATATTTTAACCATATCTAACATGCTTTGGCAATACTGCATAAAATGTCAGCAGCAGGTTTTACCTGCCAGTGGGTTTACACGGCTCCTGAACAGAATAAAACTAAAGCAAATAGTAATTTTTTTTTTATTTCAACAATCTTTTTTTTTAAACACTTCAATCCATTATGAAAAAGTGTATAACAGTGTCATGAAAAAAAAATATTGCTACAAATCACTTTTTTGTCACATGTAGGTAACCATGTGCTGTTGGTAAAAGGTGTGCAATTACTGCAAGTATATTTAAAACCTGTGGGAATCACTAGAAATCAGAATTATTAGACCCCTTCGAATATTTTTCTTCTTTTTTTAAAATATTTTCCAAGTGATGTTTAGCAGAGCAAGGAAATTTTCACAGTAGGTCTGATAATATTTTTTTTATTAATAGGAAAAAGTCTTATTTGTTTTATTTCAGCTAGAATAAAAGCAGTTTTGATTTTTTTTTAAACGCCATTTTAGAGACAAAATTATTAGCCCCTTTAAGCTATATTTTTTCTCGATAACCTACAGAACAAACCATCGTTATACAATAACTTGCCTAATTACATTAACCTGCTCAGTTACCTTAATTAACCTAGTTAAGCATTTAAATGTCACTTTAAGCTGTATAGAAGTGTCTTAAAAAAATCTAGTAAAATATTATTTACTGTCATCATGGTAAAGAGAAAATAAATCCATTATTAGAGATAGGTTATTAAAACTATTATGTTTAGAAATGTGTTGAAAAAATCTTCTCTCCGTTACACAGAAATTGGGGAAAAATAAACAAGCGGTCTAATAATTGAGGGGGGCTAATAATTCTGACTTCAACTGTATATATATATATATATATATATATATATATATAATTTAATATATATCATGTCTAATTGTATTAAAATTATAATAAAATTACGAAAAGAAAAAGGTGTCTGTTAATAATACTGCAACTTTTGTTATAAAACTTTCTTTATCTTGACCAAGCCATGTCTTTATCTTTGACCTTGAGCCTGGCTGAAATCTAAGACAGCACATTAATAAAAATGTCAGGAGAAGAAATAGAAAGTCACTCACCTTCTCACCCTTAGAGCCAGGGTCTCCTTTAAGGCCAGGCAGACCAGGAGGTCCCTAAATATCACACAACCAACAAGGACAATTCAATTTGTGCCCATGTACAACTGAGAGAGCAAGAGAGAAGATGAAGAGTTGACAGAAAGAAAGAATAAGAGAAACATGATCTTTTCTCTTACCATTGGTCCAGGTGGACCATCTTGTCCAGGAGCACCAGGAAGTCCTTGTTCACCCTATAAAAATCCATCCAATTACAACAGCCATTATTGCATGCTTCTTTTGCTTAGGGATTACCATTGATTAAGTGTGGCCTGAACAATGATTAATAGTCTAGAATGTACAATAAAAAGTAGAAAAGAAAAGATACTGATTTTCCAATAGAAATATACAGACTGTATATAAAAGGTGAGTTTTTATTCTGTGAGTAGGTTCATATTATTTTGTGCATTTAGGCTATTCAGTGGCCAAAGATGATCTGAATACTTAAAAATGTATGATTGTCTGCACCGAAAAGAAAAGAGGAGCTGACCTTGTACACAAACAACTTTAAAAACATGCACAAGCCCTTGGCATTGACATTGGTGAGGAGTAATCAGTTAGAAATGCCATGCCACATATTTAATATTCATAAGTAAAACTTGAGGAAGTTTAGAGAAAAGGTCAAGCATCGTTTGTTTGCAGATGCCATTTGGTTTCATATAATTAATTCACAGTACTTTAGGTGCATCGCAAATGTCCAGAGAGTATTTGGGGCAAGTGTGTATGGGTTTTATGTGTAATGGTGGAGTTTTTGAGGTGATGAGAGGGATTGGGACTCACGACTGGACCGGGGATTCCTCTGAGACCTTCAGGACCAGGCTTTCCAGAGGGTCCTTGAGGACCAACTGGTCCAGTTTTACCTGGTGGACCCTCAAGTCCTGCTTCTCCCTAAAGATAAAGAGAAAAGAAAATTCTATACATATTACGGCTGGGCGATATTGTAAAAAAAAATGTATTATCATGATATCATGTTTAATATCATTCGATAATGATATATTTTTTAACAATCCATTTAGGAATATTACATTTTTTTATGTATCCAATTTATTTTATTTACCAAATAGTTTTAAAAGTCAAAAACCAAAATTAATTAAACATAATATCTGATTTCTCTATAATAAAAGAAACACAAGAGTTAAACAGACTGTTAAACTTGATAAATACAATTTTACAAAGTGTGTGCAACATGGTAAAGTGTACTGAACATTATAAGCAAACTTTAAGGTGTGAATAATGATGACACAGTAAACCTCAAACTCTGTAAACAAAACAAATTATGATTATCAAATCTGAGCTTTTAAGTAAAGGAACTAACCATCAACATTCAAATACATATTGAAACAAATTGTAAAATTTAGATGGGTGCTAGTGGCTGTGATGCACAAGAAAAGAAACCAAAAAGCCACTCTGGCAACATCATTACATCCTTTTTTATTTACAATATCTTCACTGTGGCTAGCCACGGCACTCAGGGTGAGGCAATTAGTTTGCTGTTATTACTGAAATGTGTGCATTCTATACAAAGTGTGAAGCAGATTTTTAATTCTACTTAAATGAGTCGCTGTGCACTCACGGGATTCAGAAAAGTTCAGATGTTTTCCAACTAGGTGTGCCTGGAAAATGTGTGCACGTCACGTGCGCCGCTTGCACTACATCATTGCACGTCATGCAAGTTGTGCGCCTCCATTCGAAATTAACAAATTTACACTGTAAGCTTATTGCATTGCTTCCAAGGCGTATGCTCAGCAGCCACATTTAAATGAAATGATAGCGCTTATTACAGAAACTTCAAACCAAACTTTTTTTTTTTTTATCGTTATTGACAATAGAGTTCAGTCAATAAATACTGTTACTTTTTTTATATGTATGCATATATATGATATGTAGTTCCCATTTAATTATCTTGGATGAAAAAAAGCATAAAAAATGTGTTAAAAAAAAAATAAATAAAAAAAAAGCTAAATAAATAAACAATGAAAAACCTTGAAATTAATTTTCGACTTGAAATTAAATTAAACAAATATTAGCAAAAAAATATAAGATATTTTAATGTTAAATAAGTTTTGTAAAAAAAAAAAAAAAAAATTATATATATATATATATATATATATATATATATATATATATATATATATATATATATTCATCAACTATATTAAAAAGGAAATATTTATTTAATTAAAAAATTAAATGAATTTAATAACAATACAGCTGTTTAATGTTAGCTCAGGGCCAATACATTTTATTAGGAGAAAATGTTTGTTTGATTTTAAAAATGTATTAGAAAATGTTGAAATTAACATTTAACCTAAAATAATAAATGCATTATTATATTATATTATATTATATTATATTATATTATATTATATTATATTATATTATATTATATTATGTTATGTTATGTTATGTTATGTTATATTGTATTGTATTGTATTGTATCGTATCGTATCGTATCATATCATATCATATTATATTATACAAAAGCATTAGATTATCTCTGCACACCTCAAATATGCAATATCCAAATAATCAAACATCAAATATGCAAATAGATCATAGTGATCTATGAATTAAAGCCAAATCCTTCCACACTTCAGTCCCACAGTGCCAATCCATCCACATGTATTAATCGTGAGTCTCTCTGTCAAAGAAGTTGGTTCTCCCTTGGCTCGCTGTGCTTTAATTATTACATTGGAGGCTGAATTGATTCGGAAAGATGCTTTTACCTTGGCGCCCTTCTCTCCTTGTCTGCCTTCAGCTCCATGCGCCCCCGGGGGTCCCTGCGGACAGAGAAAAGGACGGTTTTGAGCAGTTTTTCTCTGCTGGGCTATAAAACAAATGGGGAAAAGGTCACAGTGAGACATCACAGATCTCGCTTCATGTCTATTCATGGGCAAATGGAGCCGTTTGCATTTCTTGAAGGTCTTTTGTTTGAGCATATGCTGTTATTTGTGAAGCTGATTGGGTGCTAGCTGTCACAGTTTTATACAAGTTAATATTTCCTTAGAGCACTGGCTGCAAAACAAGTGCTATTGAATATTTGAAAGATTATATAGAGGAAAAACAACAAAACAATTAATGCAATAGCATTTTTGGTACACTAAATAAAACTAAGGGTGCTTTCACATCTGTGGTTCATTTAATTTGGTCTGGACCAAGAGCAACAAATTGTACATGTAGCATTTTTCTGCCGTTTGGGTTGTTTTCACACTACACTGATTGCTTTGGTCCGAACCAGTTGAAAAGAACCAAAATGCAGTCATTTGACAAAATCCAAATCACTCATTGGCCAGATGTTATTGAATGTATTTCCTAAAATGCTTTTTTATTGGTCAGAATTCATGTGCGGGAAAATGCCAATGGAACTCCCACAAGTGAACAAACCGGCAGACACAAAATGTCCTTTTAACTATGGAGGGACGACTGCGCTGGCTGATTGTATCCCTGGTCATAGTATACTATATAGTTTGTATACATCACTTTAGCCAAACTATACATTTCAAGATTGAAGTGCAGCTACGGCTGGAAAACAATGTTTTAATGCATTGAAACAGCGAAGATACATCGCAAGTCACTTCAGGAGGAGGCGTAAATTAATTTAGTTAAACTAAGACATGGTCATCTTATGGAAATATTACCAATGATTCATCTGATAATGTTTTTCCCTCACTTTCTCCATTTAAAATAGTTGGTAAAGTGCTGTCAACAAATATTTTTCCTCCACACCCCATAAGATAGGACAGCGCATCGGACTACAGCAGCTAGATTAGTCCAAAAAGATGCAGTATGTTTTGCGTTTGGGTTTCTATTCGTTTGGATCATGTTCTCACCACAAACAAACCGCTCCAGGGTTCGTTTGAAAGCATATCGAGACCACCTCTTCAAGAAGGTCTCGGTACACGTTTTTGGTCCACTTTTTCCACCACTCTAGTGCGATTTCTACATTCACACCTGCTTAAACGAACCACACCAAGAGAGAAAACAGACTCTAGTGTCATTCAACCAAACTAAAAAAGGCAGGTGTGAAAACACCCTAAATTTCTCTACTGAACTAAAAAGATTTTCAATACTTTGTTTTTGCCACAAAGTAATAAAAAAAAGCATCTGTGACTTTTTATTTTATCTCATAATTCTGAAATTTGAGAACGATATACTTCATGTCTTCATGCACTTACAAGAATTGTGATTAACTTGCATTCATTCATTCATTCATTTTCCTTAGGCTTAGGCAGAATGAACCATCGATTAAACTTGCAAGTTGCAGTTGTTCGAAAATAGTCTATTTTCCTTTAGAACTTGATTTTATAATTTGTTATTGCAAGTCGATTTGGTATATCACAATTCAACACTCAAAAAATGACTTTTGTTGCTTATTTAAACTACTTATTTAAAATTAATTGAAACGACACAATTCTTAAGTTTTTTTTAAGCCACAGTCATATCACCCTGCAGCCCAAGACTGGTTACTCGCTGAAGCTAAGCAGAGCCTGTTCAGTACCTGGTTGGGAGACTACATGGGAAAGCTAGGTTGCTGTTGGAAGTGGTGTTATTGAGACCAGCAGGGTGCCCTCAACCTGCAGTCTGTGTGGGTCCTAATGCCCCTGTCTAGTAAAAGGGACACTGTACTGTTAGTGAGCGCCGTCTTCTGGATGAGACATTAAACCGAGGTCTTGACTCTATGTGGTCAATAAAAATTCCACGGCACTTTTCATGGCAGAGTAGGGGTATAGCCCCAGTGTCCTGGCCAATTTCACTCCATTGTCCCTTACCCATCATGGCCTCTCAATCGTCCCCATCCACTGAATAGGCTCTATCACTATCTCTCCACTTCACCAATAGCTGGTGTGGTGAGCGCACTGGCACCGTTGTCTTGAGGCTGTCATCACATCATTCAAGTGTATACTGCACACTAGTGGTTGGTGTGTAGAAACCCCGTCATGATTGTGAAGCGCCCATACACGATAAATACCGATATAAATACACACATTACAATTTTATTGTTTTATATTCAATCCACTTAGATTTGTAAAAACGATACTTAATCGATTTGTGTTGGGACAAAATGAAGGATTTATGTGTAACCCAGCATTTTTACAGAGAATATTATAATCAGAATTTTAGCATATTCAGAGTTGTAGGATTATGCTTGCCAATTTATTGTTCACAACATTTACTGTTTGATTTTATTAAAAATAAAATATTACAATAAAATAAAATAAAATAAACAAAAAAAAAATTTAAAGGGAAAAAAAAACTTATTAGACAAGATGTGCGCTCAAAAAATTACAAACTACAAAATTACAAACTACTTATTTAAAATGAGCTGAAACAACACAATTCTTGAGTTTTCTTTGTGGACATCTTAATTGTTTTATATTGAATCCACTTAAATTCGTAAAAACTAATAAGCTAACCTAATTCCTTCATGTTGTACCAACACAAATCGATTGTGTGAAACCTAACATGTTTTTACAGTGTGTGAACTTTTATTCACAAATCAATTAACTAAAAGACTTAAAGAACTGTCACTTAAACCCACTGCTAGATAAAATATACACTTGTGTAATTGGATTTTCGACTCTAGACCTGATAGTCTCTGAGGTAAAACTTGTGACAATTTGCCCCAGTCTCCTCTGCATGATTTCCCACATGTAAATTTAACGAAGAGGGGGAAAGAAATCAACTAATGACAGCCAGAGGATTCGCAAAAATTCAATAATTCTCAAGATAGTTAATAGTCTGGGGACTGTCTCGCTGAAGAGACTGAAGAAATAAACAGAGAAACAGAGAGAATAAGCAAAGGGAATCTCCATATTCATTTCCGACTGCAGTCTATGAAATGCTGAGGAAGCAGCTCATCTCCGTGTTTGATGCAAAATAAGCTCCAGCCAAATTATTGATGCAGGACACTTAATTCCACAAGATCAGTCTTCCCACGACCGTCTTCCTCTCGCAGGATTAAAACACCTTTGCTGATGAAATGGCAGTTTCTCCAGCCACAGTTCGTCAGGCGCTGCTGTCCACGTATGCTGATAGGGTGTATAATTTTTCCAGGGAGAGCTCCATCAAGAATATTGGGAAAGCGAGTGGTGTTTTCTCTACGTTTTGCATGAATAATGGATGCGTGTGTGCAGAGAGATGCCATAAAGCTTTGTGGAGGAATAATGGGATATACCAGTGTTGCTTGGGCTGGTTCAAAAAATTCAACTGGGACTGTTTGCCTTATAGAGTTCTGACTTCATAGATTAGGTGGATCCAAGGGACTCAAAATCGGAATTATAGGGAGTTATTTACACCTATTATTAACAATTAAAGCTGATTCAGTCAAAATTGGTACAATGGATCCACATTTCTGGGTTTCTCGGTAGCGGAAGTCCCCATAGTTGGGTAAACGCAGAGGGCTGTGAATGGGAAAGTGCAACAAATCATTTTTTTTACAATCCTATTTGCTGAAATAATAAGATATAATAAAAAAACTCCACGATGATGTCATCAAGACTTTCAAAAAAGTAAAAAAAAAATTGTGTGAGACTGATAACGGCAGCCAGAAGAGAGAACAACGTCAAATTTAATGTCCTGCCCCCATAGACACTGTGTTAGAAACATCTCACACAAGCTATAAATATATATATTTTTGTAATCCGATGCAAAGATGATATAATACAAACAAAAATACACATAAATGGTCATATAATAAAAAAATCTAAATATTAAAAACTTTCAAGGATGACCCTGTCATAAGAGTCTTGTGAAAAGGGTCCATAAGTAAATACAAGAACAAACAACAATTTAAATTTCTAATAAGCAGGTTCACTCAGGGCCATAGCAAGCTGAAATGCCGCTCTAGGCAAAGGAAAGCGAAAAAGTCAAAGCTTGAAGGAAGGGTGGAGGGGGGAAGGGGGGGGGGGGGGGGGGAGCTGTCTTGACGCAGCCCTCTCTATTATGCTGCCCTATGTCAGATATTGCAGGACTCCCAGAGTTCATCAAGATTTTTTGGATTCATCTTCAATGCCTTCTCCTTTATCTGATGCCAGACATGCTCCATAATGTTCATGTCTGGTGACCGGGCTGGCCAATCCTGGAGCACTTTGATCTTCTTTGCTTTCAGGAACTTTGATGTGGAGGCTGTAGTATGAGAAGGAGCGCTGTCCTGCTGAGGAATATGCCCTCTCCTATTGTTTGTAATGTAATGGGCAGCACAAATGTCTTGATACTTCAGGCTGTTGATGTTGCCATCCACTCTGCAGATCTCTCACACGCCCCCATACTGAATGTAACCCTAAACCATGATTTTTGTCTTTACCAAACTTGACTGATTTCTATAAGCATCTTGGGTCCATGCAGGTTCCAATAGGACTTCTGCAGTATTTGTGATGATTAGGATGCAGTTCAACAGATGATTCATCTTAAAAAAGCTACCTTCTGCCCCTTTTCCAAATGATCAACTAGAAGTCAAGTTATTATTTGTTGCTCTTACATCTGAGATTGACGACAAAACTTTTGTCAGGTAGTGTATATGTTTATTTGACTCTCATAATGTTGGGAGTCACTAATTTGCATTTCACGAATCTTCAAGAAACACATTTTTTCTATCAACTCTATTAAAGTTCTGCTAAAGAAAAAGAGTTAACCTACCTGTACGTCTCTGATGGCAAAATTATAATTTGGGGTGAACTATCCCTTTAAGTTAAATATCTCAATGTCCATACCACATTATAATGCACAATTTGATGACTGTATGCACCACTGAAAGCCACAAAGGATCTACTGTAAGTTGAATGCAGTAAAACTGAGACTCTGCAAAAAACAAGCGGAAATAACATTCCACTTGGGGGTTCAATAGAGTGTCATGAGAAACACTTCAGTATTATATAAATTGAAAAAGTTTACTTTTTCCCAGTTCTGAAAAAAGAATGATCGGTTATTTTCGTGACTGGCAAAACAACACTATTTTCTGCGAGCCGATGAGGTGTCATTTGGCAGAACAAATTTCTTGTGATATAGCGATGGGAGAGGATCTCTAATTCCTGTCCCGGATGTGACAGTTATATTTCCCCTTCCTCTGTAACATCCTTTACACCGCCGTCCCCTCATCTCTGTCACTCAAACAGGCCCGGGATCAATATAACGTCTGGACTGATTTTCTTCTTTCATCCTGAGAGAGATGTAGGACTACAGTGGAGGAAATGAGTTCTGGCTCCGATGGCGTTTAAATGCTGTTTTCGATTTCAGTCTGATGATTCAGTATGTGCTATTCATCATCCTGCGAAGGACTTTGTTTTTTCACTTTGTCGTTAAGCGAATGACTCTGGCTGAAAAACAACCAATCATCTGTGCTGATGAGGATAGGCTTTTTAACTAAATTCGTGACTGTTTTGCACAGGTCTTCAATTGATAAATCAATCAATAGCTGGCTTATTAGATCCAGTCTGAGTGAGGAAAAACTATCTATTTCTTGGAATATAAAAAAATATTGATCATAACAATTGGTTTGTTATCCATGTCAGAAAGAAACAGTAGATCAATATGCTGATAGAACTGAAGACTGTACATACTCGTTTTCCAGGTGGTCCTGGTGGACCAGCTTCTCCAGAAGGACCAGGGGGTCCCTAAAATAAAGCGAAAGGAGGTTTGAATTAGAAACAACTCTACAAAATCAGCTCATCACAGAAAATAGATTTTGAGATTATAACTAAACTTTCTGGAACTAAACTTTTTCTCTCACTTTCAGCAGTTTTGTGAAATTAACTGAACATAATTAAGAGACACTGGGGTTTCATAAGCACACCAACAAAGGATGGCTACAACTGAGCAAAATTGTTCAGCTGTGTGATTGATTTGATTTAAAAATAATAAACCTCTAATCAGAAAGAGGAAGCATTTCTGTGAAAGTTTGCTGCTGTAAACAAATCTCCCCTCATTAAACTTTCATGGAGAGTTGTAGCTTATCAATGGGCCTTGCAGAGAGACTCCCAATGCTAGATGTTCACATTTGCAAACCTGGAGTTCCGATACACTGAATTTAATGGTAAATTAACCAATTTCCCTGCAGTGGAAAATTCAAATTACTATAATAAATGTTAATAAGGACTGCAATTTATGAGCTGCCACTGTAGGCTCAGTCAATTATATTTGACTTCCCTATATCCAATCACTGTTTATTAATCTATCTGCACTGTGCATGTACATGTACTTATGCAATGGCAAATAAACAATTTAAATAGTTATATTTTAGTTAATTGTTGCCTGAATTAAATGACTAAGTATGCATAGCGCAGGAAATTATAAACTGTAGTCAAAAGTATGGCCTCGAAATGCTGTTAATACTCACAGGCTGACCAGACTCTCCATCCTCTCCCTTCTCTCCTGGGCCTCCATCTATTCCCTGAGGATTTTAGATACAGAGATTTTAGAGGCAAATAACTTGACAATTGACAAAATAAGCAAATGTCTTTATCTAGTTACAAGGTGTTTGTACATGGAAAAGTTATTTATAGAAAAGTAAGTTACAGTTGTTTAATTGATGGATTTCGCCACTTACAGCAACACCTGGCTCACCAGGTGGACCTGGGTCTCCAGGAAAACCAACAGGGCCCTATAGAAAAAAAAGATTGAACACACAATTTAACAGACTGGCATCTTCATGCATTCATTCATTTTTCTTCAGCTTGGTCCCTTTATCTATCAGGGGTCGCCACAGCGGAATGAACCGCCAACTTATCCAGCATATGTATTATGCAGTGGATGCCCTTCCAGCCGCAACCCAGTACTGTGAAATGCCCATACACTCTCACATTCATACACATACACTATAACCAATTTAGTTTATTCAATTTGGCTATTTATTTATAGTGCATGTCTTTGGACTGTTGGGGAAACCGGAGCACCCGGAGGAAACTTACTGTACATGACGACTGGCAACAATATGTCATTAACAATAAATGTATCAATCTAAAACATGGTATGCATTGTAATACAATTACAGTAATGAATTTAGTTACTTAATACTAGAAATAACTTACAATTTAATGGTGAAAAATCTATATTTTATCAGCATAATTCATCTAAATAGTTACTAGTTCACAAGGCTCATGTTAACTGACTTTTTTTAGAGGCTTCAAACATTTTTTGTTTGATAAAAATGCTAAATAGGACCACATGTCAGTTGTGTCACACTTACAGGGTTACCCTTGGGTCCATCATCTCCAGGGGGTCCTTTGGGACCTGCAGGTCCAGCAGCACCAGGGGGACCAGCTTCACCTTTCTCTCCTCTCTCACCTTTCGGGCCCTGCAGCATTTATAGCAAAGATGAAAGGGCCGAATAAAGAGCCCCGAGGCACTTCATGAACAAAAGCACCCTGATAACAATGAGTGCAGCCACACTCTACATTTTAATGTAGCAATTTAAAAGAGTTAATCAGCCATTCATGTCAGTATTGACAGGCAAGAGATTTGACAAGCTGAATTTCCATCTGTAATTCAGCGATTCTGTCAATTACAAAAGTAACGTTTGATTTCCCCCCCATGAGGTCCACTTGTGAAGTTACTCGAGGCTTTTGTGACAAAAACTGAACACCAGCCAAGTGTTAAAGTGAGAAGTCATATATTGCGATGTCAGGAATATATGAAACTAATCTGCTGTTTTTCTAGTGAACTTGTAATCAATGCATGTTAGAATATATTTTTTTCCAAGAGGAAAATTCAATGAAAATTTGATTGCTGGAGATATGGCCACTTAAAGTTAATTAATTCTATGGTGTGTGTGTAATATTTTTCTGCAACTTGGATTAAGCTGTTCTTAGTATGATGAGAGGAAACATTTGAGTGAAATCATTCCTGCAATTTAGTGACTCACTTAGTGTGACCACTTAATTCGAGACAATCAATAAAGCTGGAAAAGCTTACAGGAAGTGATTACCCGCACCATCACACATATCTCTCCTAAAAACTGCACTTACCCCAGGTCCAGGCTCTCCAGGAGGTCCAGGGTTGCCAGCTTCTCCTTGCTCACCCTGTGGAGCATATTATTAGTTAGAAGCGGTGGCACAATACCACATGATTGTGTTGTATAATTTGTGTTCCATTTGACCAAAAAAAGCTAGAATTTCCAGCTGTCAGAATTACACTTAGGAACCTCCAGTGGTAATTCCAGTTTCAGCAGTTTCTTTGTTGACAATCAGCCACTTGCTAACAGTTTTGTTGCCTTTTTATGACTTTATGACAATCCCCCCCCCCCCCCCACACTTTATTTTGATGGTTAGTTTGTTGAATTAAAGTTACATTGCATCTACATGCCAACTAATTCTCATTAGATTATAAGTAGACTAGTAGGTTGTGGTTAGGGTTAGTGGAAGCTGACATGTACTTGTCAAGTTTCTTATATTCAGTTAAATGTCTATTGAAGGAGCAATATCTACAGATATTAAGTGGACAGTCTACTAATACTCAAATGGACCATCAAAATAAAGTGTTACCAGTTCAAGAGATGAATTTATCTCTCTTCTGAATAGGATGGTTTATAAGCACTAGTATCTAAATAAAGCATATTTCTTATTTTATCTAGTTATATCATAGCTTAGTTTAGCTAGTCTGAGCAGAAACATAGACATAACACTCAACTCCAGCATCATGGTGACCTGGTAAATATTCTAAATTCATCTCCACAGTCAGCCACAACATTAAATATTGATTGTCTGTGAGCCTGCCAAATAGCGGAAATGTAAGCGTATCATCAAAACTGCGGTTATGTAGGCTTTAATCGTTTTGTTACATTAAATCAGACATAAAAATACACACAATATGAACGAATACATCTCAGATTTGAAATTTGACCATGTATGCCATATATTTAGGGAATAAACACTGGGAATACAATTACCTTCTCACCCACGGCTCCCATTCCTCCTATTCCTCCAGGAGGACCTTGCGGGCCCTTCAATAAAAGATGTCGATTCGTTAAGAGCCATATGTGGAAACCATTAACACTAAAGCAATCCAGTTAAACAAAGTGATGTATATTAAAGGATTCGCTAATGGTGTTCAATGTTGACAAATGCTCTTACATCAGCACCAGGAGGACCCTGAGGTCCTCTGGGACCTGGTGGACCAGGAGGACCCTGTGAATAGACAAATACAATTAGATTTATAACTATAGGTCAAAACATTAAACAGAAATTTAAAGAAGTTAAAAATATATGGTTCAAATACTTACCATAGGACCAACATCTCCATTTTCACCTTTCTCGCCAGGTGGTCCTGGAAGACCCTGTTAAAAAATGGATATTATGTTTAAATAGCCATGCACTCATATACTATAGTATACTGACTAAAACAACAAAATGTTCATAGACACACTGTTGCTGTGAGGCACCACAAAATGGACCCTCTGATGAAAAGAGAAAAATAATCTGGCTCAGACGCAGTTACCGGAGGACAGCAATAATGCTTCATTTCAGAATTGGCGGAGAAAGGCAAAGGGGCCATATGGCAAATGGAAGAGGCAGAGGCGGAGTGCGGAGGGTTTATTGAGTTTCACTCTCTGTCATCTTGCAATCTAAGAGAGCAGCTAATATACTTTGTCAGATTTTTAGCTCATGTTCCCCACGAACACTATATTGTTTGTCACCTTTTCATATAGCCAGAGAAAAGTGAGGGGTAAAAAACGTAGAGGACTTTCAACTGAGTTCAATATGAAAGCTATTTTACTAGCATAGAAACTTGTCTATCCAAATATATTTCTCCAGTGGAACAAGGCTTCTTTGGGAACATTTGGTGGAAGATACACCCCTTTTGACCATAGCTACAGTAGGTGACACTTTAAAACGAGCATTAACGCCTCTGCTCTAAAGGAGTAAGAACGTGTTTTTTTAGGTATGACCACAGTTTGCGACTATGCAGCCAGGGGGCACAAAGGGACAAGATGCGAACGAACAGAAATAGCCTATTCTTACTCTGCTACTTGTAAATGATGATGAAGCAAAAAAAAAAAACAAAAAAAAAAAACAAAGCATTATAATTCCTTCAATAATCAATAAAAACTTTATAACAAGCTTTATTATAATTGTAAACTTAAGTGCAATGAGGATTCATTTTAGAAAGTAAAATTAAAGAAATAAAAGACAACTAGTACAAAGTACAAACTTACATACACATAAGTAGGCATAAGTAAATAAATAAATAAATAAAGCAGTGTTTTAGCCTAAATATAGAGATGTACAATGTTTGTTATATTAAGTGATAGGACTAAGACATTGAGTAAATAAGCTTTTTCATTTACGCTGTCATTTACAGTTTTCATGTACATTTTTGTTGTTGATTATATTTTACTATCTCATGTCTTAATTACTGTAAATAAATAATAAATGAATACTTAAATAGGCCTCTATATATATATAAATATATATATATATATATATATATATATATAAATATATATATATATATATATATATATATATATATATATATATATATATAAATAAAATATATATATATTTTTTTTTTAATGGATAAAAAATCAGTTAAGAATGACTTTTAAATAATCTGCTGTATAAGACATGCCAGAGTAATTGGCGGTTTATTCCGCTGTGGCCGCCATGGTTAAATCAGCAACTAAGCTGAAGGATAATGAGTGAGTGACTTTCATAAATACGGAATAATGTGGGAGTAAAACAGTCCACTACAATGCAGTCGACAGCATAGTCCAGGGCCCAGTTTTCACCTTGTATTAACATGTTTTAATAAGACTAATTGTGTCACAAGATATTCATTTGAGATGCTTTCCACTTTGTTACTTTGTATATAATTAATTGTTAAACCTGGTAACCGTATACAAACGCACGTCAAGATTTTGCCAAGTAATATGCGATCCTGGGGACTAACATCTATGCGATTAACATCTATGTTGATGCTGGAACATAATTTTTGTTTAACAACGTAATCCCTTTTTTCTAAACCCAACCACAACTGTAAATTATTCCCAAAATCAGAGGGGAATAATAGATGGATAACACATGTAGAAGTGCATAACCCTGACCATAAACCTAAACTTAACATACACAGTAAATGTATCTCTTAAGTCTGATTGGTTGATAAGAATGTTCTAGGATTGACATAGATGTTAATCCAGGAACGTGTCCTACTTGGTGAATTCGGATTGGCAGTATACACACAGCCTGACTTTTCTAAGATTAATATTTTGTGTATTCAATTGTTGTATAAAAATGTAATATATCTTCATATTTAAAGATTGTTTTTTGATTCAAACTGTAGAGGTTAGGGTTTTTTTTTTGTTGCTGCTTTTATAACATGAGCATCTTCCAAACAAAAAAACAAGCTTGGGACATTTCAGAAAACGATGGTTAGCCTACTAGGGTGACAAGTTGTGTCGTAACAAACATAGTTTGTTGATTTGGCTGCATTGACAATATGAGCATCTACTAAACAAAACCAGTCTGCTCTTATGTCAGCTACCTCTTGAGGAGGTCAAAGTGAGGTTTCACACCCTATTCACACTGAATTGCTATAAACACATGTGTCAACGCTTGTTGACATGATCAGGCTTAAATGGGAACCAACGAGCAATTTTACCTTACGCTCATCTCCGCAAGGGTTGCCTGAAAAATTCATAGCGTGTTTCAGCTTAAATAATAACCAATTACATATTTTACCCAGCATTAAAGCTGAAACATTCATCAGTGAGTAGTTTATTTGCATTTTAAAGAACCCCAAAATTCTACTTTGGATGAAACACACCTGCACTGGTGGATAAACAAACTAGGTGTGACCCTGGTGTTTGATCCTTGACATTTACTCCCTAATTGCTTTGCCAAGCAGCGACTTCAGGGGCTGCTCATTCAAAGGTGTACATTCGTTAGCCTTAGCATGTCAGAAGTGAGGACATCTGAAGTCTAATTTGGTCTGATATTTACTCGCCCGATACCCATGTGACCTGCGGACTTGGCAGGCCGACACTTTCACGCTGGCTGATTCTCTTGCTGGTAAGAGATCTCATTATGGCAGAAGCCCTTAGTCAGAGATCATTAACATAAACACTCATTAGAGCCCAAAGAGGGTGTGTGTGTGTGTGTGCACTGGCCTAATGTCTATTGGACCGGGTCACTAAATGCAATTAATAAATTCCAAATGGAAGTGCATTACGCCCAATTAAAACTCAATTGAATCAAATGGCTCAGAGGTTTGGTGGCATAAGAGGACTACAGGAGCAGTCGATGTTACTCCATTACCGCAATGACTCGCCTTTAGAGGAATCAGCTAATTGATGGAAGGAGAAATGGCAAAACCTTGAGGCTTCAGATCATAATGCGATCAAATGGAAAGAGATATATGAGTGATTAATATGAATTGTCTACAAATACAGTGTGTTTAGCGTTGAAACATGACATGGGTACTGATTTTTGAGGTTCACAACTAGGCAAGCAATCAAAAAAAAGTGAGTCTGTAAGAATTGTGATTATTTATATTTTATTTGAATTGTAAGTAATTAACTTTAAATATAATTTTCATGATATAGGTATGTGTCCACAGTCATATTGGAGTGATAGAAACACAATAAGTCTCCTTTTACAAATTTCCTGACTTGTAAATAGGAAATCCCAGTGACGTATCCCAGTGATGTTTGAGTGTGGTTTTCCCCGCCCACTGAATTTATTAAAAGATGCCATGTATCCATAATAACATGTATACACATGTCCACAGAACATTTTTTTGCAGTGAAACTGGGATTAAAACATATGTTACATGTCTTTATGATCAGCTGCACCTCAATATTTAATTTTCATAAAGTAAAATAATTAATAAAGTTTAAAACGTTTTTAAAACAGTGCAAGTTTGTAATAAAGTCGGTAAAATTGTTATGTAATTCTTAACCGCAATAATTACCACGGCCGCATGGTATCAGTAAATGCGCATACTGTAAGTGTGTGACTCATCATTTCAGAAAGGCTTGAATAGACTCTATTTCAGCTTCATCTGTGTCTCTAACACTGATGGCTGTTTATCTGACGTAATGCAGGAGAAGCAGACGCATGTTGGAGCGGTGGGTGGGGAGAAGCAGCTCATTTGGATTTAATGCCACAGGCTACATAAACAGCTGCAACTTTACACCAAACAACAAAGTCTGATCTTACATCTTGTAAAAGGGGTAAAATAGGTGCCCTTTCAATGATAATTAAAAAAAAAATGCTACTTTGTCAGCAGATGCATTTTGTCAAAGGAAATTAATGAAATTGTTAAAAAAAACTCTTTAAAAATAGTTTTAAATTTTCTGATAATAAAAAAAGTTTTGAAAAAAAATAAAACATTTATTTTAAGTATGTACTGGTAATTTGGTTGATAATGTTACTGTCTTAAGTAAATGTATATTTTATTGCATACATACAGTATATATTAGATTTTTTTTAAGACAAAAGTGACAGCTGTATTATATATTATTATTATTTTTATGAGTCATTTAATTTCAGTGTCAATTTTTTTATATACACATAAATACTATTAAATGCAGTTAGAGTGTTTTAATATGTCCAATACATTTTGTGCCAATAACAGACTAAAACATGGAAAGAGTAACAGTTACAGTCCATATACAGTAGTCAACATTTAAAGTGGGTCCAAAAAGTGTCTAAAAATTGTCTAAGACTACTGAACAACACCCATTCTTGTCTTTTAGGGGTGTATATATTTATATATATATATATATATATATATATATATATATATATATATATATATATATATATATATATAGAAGGCGAGCGCAAGTATTTACAATGCTACTTAACTACTTAAACTGCAAAATTTCACTGCGTGTGTGTTTACTAAACAGTCTTTCACTGACATTTACAGCAGAAGCCCTTATTTCACTGCGATTGAGAAAATGAAAGAAAACTCAATTTCTCTCTCTCTGTATGACTTTGGACCTTTGACCTGCTGGTGTGACTTTTCCTCTCCTCTCGGCTCTTGCAGTGATACTTCCAGATACAGACACAAGCGCGTGTCTGCAGAGTGAGTTTTCTCAACCACGCCTATCATGGATCAGCTGTGATCCCCGCTGCCGTTTATAAGTTTTACTTATCGGTGAACAGCACCAAAGCGTTAGAGCCAATAGCAGCCCTTTCTGTTAAGCGCGTGACCAGTCCTATGGGTGTAAGAAAGAACTCGCTAGAAAAGGCTCAGAAAGCGAGCGGGATATTTAGATTTGTTTATTTGCTATAAATACTCATTTTGTTCTGTGCATGTACTTGAGTTTTAAAAGGTACAGTTAATATATCTGACTGTATTAAAGGACAAAATTGTATTACAAATAGTATATAAATATAAATATATAACTGTGTCTAGAAAGCATCATTAATGCACCTTGATGCACCAAGATATTAAATTGAACCGAATCGATGGCATGATAATCGTAATCAAACCATGAAACCAGTGTATGTTCACACCTCTAATATATATATATATATATATATATATATATATATATATATATACACACACACACACACACACACACACACACACATATCTATATATATATATATATATATATATATATATATTATATATTATATATATATATAATCATTTATATTCCTTCAGCTTAGTCCCTTAGTTGTCAGCAGACAGCAGAATGTACTGCCAACTATTCTGGCATATGTTTTACACAGTGGATGCCCTTCCAGTCACAACCCAGTACAGGGACACATAAGTTATTCTAGTCACAAAATGGTATAAATTGGTATTTTATTTTTAATTATTAAACACTTATTAAACACATAATGCAGGTAAAAACCTAGTCATTTATAGGAAAGTGGCACTAAAAGTATATATACAAGTATACACATTTTAAATGTCTATTAGTGTTTTGGTACTGCACTGTGTTCCCTAAATTGAGATTTTTAGTATATAAACAACTGTCAGAACAGGCAAATTACATTCCATTGGGTTTCTTTTGCAAATCATGTCAAGCCTTTACTGTTCTGCTTTAAAATTATAATTTTTTTTGTTGTTGTTGCTGTATTAGACTTCTAAAATTCTAATGTTTGAAAACTCCTTTTTTTCTTTCGACCAATATGCATTTATATTATTTCAGAATGCTAAAACATGTACAAACAATTTGGATTTGACATAGTCCAAAATAATTTTTAAACTCTTGTTTTCCCCCTCAATTCTCTTGGTTTACCCTTTTGTACTTTCTCTTTCATTATTCTGCTAATTATAAGTAATTACACAGCCAGCAAACCAAACCCAGAACTGCTCATGCAACAGACCAGGCTCTTGCATGTCAGTGGCGAGTGTGTACTTTATTCACGTGGCGATTCCAGCAGAGACGGAATCAAACGGAAATCAATTCACATCCCAAACAGCTGCCAGTGTATCTACTGCCAACGGCCACCAGCTAATGCTGTTTGTGTTGCATTTGACTGGGTTACCATGGGACTGGTGACTCGGGGCTAAACGAAATAAAAACGTTGGCTCAAATTTGAGCCTTGATTGGTAGACTGGGACTAACCTGCAGACCGATGGGACCAGGAGGTCCAGGGAAGCCCCGGGATCCTTCATCTCCCTTCTGTCCAAACATACCCTGCTGTCCACGAGGACCGGGCTCGCCATCTGCTCCCTGAAACGGACAATTATTCAGAGCCTCAGTGCATTCCTTTATTTTCTGAATGAAGGGAAATAATAGATGAGGTGATTCTGGACTTACAGCAGGTCCAGGAGCTCCAATGGGTCCCTGAAGACCAGGAGGACCTGGTGGACCCTAGTGGACAACACAATCAAGGAGAAGATGAGTACAATAAAGCTGAATTAGGTATTATATTTCCTCAATAATGACTTTTTAGTTGGAGATTATATAGCAGGGGCTGCTTCGGGAAGTCAAGACCCAATTACTTTTTCGGTGATTGACAATTAACCTTTGTCTGTCAATTTGAAAAAGTTATAAAGGGGTCCACATATGACAAAAATCTCAGTTTTTTTACACTTTCATTGACAGAGATTACTTTTCCAGCATCAGTTCTGATGATAACTTCCAAAAATGGAAAACCCTTACTTAAAGTATCTTAACCCTTTGATTTAGGGACATTTTTGCTCCGATGGTGATTTTTTCTTATTTCTTTTGTATTTTTAATCTTTCTATGAAGGGTGGCAATCAACATCAAAGAGCCAATTCTCCCTTTACAAAACTTATTCCTCCGAACCACCAGAGGATGTCCCATGCTCTTAAATGTGAATCTGTTCTGTGCTTTAATTTTATTTAGGCATGAAAACTCTGAAATAAATATAAAAACGGCAGGATTCCCTTACGTTTCATTACAGGTGCCAATGCTTCCCCTCTGCAATCATCAAAACAAGTCAGTTCATGTAACAAATATAGCAACGCAACAAATTTAGTCTTAAATGAGCATAAATAGTTAGGAAAGCAATCGAATGCTTTCATTATAGATCTGTGCATTGTTAAAGTGACAACTTTGTTATTTAATGTAATCAAACAAAAAAATCCAAATGAGAGATTCATTCGCTGCTCTTTAATTAGAATGTTTAAATTATACATTGAAGAAAAGGTTCGTGAGATTTGATAACTTGATTCAATTTCTTTATAATAGCTATTCATTTTAATAGGTTAAACTTTAACCTATTTGCTGCTTTTTGTAATGTATGCTATTTATTCTCTCCTTTATCTTTGTTAATAATACTAAAAAAAAACATAATACTGGTCGTTTCAACTGTGTATTTAAATAAAACACCTCCAGATGAACATATTCTTTTTTTTTTTTTTTGGAGTGGTATCCCTTATTTTTACATCGTTGCCAGGTATGTCCAATGGTGCCTAGTCTAAAATCGAATTCTGAAAGAAATGAGGGTGAAATATTTAAAAGTTCAATACAAAAATGCATTTTGACAGCCAAAATGGTCATGATAAAAAGAAAATAAATAAATCAATAAAGCATTTTGGTTACCAAAACCATTGACTTTACTTGTATTATGAATATAGATGAAAGAATGCATGTTCGGAATTCATTTATTCATTTTCTTTTCGCCTTTATTAATCTGGGGTCGCCACAGCAGAATGAACCGCCAACTTATCCAGCATATGTTTTACGCAGCGGATGCCCTTCCAGCTGCAACCCATCACTTTGAAACACCCATACACTCTCATTCACACACGTACACTACGGACAATTTTAGGTCCCCAATTCATGAAATCATTCGATTGCTTTCCTAACTTTTTATGCTCATTTAAGACTAAATTTGTTGTGTTTAAAAGGAAACTTACCTAGATCGACATGTCTAGATATTATTATTATGTTAATATGTCTGTTCAAACGTGTACCCAAAACCTAGAGTGTCCACTTTTGCTCTGCTTCAAATCACGTGTACAGAATCTGTTAGTGAAACAGCATCTAAAGGGAAGATCGGCTCTTAGATGTTTATTGCCAACCTTCATAGAAAGATTAAAAATAATACCTTTATGGGATGATAGGAAGATAGAATTGTAAAATATGGGAGACTCAGGAAAAACGGAAGGATTGACAGGTATGGTAGATAAATTTGGGTGGATGGGTGTGGTTTTGGTAGGTAGATAGTTGGAGGGACGAGTAAGTGGTGGGTGAATGGATTCATGCATGAATGAATGGTTTTTGGTGGATAAACGTATGGCTGGGTAGATGGATGAATGAATATAATTTAATTGGCTGGGTTTTGGGCAGATGGATTTAGTTATTGTCTCTAGAAGTGGAAAAAATACAGATGTATTGAAGCATCTTTGGAAATGCTATTTAACATACAATCATTTCTGTATGCAAATCCTACTGCGTGTATAAATGAAAGCTTTTACAACTGAATTTGCTCACCTGTTCTCCTTTGTCAGCTTTGCTTCCCTTCTGGCCTGGTTCACCCACTTCTCCCTGGAAAAAAGTGAATAAATAATAAGTAATTTAATTTTAATTATGGTTAAAATTTTCTGATATGTGCATTCTTTTTACTACAATGTAAGTGATTCAAAAATAAAAGAGCCACCTATAAACTGTGCAGTACATGGTATGACATTGCTGTTGACCTGCATGGAGATTCACTGTAAATAAAAGAATGAATGTTGTGTCTGAACTATCGGACATGCTAAAAGTTATTCTTGGCACGTAAAGCCATGAAGCTTGTTAGAAGATACTGATGGAGAGACAACGTTTATGGTACCCTGCGCTAATTTGATTATATGCCGCCTCTGCTGATGATGATGGATTGGCGGCAGGGGAGAGCGACTGAGAGATAGGCGTGTGTTTCAGATGGTCGTGCAGTGCGTTTGTGATGATGAAGAATGATTACTCTCCAAAAAATGAGAGACAGGGAGGAATTCTGGGAAGAGATATGAGAAATGCTAGGGTGACAGGAGAGAATTTTGTTGTGCGTTTTTTTCAATAGACATTTTTTAAAACAAAAAAAGGTTGTTTTTTCATGAAAATGTTTATACACTATTGACAAATATTTGTTTTTCTTGTGCAAGGCACAAAATGAAATAAATTTGATTAGATAAATACATAAAACTATTTGAAAATCTCTGAAAATTATAATTTTTCACTGTTTAAAATTGTTAATAGCTTCAGAAGTGTTGAAACCAAACATTCTTCCATTAATCTGTATAATTCGAGTTAAGATGAAGTGAAATCCATTACAGTTCTGCAGTACCAACTGTGAGTTGGCTGTGGGTAAGCACAGTTCAGGGAAAGCATTGCATTAATGTACTGTATCAACTGTTCTCCTGTCTAAATGTGTTAATGTGTATCAAAACTGAATTTAACCTTGTCACCATCTTCTCCAGGTGGACCCTGAGGTCCTGCTGGACCTGGCAGACCAACTGGACCTTGAACTCCATCCCTACCGGCTGGACCCAGAGGACCTCTCTCTCCCTGATAAAGGACAAAATTATTTTTCAGATGTTAAATCTTAATATAACTGTATGATGGTACAAAGGTTATCTGGTTGCTGTGCTGTGAGCAACCACAAACCATCAGTAAGAAATATTTTATGTAATATAAGGAATGTAATAGCATCATCTTTATATCTAATTTTTGCAATTACCGGTGCACCCTTCTCTCCAGCAGGTCCTGGGGGTCCCTGAGGTCCAGTACGTCCAGGCAGGCCAATGGGACCAGCAGATCCTGCTGCTCCTCTCTCACCAGGGGAACCCTATTATCAACATCACAGACAAAACAATTGAATGACTGTGCTCAACAGTCAAGTACAAAATGAAAAACTCTATTCATGTTCCCCTACAGGGACATTTGTCAATAATTGATTACCCTTTAAAGATGTAGTATGTAGTTGTTTATTCGTTTTTTATGCTTTTGTCGAATCTACCTGTTTGAATTAGTTCAACTTTTTTTTTAAAGGGACTTATTATGCAAAAATCACTTTTATAAGGTGTTTAAACACAGTGGTGTGGCAAAAGTCTGTGAATACAACCAGCTTCTAAATGTACAAATTTATAATTATTATTTTTTTATAAAGACACTACAGGAACACTTTAGTCAAGTCAAGTCAACTTTATTGTCAATTTAATTGACATTGTTCCTTTGTACGTGTCATCAAATGGAGAAAGGCCCGCCCACAATCTCTCCCTCATTGATATAGGAGGTCTAGTTTTTGAATCTGCCATTATGCTGACACGTAGGTATTCATAGCTCCGCCCTATTTTAAATCTCATTTGAAATTTAAGCGACAGTCACGAAATGACACAATTAGGACCAAAGGTTAAAAGGGGCAGTTTCAAAGAGTTATAAAACATTATTTGTGTGATATTTTGAGTTGAAACTTTACATACACACTCTAGGGACATCAGAAGCTTATTTTACATCTTGTTAAAAGGAACATAATAGGTCCCCTTTAAAAATATTTAATAGTAATATTTGTTAATCCATTTTATATGTTTTTGTCGAATCCACCTGTTTGAATTAGTTCAACTTATTTTACTTTTATAAGGTGTTTAAAACAGTGGTGTGGTAAACGTCTCTAAATATAACCGGCTTCTAATTGTACAAATTTAATAATTAATTTTTTTTTCCATAAAGAAACTACAGGAACACTTTAATTGACATTCTCCCTTTGTACGTGTTATCAAATGGGGAAAGACCCGCCCACAATCTCTCCCTCATTGATATAGGATACTAGTCTAGTTTTTAAATCTGCCACTATGCTGACACATAGGTATTCATAGCTCCACCCTATTTTAAATCTCATTTGAATTTAAAGCGACAGTCACGAAATGACACAATTAGGATCAAAGGTTAAAAGCGTCAGTTTCAAAGAGTTATAAAACATTATTTGTGTGATATTTTGAGTTGAAACTTTACATACACACTCTAGGGACATCAGAGACTTATTTTACATCTTGTAAAAAGGGACATAATAGGTCCCCTTTAAAAATATTTAATAGTAATATTTGTTAATCCATTTTATATGTTTTTGTCGAATCCACCTGTTTGAATTAGTTAAACTTATTTTACTTTTATAAAATGTTTAAAACAGTGGTGTGGTAAACGTCTGTAAATATAACCGGCTTCTAATTGTACAAATTTATAATTTTTTTTTTTCATAAAAACACTACAGAAACACTTTGATTGACATTCTCCCTTTGTACGTGTTATCAATTGGGGAAAGGCCCGCCCACAATCTCTCCCTCATTGATATAGGATGCTAGTCTAGTTTTTGAATCTGCCATTATGCTGACACATAGGTATTCATAGCTCCGCCCTATTTTAAATCTCATTTGAAATTAAAGCGACAGTCACGAAATGACACAATTAGGATCAAAGGTTAAAAGGGGCAGTTTCAAAGAGTTATAAAACATTATTTGCGTGATATTTTGAGTTAAAACTTCACATACACACTCTAGGAACATCAGAGACTTGATATACATCTTGTAAAAATGGCATAATAGGTCCCCTTTGAAAAATATAATAGCAGAATCTGTGTAGAAAAACTACATTACCCATTACCCGGGAGAATCCATCAATTAGAATGTTCAAATATCATGGCAAAATAGATATTTAGCCCTGCCCACTCACATGAAGGACCACAAAAGACGTATTTGGTAGTCCAAAACAACAGTTGCTAAGATGTTCTGTTTGTTTTTACTGTATGATGTTATGTAAGTGTGTTGATATCCAGTTGCCAAGGTGTTTGGACTGTTTTAAAAGTTGCTATGCTGATGTTCATTTAATTTTATATTACTTTGCTGTTGCTAAAGTGTTCTAGTTATTGTATGCTCTTGCTTAATTATTCTGGCAGTTTTAAGATGTAAAGCTGATGTAAGTGTATTGCTATGTAGTTACTAAGGTGCTCTGGTAGTTTTTAAAGATTTAGAACTCAAGATTTAGACTCAGAAGAACACAGAGACCACTCTGAAGGGAGCTGTTCAAGCAGCATAAAAACTTTCTGCCGGGTGCCAAATCTGCTCATACTAGTGGGCGAACATGCCCTTAGACTCCTTATCTCTTTCTCTTAATGTGGTTTAATTTGTAGACCCCTGCATCTTCATACAAATGCAAATGTATCCTTTATCAGACTGACACAGACAAATTTAAAACTCCTCAGTGACTTTTCATCCATCCATTCTAATCTCACAGCGCGCTGTCAAGGCCTGAAAAAGAGCAATTATAGGGTGACAATACTTATCTGTTTTTTTTTTGCTTAAGAGAAATGAATCGGCGAAGAAAAGAATGTGGTTTTAATTCGCAAGGCTCTTGAGAACATTCCACATCATGCCCCGTCACATGAAATCTAATGAAACGGCTATGGTATAAAATGTCAAGAGGAAGTAATTACGAACTGGCACTGTGAATTTATCTCAAATCACTCTGGTGGTCATCATCACACCCTCTAGTGTTAACTAAAGCCACTGCGCGTTCTTTAAAGAGGCACAGCGGGAGCCATCGATCCAGCGGTGTCCGACTCGGTATCTGTCATTTAGCGCGGTAGGAATCAGTGGCGCGCCGTTCTTTGTTTGTGGGCATGTTGGTTAGCGAAGAACACCTTTTAAATCCTTAATGGTGTTTTCGAGCCTCAGATCTTCATGACCACTCCCTCACCCCTCTCAGACTCCTAAATATTGAATGGCGCTTTTGGGAGAGCAAGCTATTCACGTTGAGTGATGGGAAACCATGGAAACAGAGTACTTACAACAGGGCCAGGAGGGCCCTGAGGGCCCTCGGCGCCTTTCAAACCAGGTGGACCCTGCAGACGGAGAAAACAAAACATGGGTGAGTACATAAGCACAACAAGCAGGTTCATATCAAAGTGTCATTTTCTCCTGAGCATTATTCACCATGCCATCTATTGATGCTCAAAGCCTGATATAAACATACACTGGTGGTTTTAGTGCACCATGCCTTAGAAAACACATCTACCTGTAGCTCTTATAACACATCTAACACAATAAGACAGCACAGTAATGGAGATTTCACATTGAAAGCTTATAAGAACCCACAATGAAAGCTTTTTTAAACTTAGATTATTGTATGTGTCGTGCAAATATATAAAAATTGTGAAGTTTGTCATTATTTGCATTAGTTTTGCATGTTTTATCCAAAGTTTTAATCTGTTTAAGTGTGAAAGAGATTTAGAACATAATGAATACATTTAAGCCTAATATATGACTTTATGAACCTATTTTCATAAACAAATATCAGGTTTTGACCTTTTTGCATCTGTCACTGTGTTCATTTGCTTAGAAAGAATCAGCATAAACACTTTTATGTCTGTTTTCCAGTTCTCTACGCCAGTGTTTCTCAACCACATTCCTGGAGGACCACCGGCTTTGCGCACTTTCCATGTCTCTTTAACCAAACACACCTTTTTCAAATCATCAGCTCATTAGCAGAGACTGAAAGACCTGTAATGGGTGTTACAGACAAAGGAGACATCCAAAACATGCAGTGCTGGTGGTCCTCTAGGAACATGGTTGAGAAACACTGCTCTAAGTACATTAAATGAAACTAAGAGTTTTGAGCAACATGAAGATTATTGTGTGAATTATTACTTTCAGTACAGGATCATAATTATTCCCTTTCAGGTTCATAAATATTCTTAACTTAAATATTAGCTGGAATAATGTAGATGATCAAAGTCCTGAGAGAACTCAGCTCTAATGAATTTCTCAGATCGTCAGTGATTTCATTAAAATATCCAAAGGTATGTTGATCTCTCATAAAGCTTTCAGATTTCAATTTTTTATTAAAAGGAATGACTAATCAAAAATTTAAATACCTCAGGGTTTCTGCATGTTTCTTCAAATCAAATTGAAGACTTTTTAAGACTCTTTTAAGACCATTATGAACGAAATTTTAGACTTATACAGAGCTAAACACTAACAATTTTTTTCTAATGGCCCAGTTACTTCTGTATATAGTTTTTGTATCAATGGAAGATCATGTAAAGTTATGTATTGCTTTAGTTTTCTCTGATTTAGAAATTTTTGGAGAATTTGCTGTAAAAAAAAAAAAGTATATTAGCAGTTGTGAATTTTATCACTTTGCAATAACAAACATAATAAAAATTTTAAGAAAAAGTTTTGAGATGGATTATAAGTGATTGGATGTTGGCCAGATTGGGTAGCTAACCTTGGACAAGGGGAAGTTAAAACCTACTACACAATATTTCAGTGATTTTTAGACTTTTTAAGGCCTTTTTAAGACCCAGTGGACACCCTGCACTTACTTTATATTGCTACAAACTCTTAGTTTGAAAGAATTTCTTCAAAAAAGGGCAAATGATACCATAAACAATGCCTGTGACACTTGTTTCCATTTGTAAAGAGGTTTAATAATATCATAATGCATCAGTATTTAAAAAACTTTTGTGAAACATTACCACTATGCCAGTAGAAAAGCTAAATATTATTGTTTGTGTACTGTATCAATCCAGTATGTTACAGCAATTTACTTTGAAAGTGGCTATTGATTTCACAAAACCAAGAAATTTTTTTTAAAAGGAATGTACTTTTTTCATGTTCCTCTAACATTAACATTTACAAAAAGTATTATTTTTTCATACAAAAAAACAAAACAAAAACAAAACATATATATGCATATATGTCAATATGAGTTTGGATGTTTGAAAGTCCCAACCTTCACTGACAAAGGTCCGGAATTTGTCCCATACATGAGCTCATTTGTCCTATTTTGATTGCTATGCCAAAATAAATAGTAAAAAATACCTATGAAAATAACCTATCGAATAAGGCTTTAAGACCAAGTGGAATCCTGTGTCAGGTGCTGCTTCGGTGTGACTTTTCAAATTCTACATTCCAAATTCTGACTGGGGGCAGTTGAATGTGCTGGCCAGGGGTGAGTTTCCCAAACACCGACATAACTCGCGGTTGAACTACCATAGTACGATGCGTTTGGGAAAAGAATGGTGTAGTGATGAGCGTTTGCTAACCCATAGTTTCTCTGTCGCAGATCCTTCGTTTGAACCACGTTAGTTATGACGTAAAACAGCCATAATGATGCTCTAAACAGGCTGGTAACAACTTCTTCAGCGAAGAACCCCATAATGTTTTTGTGCAAATTCTATTGTTGTACACGCACATGCATTTAAAAAAAGAATACCAATATTAGTTTTGGTAAAAACATGCACTCGTTTTTTGTATTAATTGAAATATGTAAACGGCACATATAGAGCATTTGTTTCCTTTACAGAAATCATTGAGAACATTACATTTTCTATTCTAAAACGTAAAATCACTTACAAAAGATAACACGTATTCTAATATCATATATAAATCATATGAGTAAAAAAATTAATATTATTTATTAAGAAATGAAATTTAATATTTATTATTTATTAGGAAATTATTATTATTATTATTATTATTATTATTATTATTAAGTAGGATATTGTTTATATTTTTAAAGGTATGTTTTTATTTTTTGAAAAGTCTACTTATACAATTTAACACATGCAAACCACTGCAGAAATGTTCTAACCAACAGGCCCATGTCATACGGTACAGAAACTTAATACTGCTATGTTATGCTGTTTTTTTTTTATTTTTATTTATTTAATATTTTTTTCACAAGCTTTGGAGACGTAACATAAATTCGGCTTTTAAATAATAGGTCACCTATACTGTAGCTTTCGTCATGAGCCACGGCTGTGTTTAAAATGACATCAACGTTTTCAAAGTGCACTGCAGAGGGAATGCATTTGTAAACATGAAGATTGCTAAAACTGAACTGTAAAAATACTTTGAAAGCAAATTACACCTAAGGGAGATGACTTTAATGCTTTTTAAACCCTTCAGACCTGAACTATGTTCCAAACTTCAGAAAAATGGGATGTCATGTGATGTCCATTGTAATGGACGGAGGGTCTGAAGGGGTCAAAAAAATTATTCCAAGTTTAAATGGTGGAATGTTTAAAATGATTAGGGTATAGGGGGGATGACTGGGAAAAGAACACAGCCAGGAGCTATGTTTCTAACTACAGCTGCAGAGGTGTAGTTGCAAGCATTCAAGTTTGAGACGCAATTTGCAAATGTTCGTTGGAACGATGGATTTGGGAAACGCCAAATCAACAAACTATGTTTGTAACAACAGAACTTACGACCTTAGTTGGCTAACGATGGTTTTCGGAAACGCACCCCAGTTTGTTATTTGCCTAATAAATGACAATAGGCTACAGTTTTTAATTTAAAACTTTAACAGATCCCCATTTTTTTCCTAATGATATATAATATGATAAATTTGTATTTAAAAAAATAAATAGGCTATCATTTTCATATTTTTTTATTCTAAATCTTTACGAAATGCTTTTGGTACATCAAAACCACTGACAAGCTAATCTAGCAAAAAATAGTGCTTGAAATGTCACTAAAATGCAGTATTTAAATCTCATAATTGAAGAGAAAATGAGGCGAATAACTGCAAAAATGTCCACTTTTTGAGAAAAAAAGAACCACCCCTATCACCAGGCTGCCTACGGGCCTGATAAATCTAATACACATAACCAACGTCATGGCAGGCTGTTGATCTCTAGCACTTGTAAACATATTTTTGTTCTCGGACAAACAGCAGCCCAAACTGACAGCGGGTTTGGTCTTTTTTGACTGTGGGTTTCATTAATCTCCTGTTTGAGAGTGAAATCCACAGAACTCGACCGCCTGCTGGTTCTGTCTCCACACGACTGATATTTACTGGCCTTTTTTGTCTCACAGGACAGTTGTCATCTGGGACGCAGTGAAAATCAAAGCGCTGACAAGAGCTTATGTGTGTGTGTGTGTGTGTGAGTATGTGGAAATATCTTCTAGGTCCATAAGTTACATAATGATATATAAAATACCCTGTTGATGTGTATATTTCCTTAATGTCTTTGTAAGTGCATCTGTGAGTGTGTGTGTGTGTGTCAGGGTTCATGGAGGTGCCATCGTGTCTTGTGTGCTTATGTGTGTGAGGGCTTGAGATTGCCTCTCTAAAGGGCAGACACACACGGTGGTCTCAGTAATGACTGTTGCTGTCCTAAGAGAGAGGAAAAAAATAGCCCCAGTAGAAAACAATCAGGCATCGCATGGAGAGCCAGCCACTGCCACTGACCTTGAGATCAGACATCAACAATGAACAAACAACCCCGTCTCCAAAAAATCTAATTGCCAACATTTCCAATTAAATCATTTTCTGGCCTGATAATACATATAAAAGACAACAGCCAGTCTGCTTCAAAAGGCGGTAAAGGGAAAGACGTGAGATGCAGGCAAATTAGCATAATGTATACAATGCAAAGTTAACTTTTTTAGAGGTTATACAGCATATTAAAGTCTTTGCGAGGCACATTGAAGTCCAATTCTGTGGCTGTAATGAGCCAGGGCTGCTGCGTAACTTTCTGTCTACCTGTAAGATTAGGAGGATTTATTGCGGTGATTTATTCATGATCTTACCGTCACTCCTGGAAGACCTCTTTCTCCAGGGAACCCTCTGAGTCCTGGTGGACCGTCTTTTCCTGGACTGCCCTGAGGACCTGGATCTCCCTGCGGATAGACAGTTGGCAATTGAATACTTTATTGAGCTTCCAATATAATGAACAGAAGATTTGCCCAAAATGAATTCTCCGCTGAAGCTAATGAGCTCTGAAACTGATGAAATGATTCGGAATTATTGCTAGCGCCAAATCCAGCAATGGCAGGTCGATTCAATTAATATTTTTGACCTCATACTGTAGCAGGATTAAAAGTGAGGTGGGTACATTTTATATAATGAAACATGTTTTCAATCTGATATCTCTATCTTTCATTGGTCAGACACACTTATATTTCCATGGGGCGCCACTAAAATTCACACGCCAGATAGTTTTAACATACATTTTTTTTTAAAAGGGGTATTAAACCATAAGTGTTTTAACATCAGGAAACACATTTGACCTTTAAAATGCAATAAAAAGTCCAATTAATGCTAAAACAAACTGCACTAAATAAATTCTACATCATTGGTTGCACCAAATAAACTTTATTCATTAAGCTTTAGCATTGGTTGTATAATATTTCAACACAATTAAGGCAGAAAACAATACTAAATGTCTCTTGCATGGCCAACATGTGCTTAAGAACAATACAATGCAATCAGACGGGACTGTTTGGCAGGCTCAAGAGATATTTAAAAACCCTAGTAAGCTTAAATACAACCTCCACTTGACCTCAGCGTTTTCACATTTTGATTAGATAACTGAATATGTCATTTTCAGCTAATGATAAGACAAAGCAAATGAGCAAAATCAGGAGAATGACTTGGGAAAAGACATGACTGGTCATCCTGTAGCACCATCCATGGTCTCCGGTATGTTCACTCACATCTGACAGCTGTCTGAAGTGGGCCGATCAAGCTGATTAAAGTGTCTCCGTTTAGGAGTGACAGAAATTGAAACCGAGATGGGATGGTTGGACATTCTGAGAAATTCAGTTCAGCTTTTAAATGCCACATCTACTAACAATTTAAAGTCTATTTAGAAAGGGAATTCACCAATTTTCTACAGTAGCGATGTTACAGCTAACGTGGATGCACCAGACGGATCAAGCTGCAAGTGATTTTTCTCAAAGTGAAAAACTCTGTGGGTCATCATCAATCATTTTCACTTCTGTTTGACCTTCACCATCATGTAGTTCTCAAAATAAAGTAGCTTTATACAGTTGAAGTCAGGCCCCTTTTGATTTCCTTTTTCCTTTTTAATTTTTTTTCCAAATGATGTTTAAAAGAGCAAGGAAATTTTCACAGTTTGTTTGACAATATTTGTTCTTCTAGAGATTTTTGTTTGTTTTATTTCGGCTAGAATAAAAGCAGTTTTTAATTTTTTAAAAAGCATTTTAAGGTCAATATTATTAACCCCTTTAAGCTAAGTATTTTTATTATTTATATATATATATATATATATATATATATATATATATATATATATATATATATATATATATATATATATATATAGTTGAAGTCAGAAGAATATAGAATTATTATATAGTTTGCTGTTTTGACTAAAGAAGTATGTAAACATGACCATCATTTACCTTTGCCCCTTCTTTTCCACCAGCGCCAGGAAGACCCTGCTCTCCGGGGGGACCAGGGGGTCCAGGATGTCCTCTTTCACCAATTGGACCGGTTTCTCCAGTCGGTCCCTTTTAACCCATTACAGACACATTTGTGAGATCAACAGTGAAAGTGTTTCTGCTTACCTCAAAATGAACAAACTTACCTGTGGTCCAACAACTCCTCCAGGTCCTGGTGGGCCAGTTTTGCCTTGGAATCCCTAAGAATTAAAACACAGTAACTATTTCTGATTGGTTTATTCATCCTTCCATCCACCCATTTACTAATCCACCCAAGTATTGTATATCCAACCAACCATTCATCTATTCATCCACCCACCTTTCCCACATAGCAAAATTTCTCTGTGAATTACGGGACATGACTGGACCAAATCTGGCTTCCAGACAAGGGCCAAACACAGACCATATCTGGGCCAAGTCTCAGCCAAGTTAATAACTCATAACTGGGCCTGAACTGGGCCAGTAAGGTTGGTGTGTCACGATTGCAATGAAATTAATAAACCTATGAAGCGTTGTGCTTTAGGCACACTATGGGCCTTGTTTTTTCTCAGTGACCTGATAGGTATAATTGATTTATTTAATCAAAAATTATTTTTATGTATTTTAAATGTGGGTCAAGACTGGCCAAACTCACGTGGCCCACAATCAATTTTTAAAATCTGGGCCAAATACTACGTTTTACATCTGGCCCAAATCTTGTGTGCCGCATTATAGACGGTGCCACCTCTGCCAAACCCAGCCCATGGTTGGCCCACATGCTGTATGCCAGTGCCGGATGAATGCCTGATGTCCCAGCTTTATGCCAAATCTGGGCCAGAATTCTTTGCTACTAGGGTTCAAACCATTAATCGATTGATCTGCCCAAAATCCAACCAACTAAATTATATTCATTTACTCATCTTTCCAGCTGTGCATTTACCCACCAAAAACTATTTATTAATGCATGAATCCATCCACCCACCACTCACTCGTCCATCCAACCATCTACCTACTAAAACCCCACCCATCCACACAAATCTATCTACCATAACTCTCAACCCACCCCTCCCGTTTTTCCTGGGTTTCTTTCATATTTTACAATTCCATACCGCTATCTTCCCGTAAAGGTAATGTATTTTCCCATATTTCTCCTGTATTTTCAATCTGTGTATGAAGGGCAGCAATAAACAATAAAGAGCCGATCCTCCCTGTACATAATCCATACCACCGAACAACCAGAGGATGCCCCTTGCTCTTAAATGTTAATCTGTTCTGTGCTTTCATTTTATTTACACATGAAAACATTTTTAAACAAATATAAGAACAGCGGGATTCCCTTCCTTTCCGTTACAGGTGCCGTTGCCCCTCCTATGCAATTCTCAAAACCGTCAGGGGTCAGGGATATCTCTTATTTTCACATCCCTATGTTGACAGGTATGCTATCCACTCCATCCAAACACAACCAGTCAAATCCCACCCACTGTCCAGGGCAAAATGGAGTACTTCACACTGTTTTTAATATGAACAATACAAATAGCTCAGTGAGTCTTTGGCTCAGGGAACATCTATAGGCTCTCTTCCCAGAGGCTCGAGCACCTGATCAGTCATGTCTGCTAAAGGTTATCGCTTGGGTACAGCTGCAATATTTGGGCGAATCTGTGTGAATGACTGGAAACACTTACAGTCTCTCCCCGCTGGCCAGGGTGACCGGGCAGCCCATCCTTTCCAGGTGGTCCCTAAAACACAAAAATATATTAGTTATGAGTTGTACAGAATCTTTAATAAGATGGATAACAACACAAACGGATACTTACAGGGGGACCCTTTGGTCCTGGGAAACCAACAGGACCCTGGGGTCCTTGAGGGCCCTGGAACAGACAGTAATGCAAGTGTATTTACTGATAAGGCTACTCTCTTAACTTGGTTAAAATAAAAATAAGGCACAAAGCTAATCAGAATCTAATATGTGAGCAAGAAGAAGTGAAGATTTATCTGGCCTGATCAGAATCTAAAATAAGTGCTAGAATAATTTAATGTTTACCTGACCTGATCTTTAGTCTTTAAATCTCATTTTGAAGTACCAAAAAAAAAAGAGAAACGTTTATAAATACTCAAAATAACAAAACATTAATAAAATATTACAGCATTGGGAGTGAAACTTATGTTAAGTCAAGATCCTTCAAAAAACTCCTTCTGATTCTGACAAACGGAATAAATAAGGAGGAAAACACTACAGAAAAATAGAGGAAGAAACAAGACCCGGATTCCATAGAAGAGATAAACAGTGCAACATCAGATTTCATTTGATGTGAGCCTTGGACAACAGCCTTCCAGTGGTCTAATGCTCAAGAGTTCTTCATAAATCTATAATAGCTTCCAGACGAAAACAGCAGTCTGGTGGTAAGTCCTCTTATCTCGAGTACACCCACATGCTGAGCTAATCTTCACTGCACCTCCTGCGAAAGCACCCTCTTGGAGCGCTTCAAGCCGCACACCATCGCCGTTGATGCAATGACGGGATAAAATGTTGTCAACTGCAATGCATTCTGGGTGGCACTTACTCTCTCACCGGGTGGGCCAGGTGGACCGTCGTTGCCTGCTGTTCCCTGTGATATAATGAAAGAGAGAAGCATAAGGACTGTGCAACGAGAAGTGACTGACTCAAACACAGTCTTCAGGAGTAGTACCTTCGGGCCTGGCTTTCCAGTTGGGCCTCTTGCACCTCGTGCACCACGGGGGCCCTATGAATTAGGCATATTTAAAATGTGCATGATTAAATTCTGCATAATGTAATGTAAATTTTATCAGAAGGTCTAAGGAAGAAGCAGTACATACCGTTGGACCTCTTTGGCCTCTTGGACCAGCTTTCCCAGCCACCCCCTTTGAACGAGAGAAGAAAAATGAGTGTGGTACGAATCAAGGGGGGGAATTCAATAGCTACACACAGCAAATCCAATCGCTCCAGTTTGTTGCCGTTATTTTTGCCAAGATGAGATGGCAGTGTGTACAGGGGAAAACATTGGATACCTTCCCCTAGGATTTCTAAGAGCCACAGAGATATTTGTTTCAGATGAGGTGTAGGTGTATTAGAAGCACACAAACATACTCACAAGCATTGGCATTTGGCTTTCTGTATACAGGGGCCAAATGCTTGGAAAAATTGTAGCTAACCTGACATTTAGTTATGAATAAAAGCTTAGGGCACAGTTGCTTCCGCTGAGAGGTTTCCTGTGAACAATATTGGGTAAACGTAATACTTCCATGTGAGAGCGATTCCCACTGAATTAATAGGAGGAGACTCTCTCCAGGGAAATATTCTATTGTTTTTGCTGTTTTTTGGTGATAGTCAGCAGAATTTACCCTTTCCATGTCACATAAGGGTTTCAGGGGAATGGTGTATGGCATGGTGTTTTTTTTTTTTTTTTTTTTGCCTCAAGTCAAACCTGGAGACACATTTCTATCACTATGACTCGTGATTATTTAGTGATTTCATCGATTGTGAGGGACCCTTTAAGTGTAGTAACCCTTTTTTTGGCCACACTGATCTTTATAGCCTCAGTTTTATCACAAATGCCACGGTTAAACAACAATTAGAGAAGCAAATCTATGGCTAATTTACAGTAACCATAGTAAAAGTACAGTATGTATTTGTTGTTGTTGTTGTTGTTTTGTATTAAAGCTGAGGTTAATTTTCTTAAGGCATAGATTGGTGCTCAGACTTATGGCCCTATCATACACCCGGCGCAATAATAAGCAAGACGTGTTTGGCAGAATTTCTTGCTATTTTCAGACCAGCTCGACTCTAAATTTCATGTTTTGCACCACGTTGTTTAAATAGCAAATCCATTTGCGCCACTTTGTAGACCCATGGGTGTGCTGGTCTGAAAAGAAGGTGTGTTAAGGCGCATTGTTGACGTGTTGCTGAAAGCTGGTCTAAAGTCAAGTGAAGAGCACTTTAGCTATGCACCTTTGTGGGTCCAAACATGTAGACATTGCTTAATACAGACAGGATGTACAGCAATACAAAAATATCTTTACATATGAAAAATAAAAAAACTAAGAAGTATTATTTTCTACATAAATGTAAAAAAACATCTCCATGCCTTCTTCACCTCGGGGGATTTTTAAGTTTATTCATGACAATTGGCATTTGTAAAATATGATTATTAGCAGTATTATTTATTATATGCGTATTTATATTTGTTAAAATAAAAACAAGTTTAGATTTGTCCATCTGTTGGGATTTGGAACATTTAAGAATAGGACGTGTGTTTGGATAGTCTATAACTCAGTTTTTTTGACTAAACTTCGGTATTATTGTTTATTTATTCGTTTCCTGGAAATTAGTACTGAATTTAGAAATAGTTTTAAGACAAATCTTTATGCTTAACAAATTAAATAAATATGTAGGGTAATGGATGTCTTCACGGAGTGAGTTTCCATTGTTTCCTTATCCATGAAAGTAAAGGAGTATATAAAAGAGTAAAAGTAAAGTGATGAGAAAGTTTAAAGGCCGAATGGAGAAGGCTGTTTTTTATCTTCGTGCAGCAGATTGTCTGTTTAACTGTTTTCTCGCTAATGAATTGTTCAGTTTTTCTACTTACAAAGTGCACCATGTAAATAGCAAATGCCCCATGGCATGACGCAACTGACTCTTAAAGGGAATGAAAGATGACACTCTGATTGGTTTAATACGTTATGTTTAAAACACACCCATAACTCATTAATAAGATAAGCACCAGCCTGTTAGACCATGCACCAGGGCGGCAACCATATTTTTCTATCCTTAAAGTAGAAAAAGTGGATTCAGACATGCCCTTAATGCTTTTGCATCATTTGCTTTTGACTTTTCACCTAGATCGTTAAAATAGAGCCCTTAATGTTCAGACATTGTACTTAATGCATATTTAGCATAATGTTAAATAAAGTCTCATATATTCACTCATTAATTGGTTTAGTAAGCATAATAGGATTAAGCTAACAATATGTAGCTTAATGCTAATGACTGAAAACATGCTGCTTACTCTGTAAAGTAATTTTGGTTCTGCGAGTGACAGCTAATAAAAATATATTTATATACAGTTGAAGTCAGAACTGTTAATTTTTTTCCTGAATTTCTGTTTAACGGTGAGAAGATTTCTTTAACACATTTCTAAACATAATAGTTTTTTAACTCATCTCGAATAACTGATTTATTTTATCTTTGCCATGATGAAAGTAAATAATATTTTATTAGATATTTTCAAGACACTTCTATAAGGCTTAAATTGACATTTAAAGGCTTAATTAGGTTAACTATGCAGGTTAGGGTAATTAGGCAAGTTATTGTAAAACAATGTTTTTTTTCTGTAGACTATCGATAAAAATGCTTAAAGGGGCTAATAATTTTGTACTTAAAATGTTTTTTTTTTTAAATTAAAAACTGCTTTTATTCCAACTGAAATAAAACAAAAAAGACTTTTTCCAAAGGGAAAAAAATTATATCAAACATACTGTGAAAATTTCCTTTCTCTGTTAAACATCATTTTTAGAAATATTTAAAAAAGCAAAAAATAAAATAAAATCAAAGGTGGGCTAATAATTCTGACTTCAACTGTAAAGCTTTCTAATAGAAATATTTAGATAATGTATGGAAAACATCATAAATACACTTTTAAGTGTTTATTTGTCACATTTTATCATTTTATATGTTTTTGTGTCTGTAGGGTTTTAATTTCAATAAAAAATAACAACTATTATTTGACTTATGTGCATATTTAACAATTTTAAAACGTGTTTGTAGTTATAAAATTGGGTAAATATGTTGATACTGAATTCTTTGCACAAGGGATCAGCTAAGCTAGTTGGCTTATGACCGGTGTGTTGTAATTATTCAGTAGTTTTCATCTATTGTGAGGTACATGCAGATGGTAAACTGCAGGTTTACTTGTGGAAAGCTAATCGACCAGTGGTATGCTTTGCTAATGATAGCTCATTGGAAACTACAAACAGTACAAGAATGTTTAAATTAATCTACAGCTTCAATTAAACACTATTATATATTTTAAATAACCTTACATATTATTTTATAGTGACATAAAAACAGTTCACACAACCTACTTGCTAATAAAGTGATTTTGTGAGATTGCTGAACAAGTACTAAAGACCTAAATTTTTACTGCATTCCATGTAAATGACTTCAAATTTAGGCTAAATGTGAAACTGTATGCAAAGGACAGAAAAGGTAAGTATATAAAGTGTGTGCGAATGTAAGCGCTATTCATTACAACATACAGTATGACAATATCACAACAAAGGCTACTGTATTCTTCTGGCCACTTTCAGAAGCGGAACAGTTTTCCACAAGCATGTTTGCAGTTGAATGACGGCGAAGACACTAGTTCGCACATCTTTTGTTGTCACTTATTGATTCGTGTCCATGTTTTTGCACGGAGTCATCATACGAATCCTTTCATAAAAAGAATCAATCAGCCTTTTTCATGTGCCTGTTATAATGCAGTGCGCACTCCACACAAAAGCAGGTTGGAAGAATCCATCTCACCCTGCCTCCTTTCTCTCCATTGGCTCCTGGGAATCCGGGGAAACCGGTCGAACCCTGCAAATCAAAGAAAGAGACTTAAGGGAGGGAGGAAGGAAGCAAGACCTGCATATAAATGAGGGATGAACTCCAAGAGTCCTGACTCTCCAGCAGTTAAACGCCATTACAATCTGCTAGCATTAGCGTCTTTGGCGTCGCTACTTCCCCTGAAGAGTTTTAAATAGCTCGTAGTCCCCCATTGTTAGAAGAACTCTGAATGCCGATGATGTATCCCAAGATAAACAAAGCCGATCTCGATGATCACTTTCCTTGTTTGGCTTGCACAACATTAATCGGGAGCTGATCGCTTTTCAGTGAGGAGATGCAACTTTGTCCACCAAGGACCGAGGACGGTATAATCAACCCGAAACAACAAGACGTTGGATGAAAACAAATGACTACTCAGTCAGATAAACAACCAAACAAGAGTCACTACTGATGAGTCTTAATCGCTCTCATTCTCACTTCTCGTCCGTTCCTTTCTTTCATTCTCAATGCAGTAAATTAAAAACAGCTTACCGGCGTTCCTCAATCCTGGCAGCGGTGTAAGCATTCAAGAAAGAAAATCAATAACTGTTTTACACATTCATCTTAAGTGTCAAGCCCTATAGAATTCAAGCTTGATTTACCACAAAGGATATCATGAAACTGTAAAGGTGAGACACTGACGAATAAGCGATGACACTCTGTGGAAAAAAAGGCCACAATTCCCTAGTCAGTAAGCACTCAGACGGTGATGGCCAAAAGTGCACTTCATGATAATTTGAGAGTTGGCAGGCTGTTTGAATGCGTTCCAGAGATGATGGCATGTCAAAGTGCTTGTAATCACATCACTTGTCTGCCGTCTGTTAATGTCGCTAAATAGAGGCGGATTTATGAGACTGTAAATCTACTGCTAAGACCAACACCTACACTCTAAAAAAACGCTGGGGTGTTTTTTTTAACCCAAATGCTGGGTTGAGACTGACGGGTAACAACGTTGGGTTGATTTAACCCAATTTAAGTCAAAATTCTTGATCTATAACCCAGCTGTGCTGGGTTGGGAACGCAGATGTGAAAGAGAGCACATACGTCACGTCAACATCCAGGAACATCAGCGTGAGACACCGCCATTTTCTTTGCGCCGTCTTTATAGGGAAGCGAGTGAAATTCTGTCTAAAACCTAAGTTATTCAGTGTGTTTTTAATATGTTTACACCCTCTATTTTATAACCTAACGACTAAGCGTCAGGCATGCTTTGCCTCACGGCCGACATCTTGCTCAGTGGACGCGAAAGCGACATCGGAAGTAGCTTGAAAAGGATAAGGTTTGTTTTTTTTATATTAGGCTCTGGGACTGGGCTTTAATCTTTCATTCATTTCCTTCAGCCTCTCTATTTCAGAGGTCGCCACAGTGGAATGAACCTCCAATTATTCCAGCATATGTATTACGTAGCAGATGTCTTTCCAGCCACAACCCATTATAGGGAAACAACCATACACACTTATTCACACACACTACAGGCAATTTAGTTTATTCAATTCACCTGCACCACATGTCTTTGAACTGTAGGAGAAACCGGAGCACCCGGAGGAAACTCACATGAGCACGGTGAGAACATGCAAACTCAACACAGAAATGCCAACTGGCCCAGCCAGGACTCGAACCAGCAACCTACTTTCTGTGAGGTGACAGTGCTAACCACTGAGCCACCGTGCTGGGACTGGACTTTATTTCATGTTAATTCAGTTAAAGATAAGCTTGTGAAATGTTCCAATTAAACTGCAGAACAAAATAAATGCAGAAATAGGGAATGAGGTTCCCCAAACATTCTTCCATTGATTTAAAAAACAACACCTCACGGCGTTGGTCTAAGCATTAATTCGGTTAAATACAACAATATTTTTAATAATTAATGAATAAATGTTAGTGTGTCATTGGTTAGCCCTATCGCCTCACAGCAAGAAGTTCACTGGGTTGAGTCCTGGCTGAGGCCCCGTTTACACTGGTGCGTTTTAGTTTTAAAACGGCGTTTTAGAATGAAAGCGATCCGCGTCCACACTCCCGTTTTACCCAGCGTTTCTTAACTGCTCTCCGTCCACACCAAAACGCTGAAAACGCACATCACGTGACCACACAGACACTCTCGGGCAAGCGCTGCAGCCCATCTACCCAGATGAGAGCTGTGCTAGTCGGACTGCTCATCAAGCATCTCCCGCTGGATCTAATCTCACTATATTTATTAAACGGGATATTTCATTCATCTTGTTGTCTTTATCTAACGACATATTCCCTGACTTTGGTCATTGGAATCTATTACTTTTTCTCAGGTAACGTGTTTTGGCTGAGCGCAAAGATAAGTTAATGAGTAACCAGCCTATTCTGTATATTGACTGATCGCTTGCCTTTATTTCCTATAAATGTATAAACTTATTGTATGTTATACTTTTGTAATGGCCATTATCGATTCTTAAAACTGATATTCAGCAAAAGAGAGGGTGTGTTTCGTCTTTTCACTGAAATTGAAAGGAGGCAGTTGTTATCGACTCCGTTTTGTTATAAATATCCACACAGTGAAGATGACGCTCATGCAGCACGACGCCTCAACATTTCTGCTGTCTAAGTTGCTAATATTAAAATGAAAATAGGCAGTTCCTTAAATCATGTTTACATTTTATTGTTGAGAAAGTGAAACAACGCAGCCTGGGTGATGTGAATGAAGTTATAAAGTACACTGTTCCCTTTGAAGATTTACCCGTGTCCTCGGTATAGTCTGCTTTCCATATCAAACTGAGAAGAAGAGACTGCAGCCTTAATCAAACTTGCGAAGTCTGAACTTACACGGAGAGAAAGCAGGACTGAACTGTGTGTGTTAGGCTACTTAATATTCAGGAAAAGCCCCAATCAGAGAGGCGAATGTCTGCAGTCCCGCCTCCGTTTTCAGATGTCTCCGTTTTCCATCATCCACACTGAGACGGAGCAGCAGCGTTTCAGAATGAAAACGGCCTCTCCAGCGTTTTCGATACGCTTCGTTTTCGGCGCTCGAGAACTCCGGTGTAGTGTGGACGGTTGGCGTAACCGTAGCAAAACTTATGCGTTTTTAAACTAAAACTTGTGCACGTGCACTCAGTTTCACTTTAATTCAGATGTACAAAGAGAATATGCGTGGGATTCCGTGTACGCACTGTTTCATACATCTGAATTTTTAACTGCGTACACACATTTACAGCTTTGTCCGTACGCAATGTTTTAGTATGAAATATGAACGCAAGTCTTTGTACATGAGGCCACTGGTGTGCACACAGCAAACACAAAGAAAAAATAAAGATACAAAATAAAATTGTCAGAAAAATATGATCTGTGCAGTTTTGCTTTTTTTGTATATCTTGTTTAAGCATGTTTTTAGATATCTTTGCTTGCCAAAAAAAGGGAAAATATTTCACATAAATTATAAATGGCCATGTAGTGCACTCCAGATTCACCAAGCAGTGCACAAAATTGTGACCTGAAAACCTGAAAATTCAGTCTTCATCTATATCCGCCTGTAATGACGTCAGTGCTGGTCTCCAGGCCTCGGAGGCCACTTAAGGTCTAGTTTGGGTCTGTCTTGAGCCAGATTGGGTTCTGCTGTTACAGCTGATGCTGTTGCTGATGAAAGGCTCTGAGGTCTGACACAGGCATCTGTACTCAGTTCTGCTCTCCGCCTGCGTGACCAGAATCACCAACAGCACAGCCAACAATCCTGGCATGAGCTCCGCTTTCTCAGCGCAGCATGCATAATGCATTCTCAGGAGGGCATTAGTTCATGCTAATGAGCCGAGTTGTTGTTTAGCTCATAAGTGAAGCGATCGTGATGCAGGTACAGGTGTCATGTTCAATTTAAGAGCATACCTTTGGCCCTTGACGTCCTGGATAGCCGGGCAATCCTGGAACACCTAGTTTGCCCTGGTGAAAAACAAGCCAAGGATCATTAGCAGAAGAACAGTTCTGGACAAACAAACATCTCCTTTGATATTAATATTCAAAACGCAATTGCTGATCCCCCATGCCTCGCTAATAAACTAATCACGGTAAACTGCAGTCAGCAAGCTGTGTACCTTTTCTCCGGCAGATCCCTGGGGTCCAGATTCACCGTTAGGCCCTGCACGACCCTTCGGGCCCTCTGGACCATCTTCTCCTCTGGGTCCAGCCAGTCCCAGCTCTCCCTGATTGTAAAGATATAAAATACAGTCATTCAGTGTGTGTTGTTTGTGAAGTGAAATGAACTTGAGCCAGGCTGTATGCAATTTATTTACCCTGTCGCCTTTGAGACCCATGTCTCCCTTGAAACCTGGGAATCCATCCTCACCCTGAAAAGTAAAGTGTGAAAAAAACAGTTATAGCTTCTGCATGTAAATACAGCACAATTAATTCTTTAGTCCTGCACCAGAGCTCCATCTGCTGAAAATAATTTGATACTGCAACATTATCAATGACTTGCAGTCAGTCTCTGAAAGTAATACATTTATGTTTATGGAACAGTAACTCATTTTCTTAATTTATTTGTTTTAATGAAATTATTTTAAGTATAAATCATCACACTTTTTTTCATCCAGTTGCCAATGAAATTTTACCTTAATTTGTACTAAAATAAATACTAATAAGATATTTCAAATAAGATATATTCATGTTAGCTAAAACATTTATTAATGTTACCTGTGTGCATTTACAATTGTTTTAAGAAACCGTTCCTACCTATGTCAATTTGACTTTCAATGTAGTTTTCTTCTTTTAATTTAATTTAATTTACTGTTTGATTTGTGTCGCTATCTTGTTTGTTTGTTTATTTAGTGTATGCAAATGACAGCCTTCGATTCAAGACAAATTTCCCTACTGGAGAGAAAGTATATTGAATAAATACATTAATAAATGTACTAAAATAAATACAACTAAATTAATATAAAATATACACGATTCAAAGCTAAAAGTATGTGAAACGTAATGCTGATTTATCATTGAACTAAATGTCCATTCTCTGTCACTAAACGTCAGTCTGAATTTACTTATTTTAATCTTTCTCGTTGCGTCATACATATTGTTTTTAAACCGTGTAACCACTGTCAACTCAACTCTATTTATGTATTTATTTGAATAGACACTCATTCTTGTTCTGAAGGCACTACAGCATCAATCCCATCACCAATTGAGCATCATTTCCTCAACATCACTAAAACTTAGCCAACTTCACTCTGATTAGCATTCATTTCAGAATTTACCAGTGGTTTTTGAGCCGGAGAGAGATTGTACATATATTTAATGGTGATGGAGTGGTTCTGTCTCTTGAATGAGTGCTATGACACTCTCTCTGCATGATTAAACAGCACTTATGAAATGATTTTTAAGTGGAGAGATTGTGTAGTAGCTATTGGACTCTATTAATGCAGATTTACTGACCGCTAAGTGTCACAGCACTGGTACTTAGTGCAAGTTATAATGTCTACCAGAGGTCACGTGTGACGATTTCTCCATTACTTTGTTGAAAATAGATGTGGATTTATGCACACCTTCTCTCCTTTGCCTCCCTTTAGACCACGGACACCATCTGCACCCTGTAAGATGAAGAGCATATGATCAAGCAAAACTCACAAACTCATCACACATCCATAAATCTCTATCAAACACACACACACACACACACACCAACAAAAACGCTTTACCTTCACACCGCGAGGGCCAGGATAGCCGATGGGGCCCTGGGGACCAGGCTGGCCCTGAAAATGACAACAGTGAAATATTATTAAATGTTTGTGGTGTAGAGCACAAGAAAATCTGTGGCCGAGGTAACCTTGCAGGAGGTTTATAGCAGATCAGAAACTTTAAACATTGATTTCTTAATCTGAGATTGTAGTAAACAGTGATTCAGCAAAGAGGGAGCCTTTTCAGAATGTTCTGGCAAAGTTTTTCTCAAGGAAATGTACAACTGTTTTTCCTGTGAGGTTAATAGGACCATTTTAAATGATTTAAAAAACTTAAACATCACGTTCCAAAAGGAAATATCTGAATCTTTCCTTAATGTTATATTATTTTTATTGATTTTTTTAACATACAAATTCTAATTTGAACCACTAAGTAATATATACACTCCCCGGCCACTTTATTAGGTACACCGGCCCAACTGCTCATTAGCGAAAATTTTTAATCAGCCGATTACATGGCAGCAACTCAATGCATTTAGGCATGTAGATATGGTCAAGACGATCTGCTGCAGTTTAAACCGAGCATCAGAATGGGGAAGAAAGGTGACGTAAGTGACTTTGAATGTGGCAAGGTTGTTGGTGCCAAATTGGCTGGTCTGAGTATTTCAGAAACTGCTAATCTACTGGGATTTCCACGCACAACCATCTCTAGGGTTCACAGAGAATGTTTCCGAAAAAGAGAACATATCCAGTGAGCGGCAGTTCTGTTGTCGCAAATGCCTTGTTGATGCCAGAGGTGAGAGGAGAATGGCCAGACTGGTTCGAGCTGACACCTATTGTGTTGTTCCTGACCCACCTGTAATGACCACAGTGTACCCATCTTCTGATGGCTACTTCCAGCAGGATAACGCACCATGTCATAAAGCGTGAATCATCTCAGACTGGTTTCTTGAACATGATAATGAGTTCACTGTACTCAAATGACCTCCACCGCACATGTAATTTCCTTTAATGAATCGCCCAGCGTAGACTTAAATGTAATAAGACATTGCTCATGGTTAGTTTACGTTAGCTAACAGATTGATTAATGTTAATTAGTTACTTGTATAAAGACATAATGGTTTTAAGAAATAATTTTATGTCAATTAGATTTTTAAATGTAATTCTCTTTCTTGAATGTAATGTTACAGTTTGATTTGAGTCGATTTATTGTTTGTTTGTTCGTGCATGCAAATGAGAGCCTAAGATCCAAGACTAATTTCCCCACTGGAGACAAAGTATGTTCATATTCATAAACAGAGAATTATGACACATTATTATTCAATAGATCAAACGTATAAAAAAGGTTTGCTTACCAAAGCTCCTTTCTCTCCAGGTGGACCCTCTTTACCAGGATGTCCCTGTAAAATGAGCACATATATTAAGTATATTTGACTGTAAAATGACTGTAAGGTTTACTGCGGGAGAGTGTGCTTTAAAGATGGAACAAGTGAGCTTAAAAATACTTGATTTACTTTTTTGCAACTGTTTCACACCACAAGCGCAAGCAGAGCGTGAGCAGAGCATGAGCAGTACGTGCGCAGCACATATGGAGAGCAGAAGCAGCATGCAGGCGTTTGACTTTCACACCGACTGCATCTGCAGCACACAGCTCATCGGGAGCTGCTGCACAGACCAATCCATCTCTGCCTATTCTATCTAATTACCTATATTAATAGCCTTTTTTTTTTTACTTTTTATATGCACCAAGGCCTGCTGCAACTTCCTGCAAGTTGCTGCAAATCTTTTTTTTTTTTTTTTACAAATGATATAGATCCTAATGAACTGTATGCTTCTCACACTCTGGGGAGTGCCATTCATGTCTTTTCAGGTGCACTCAGTCAGAAGATAATCGCCTGTGAAGTCATGACATTTTGTTTTTGATTGTCAGGATGATGTGGGCCTATATTTATAATAATATTTATACAATATAATTATTGTAATGCTATTTATACATGATCAGATTAGTGTGCAACTTACTAAGCAAATCTGATACTAAAATTGTTTTAAATTTGGTTTTGTAGTTCGGGCCCAAATAAATATTTGTTGCTGTTTTTATTTGTTTAAGTTCATTTGATTGAATATATAAAAATCAGTGGATACTATCGATCCATTTATTGGGTAAAATTGCTACTTTTTATTGTCATTCAATATGTCTTTGGTCATTATCAATGCAATGCAAAAATAGACCCAGCGCCGAAACTATCATGGCACTGCTGCTTCAGTGATGTTCACACCTCACGCTGCCTCTGCGTGCGGTATGAAAGTTCTAACCTGCTAACATAGACGCCGAAAAAAAACAAGTGCTGCTCATGCTTGCAGTGTGAAACAGGCTTTAGAGGAAAAACTACAAAGTTGTCACAGTTAAACAATGTTTCAATGTTTGAAACTTCTAGCCATTGTCTTCTATAGTATTTTGTTTCAGTGAAGTAAATAGCAATGTTGGTATTACTTCAATGAAGTAATACCAACATTCTTCCAAGTATCTTCTATTACATTCAATAAAGTATGTTAGCATGCAAATCTTTATAAAGATAGATCATCAGCTAGGGTCTAATTCCTGCAATGAATCATCGCCTATCTGTAGTTTAGTAGACATGAATCACTCCATATGTCTGCTACTCACAGGAGGCCCATCTGCACCAGGCAATCCAGGCAAACCAGACCTTCCCTGAGGGCCCTGAATGAGGAGACAGAGAACAAGATGTTGGATTGGATGAAGAAGGATTTCTAAGAGCACAGATGCCCCACAGGAAACAACTCGCGCTGAATCATGAAGCAGATTTCTTGTGAGGTAAAACACTTGAAAAAAATGCTATGGAAATAAATGCATGTTATGCTGATGTTCTGAGACGAAGTCACATGTATGCTCAATATCTATCTATCTATCTATCTATCTATCTATCTATCTATCTATCTATCTATCTATCTATCTATCTATCTATCTATCTATCTATCTATCTATCTATCTATCTATCTATCTATCTATCTATCTATCTATCTATCTATCTATCTATCTATCTATCTATCTATCCATCTATCCATCCATCCATCCATCCATCCATCCATCCATCCATCCATCCATCTATCTATCCAAAGCAAAAGATCAATGTCATATTAATGACTTAATGTTTTTATGGTAATTATCATTTTAAGAAAAAAAAATCAATGTTATTCTGGTTATTATTTTATTTTTTCTAGCACCAAAATAGATCAATTCTTATTCTTAGATAAAGCTTTCAGATAAAGTCTTGTTTTCTAAAATGACATAAAAATTAAGTGATTTTGGTTAGAATAATGCCTTTTTTATTTACTTTTTTCTTTAATTCATTTTTTTTTACTATTTTAAGCATGAAGTCACTTAATTTAGAATATTTCTACTGAAAACAAGATAAAAATACAATGTTTTGCATTGTAAAATCTTTAAGTTTCGTAGTGATGGCTTAAAATATTCAGTTTTGAATTCCCAAATGACCTTTCGGTGACCAGTTCTTCCAATAGACCATTTTGATGTTTATAAACAAAAACAATGGTCCCAGCATATTCCCTGTTTGATTTTATGTTTTATTACATGTTGATAAATAATGTTATGATAGCTGTTTTAACATTACAGTTTTTCTCGATTGCTTGGATGCAGCCGTCAACTGAAACTCCACATTTTCAAAACAGTTAACACACAGGCCTAAACAGCGGCACTTATGGTCAAAATGACACATTTTGCTTGCAAGACGTACATACCATGTCAAAACATAATGATGACAAAATATGCAACAACAGCTATAGTTTTACCTTCAAACAACACAATTTGCTAACAAGTATATGAACACTTTCAATTAATCATTACACAATGGACAACAAAATACAAAATACAGAACTCAGTTTGAATCAGTGCACCATTGCTTGCCATTGTAGCCTATTGCCAATGCCATTTGTTGTCTTTCTATTTGGGCTGTCAAATTTGCCTTTTTGCGAAGAATTGGATCCAGAATAAGAAATGCTTTGATTAAATCTATATTTAAATGCATGACATTTTTCAAACTGTGGCTGAAAACTAAAATACTGTAAGAAAAAAAAACAGACAAAAGTAATAAAATACTGTAAATATTAGGAAAAACACATGTAAACCAATATACAGTCAAATCTATTGGGAGAATAGGACATTATAGGCCTCTATTGACCTCCTCCATCCATGCTGGCACAGAACAATTTTTTAAGTTTGCAGACTGATTGCTAATTAAAGATTTGTGTGAAGGAGTGTCAAACCGGTGCTTTAGTGAATTCATACTGATCTTGTTAGTTTCTAATGGTTAGGAATAGATGGTTTTTCTTTGCTTACCATAGCTAAAACAATGGAGTTTGGACTGCTTGAATGACATCTGTGTTAACTTTTTTGAAAAATGGTGGGGGAAATGTGTCAATCTAAAGAGTTTACACAATTGCAAGACCTGTCTTCTTCTCTGCTGGGATAGTGATAATGAAAATGAAGTGGAACCTAGTTTCTTTAACCAGGTTAAAACAAACAAGAAATACAGTAAGTTATAATTGAATTGCCTCTTGTTACAGTTATGAAAGTTTGATAACAAACAGGAAATGTTCATGGGTCAATGACATGCATACACTGAAATGGTCTACACCAATAATGTTTGAATAATTGAAAGAAACTTAATTATCTTTGAAGAAATATAATAGAAAGATCTTTTAAAGTCAATAAAAAATATTAAAATCTTCATCACCGCTGTATGGACCATAACGATTCTTCAGTTTCCTGTTCAAAACAGTTTCCTAATTATTATGAAAATTCCAAAAGTCTTACTTTTTCTCCGGGTGGTCCGATGGGTCCCTGTGGACCTGGAAGACCCTGTTTAACAGAAAACAGACAGCAAACGTAAGTCTTTGTTGGCATGACAGAGCGAAATGTGTGACAGAGAGAAACCCAAACTGATGACTTACACACAATACTAGCCTTATTGTGTGTGTGTGTGTGTGTTGGCAGGGTCACTAATGTTTGCACAGTGGACTTGAGTGTGTGTTTACTGTGTGTGTATTTACAGTGGCTGATTCAGTGTATTTTTGCATGAGTTTGTGTGTGTGTGTGTGTGTGTGTGTGTGTGTGTTCACTCAAGGGAAATCTGAGCTCTCTGCTGCAGGTGGAGTGTTATGAATGAGCCGCTTTCAGCTGCCCTCTTCCTCTGAGCCCAGCGGAGGCTTACAGAAATACCTCAGATCGTTTCACTGTGCCCTTCGAGATCCAGCGCCACAGAGACGCTCGGAAGTAAGATTGAAAAATTATAGTAAAGATGAAAAATTAGCCAGAAAATGAGTTGAATATGAATTGGGCTGCATAATAGTAAATCAGAGTATTAGACTATGAATTAATCTCTTCAAGCCCATAATTGAGCAAAGCCCCAATAGACGAAAATAAACAAAGACTACCATAGTTTATTTTACTGGAAAGAATATTACAGAAAAATGTTTAATTCAGTTTGTAACTTGCCATATTAGCATATCTAATTGACTAGCATAATACGACTGATAGCTTTGTGATAGTTTTAAATTCTGTCACATTTTTCATTCCAAGATCTTGGCAATCTTCGATATAGAAAAGAAAATTGAGACGTAGATGAAATGGGATTGCAAGGGATCTGTAGGGATCTAAAAATTCTCAATCCTCAAGCACTACAGTAATACCACAGTTTCTATGTGTCTTTATGTGTGTGTGTCTGTGTGTGTATTTGTATTCACCTGTCCTCCTGGGATTCCCTGCTGTCCAGGAGGACCTGGCTCTCCCTGAGGCCCCTGTTCACCAGAAAAACACGGTACAAGTCAACTACACTCTCAAGGCATCAAATCACCAGCAGTGTTCTTTCTGCTAACGTGCTAACACGGTGAATATGCTAACACAATAATGAATGTTATATGGATATTTTTAATGCTAAATGTTGCAAAATGAGGAATATTTAACGTTTGTGTGCTTCAAAATGTAGAATGCTCACAACATGATGTACAGTTTGTTTACCTCTGTGTTCAAAAGTGGGTTTAGTTACTGTACAAGATTATCATTATGTAGCTTCTCTGTTATCAGTTTAGTTCAGTTCTTAATGTAATTGTGAGATCATGACTTGGCATTACGATTTCAACAAAAAGATGAGCTAATGGTTATTTTCTGTTGATCATAATCTGGTTTAAGAAACTAAACATGTTTTAAATTGGATATGCTAAATGTAGATTATGCTACATGTACATGTTAATGTAATATTTTGCTACACAGGGTATATTGTACATCCCATTATGAAAATTAACCATAGTTTTACTACAAGGAAAAAACAACAACATGATTATTGTAGTTTAAAAACTCACACGGCGCTACACTAACCATAGTGTTACCATTGTATACATGTATAAATAGTAATCAGCCCATCCAAGAACATGGTTATTACACTTACTGTTAAAGCAATGGGACTGTGATGTAATGCAGTTTAATGTGAGACACTGCAGGTGAATTACCATAGTTATCAACATATTTACCCAATTTTATAATTAAAAACAAGTTTTAAAAACTGTTAAATATGCAAATAAGTCAAATAAGAGTGCATTTTTTATTAAAATTAAAACCTACAGACACAAAAACACATATAATGTGACAAATGAAACACTTAAAAGTATATTTAGGATGTTTTCCATACGTGATCCAAACATTTCTAAAATGTCAGATGCATGAAAAATCTTTCTTGCCTTTAGGGTCTCACCTTAAACCTCCCATTATACAGCTTTATATTGGTATTGAACAAATATGTGCAGAACCCACGGTGATTGACTCAACAAGTATTATCAGCATGACTTTATCTACAAAATGCCATGTTTTAGAGATCCATGTCTCTTACCATGTTTCCTTTGGGACCCTGCGGACCATCAACACCAGCAATGCCCTGCAGAAATCAATTGCGCAAGATTAGAAGAGAGCAATCAGCTTCAGATTTGCAGATTACACATTAAAAACACACTCACAGGTTGTCCAGGAGGTCCAGGAGGGCCTCTTGGGCCGAGAAGACCTCGCGGCCCCTGAGATAAAAAGGCTTTGATTAAAATGTGCAAGTTCTCTTATCTGAATTTTAATAGGAATACTAATAGGCTTTTGGGAGATTCTGCCCCCTGGTGGCCAACAAGAAATAAAGCATTTAGTCAATGCAAGACACACTTACGCTCTCACCAGCAAGTCCTCTTGGTCCGATCTCACCATCTTCTCCCTGTAAAGAAGAAAGAAGTTACTTTTTTTTCTAGTGAGTGAACCAATATATTGAGAGAAGGTGAATGAAAAAAAAATTTACTCTTGGTCCATCCTCTCCAGTTGGTCCCGGGGGTCCAGCAGGGCCGGTCTCACCCTTTCAAAAAAGAGAGGAAGCATCATTCTTTATTACATTCGACTTAATATAAAATCCTTGCTTTATATCTCTGATCTACGGAGTAATTTTGAATCCTGTAATTATTACCTGTGTTGACATGGGAACCGAAAGGAAATATCTGACTTTTAATGAATAATTTCACCTTTGAAGAGCTCATTATTCTTCTCGGATTTATAATGTATTATATATTACTACAATGAAGAGCATAATTTCTAAATGCTGCAAGTTTTACCTCCTTGTAACTAATCCTGTAACTTCCTTGCAAATTTTTTACCATTTTCATGAATCAATTTGAATGTAATATATGTTACATACAGTATACAGTTGAAGTCAGAATTATTAAACCCCCTAAAATATTAGCCCCCCTGTTTATTTTTCCCCCAATTTCTGTTTAACAGAGGGAGGATTTTTAAAACACATTTCTAAACATAAAAGTTTTAATAAGTCATACCTAATAACTGATTTATTTTACATTTGCCATGATGACAGTAAATAATATTTTACTAGATATTTTTCAAGATACTATTATTCAGATTAAAGTGACATTTAAAGGCTTAACTAGGTTAATTAGGTTAACTAGGCAGGTTAGGGTAATTAGGCAAGTTATTGTATAGGGATGGTTTGCTTTGTAGACTATAAAAAAATATATATATATAGCTTAAAGGGGCTAATAATTTTGAGCTTAAAATGTTGTTTAAAAATGATTAAAACTGCTGTTATTTTAGCAGAAATAAAACAAATAAGACTTTCTCCAGAAGAAAAAATATTATCAGACATACTGTAAAAATGTCCTTGCTCTGTTAAACATCATTTGGGACATATTTAAAAAAGAAAAAGAATTAAAAGGGGGGCTTATAAGTCTGATTTCAACTTTGTTACACATATTTACAATCATAAAATGTAAATAAAATGTTAATGTTAATGTGAAAGGAAATATATGAAACCTATAAAAAATATTATTCTGTTAAAAATGTATGTTCTTTTAAAATTAATAAGGTTACTCTGTGAAGAGATGATGCTAACCATCGAGGACTTTGATGACAACACACACTTTATACACAAATACACTTCATTAAACATGAACACTTAGACATCAGTCATATGCTGTAAAATTAAAGGTTATTGATGTCTGCATATAACAACTTATATTTGATAGTGACTTTAACATAATTTGAATGTAATGTAATAACGTGCACCTTTTGTAAAGTTGCTTTTAAAACATCAATTATTGTAAAAAAAAAAATCATATACAAATAAACTTGAATTGAATTAAATTGAATTCAAATTTGGAGGAATAAATAATAGTCAACGCATTAGTAGTAACAATACAAATAAATAAGAACACATTTTCTTTCTAAACTCATACAAGGATTGTGCCTGAAAACAATTTAGAAATTAGGATCATCTGAAATCATATAAAAGGTTGAAAACCCCTGTTTAAGAACATACATATATTGTAGTGTCTTTATGCAAATTCCTTTTAATATATTTAGACATTTAATAACTAAATTCCTTATTAGATTGAGTTTCTTTATTGTTTGCTGTGCCAAATTAAATCACTCAATACTTTGTGTCTTCAGCAAAAACTAATTAATTATCACCAACTTGCATCTACTTGCAATTGTTTACTCACCCTGTGTCCTTTCTCACCAGGCAGACCCGGAAGCCCATCGAAACCTCTGTCACCCTTTGAAGATGACCAAGTAAGATAATCAAGCAATATGTTAAGCAGTACAGCATAACTTATATGTGAGCATGAAAAGGTCAAATAAACATTTTCCATACCTTAGATCCAGACTCTCCAGGCATTCCTCGGGCACCATCAGCTCCAGCACGACCCTGTCACACATCAATCAGGCATTATACTATTTTTGAGAACTATTATGTGACCAAACTATTGTTGTCAAAAGTATTCATATTTAGGTAATGTTTTGATAATAAAATATATCTGAAACAATGCCATCTTTCTTTTAGTGGGCAAATTCTGAGCTCTCTTTTACATATGCTTCCGTGGATAGGCTAACATTAGAGCTGAGGGGGGAAAAATGTTCAAGATATCAATTCTAAATCTATTCTGAGATTTTCTAACTGCATCTCTATTCACTCTTGATAAGATGCTGGGCTTTGTTTTTGACAGCAGATAACCCTCTAAGCTAGTTTTTAACCATACACTCAAACGCTCATGGGGAAGAACAGGACACACACCACAAGATAATCAGACTGATTTTGAGTCAATTTCTCCTTTTCTGGCAGACATAGGTAATGTCCCCATTATCTTGGTGTATCTAATTTATCAGATTTTCAGATTAGATTTTACTGTAATGTGAGGTGTGTTCAGATCAATGTTGGGGAGAAGCTAGCTACCACTAGCTTAGCTACATTTTTTCAGTGGCTCAGGTACTTATGATATAATGAAGCTTTTTTTCAATAGCAAGCAACTTTTTCCAGCAAGTAGCTAAGTAGCTTGACAACAGATTCATTCCATTTAGTGAACCAGTAATGTTCGAAGCAGCACAGCATCATCTTACAAGATCACATTCTAAAGTAGTGTATTACAGCCATCCTTTGGTAAGTCATACATCTCATGGTTTTACATTTATTAGATTAATTTATTACTGTTTTCTTTGTAGATAATATTTTTTTTTAATTAACAAAAATGAATTTAAATTCATATAAAGTATTCTAACAGTTTAGAATTCACCTGAAGTAAGAACATTGTGTGAGGCCTTTAATAACATTTCTCACTAAAAAGAAGCCACTTTTTTTTTGTTGAGAAATTGCTACTGAAAATGCTATTTAATTACTTTGTTAGTGCAATGCTACCTTTGTAGCTGTTTTGTACTTTGACTCTTGACAATCTGAGAAATTCGAAAACTGTGGTTAGTAAAACATTAAGCTTTGACATTTATAATTGAAGTATACTGTTTTAAGTACCAAATATTTTACTTAAATTTAATGTTTATTCACATTTTGTGATATAACTTACGTCTTTGTGAACCAAGTACCTTCGATGTAGCTAGCTACTTTTGGGAAGTCACTTGTAGTGTAGCTACAGTCACTACATTTTTAAAAGTGTAGTTTGATAGTACCTCAGCTACTTTTCCTGAGTAGCTTATCAAATTGAGGTGAAGGTTTATATTCACACATTCGTTCATTTTTGAACAGTGACATTTTGTTGCTACTTTGAATATTCGATCTGAAATCGCATGTAAGTACTTTGACTTCCAAACAACATTAGCACTATTTAAATCACCAGTAACAATGTTGTAATTTGATAGACATTGGCTGCTAATAAGATTTCCCTATTTAGCAGTTTGAAAGTTCAAATATGCAAATATAAAATCCACATTACCTCAATGCTTATTAAGCTACAGTTTCAGAGTATGTTCCACTGGTAAAGCATGACTATAATTTATGTTATCATATCAAAAAGTTAGAAAATTAAGTATTACCACTATAAACCACACAGTCAAGAAATTTGGATGTGTCTAATAGATAATAATCAATATCTCACCCTCTTTCCAGGTTTTCCTATTTGCCCTGGTGGGCCTTGGATTCCCCTTGGACCCTGTGGGGTAAATATATTTCATTATTAAGGTAAGTAGATTATTGTTTAGCATGACTTTTGATGATTAGCATTATTAGCTTACCTGAGGACCATGATCCCCACTTTCTCCCTTCAGTCCAGGAGGACCTGGAAGACCCTAAATGTGGTTGAAACCAAAAAGAGATGCATCAGACTAAGAATACAGAAAACCAAGACGTTTTTAACAGTTACGGCAATCCAAAAACATCTGCACTATATATAAACAAACAGCAGGTGGCGATATTTTCACAACATACATGTCCCTACTGCTCTTCACTTCCTTAGAGAAAAAAAAATCAAAACACAGACGTTGCATTTCTTTAACACTGCAAAAAAAAAAAAACAGATGATTTTAAAATTGCTGCTATTTTAGACAGACAGTCTTCTTTTTTTTAGCTAATTTAAAAGATAATTTGAGAGTTGACTTGTGCATGTTTTCTTAAAACTGCACCCTGCCATAAAGACTGATTTGGAAAGTCCAAGATTCTCATTTGTCTGCTTTTTGAATTGCACATCTGAGGATTCACAACCAGCCATTAAACAGTTGCTGTGTTCTTAACTTATATAAAGATTATGATTTCAGCGTCTCATCATTTCACGCTCAATCAGTCACACAGGGTAAATACGACATGACATGGCTGTGGTTTACATGTCTCAGATGTTTAATATAGCTATAGATTTTTTAGGGACTCTTTTAGTTGGATAATTTGTGTTGTAAAAAAATACTGACCTTCCTACAGTACATCCAGCTCTTGTTTCTTACTCATTTTGGTGTGCTGATTCCAAAATGCAGTATTAAATCTATTATACTGATTTTAGTGTTAGAAATATTGCTGTCAGAATATGAATGATAATGCTTTCTGTAACATCTGTTGGTGCTTTTCTACACCACACAATTACAAAACTTTACACAATTAGTATTCATTTGGGTATTTGAACATATGTTGGTTAGATACACACACACCTAAGATAATATTGTAATTTTTATTAACTATTTGAACTAGTTTAAACCTTTTATTTTCATTTTCATTTAAGTTTATACATTTTTACACATTTATTATTAACATATATTACAATTAATTAAAATTAATATGTATTTTATATTATGTTATTAGATTTTTTTCAGTCAACATTTATTTTATTACATAGTTATTTTTAAATTAGTTTATACAATATGGTTTTATAGAACACTGCCCTCAAAGTCCGGGACTCTACTCCAGATTCATTCCTGGAGAGAATTTATTCTGTATACACCTCCATTTCATATTGTGTGTACGCAATAAAAGGTGTGGGATGTACTACTTGATAAACGCATGTTCTTATGCATAATCTTAATCGTCTTTTTAGCGATGGTCTGAAATGAAATGCCGATATTTATGACACTCAGTTAGTTTCTTATTGTCGTCCCAGTCAGCTTATGACATTTGCTTGCCATAATTGGACAACACTCAATGAAATGGGTGAGGATGTTAGTTTCCAGAAAAGAAAATAAAAGCTAATAGGATGATTTGATACAGATATGTTTAAAAGATGATTGAACAGTGAGGCATGTGCTTACTTTGCTCCAATCCAGCACAATTTTTTTGCTTTATCCTATTTGAAATTAGATAATTTGGGGTGGTGAGGAATGGAAATGTCGAATTTGCACTATTAAACAAAAGTTAGGTCATCTGATGAGATATAGATAGTGCAATTTCTCACATTACACTGTATTTAGCAACACATTACTTTTGTTTGACATGGATGTGTTTTGTTTCTAAAAATGGCACTTAAATTGTCATTTAAAATGTCAGCCAACACTTAAACTCCCCATTTATCCACATTTTGCACTTGTCATTAATGTTTTTTTAAAAGCAAAGGGCACTTTTTAAATGATTGATTTATTATTGATGTATTTGAATGTTTGCTAAAAACAAGTTTTTTTATAACCAATTTTTCCAGATTTTTGACACTAATGAAAATTCAGATATTTATACTGGTTTACTGCATATAATTAATGCTAAACTAAATTAAAAAAAACTATTGAAAAACGTTAAATACTTGTATAAAATTCCTTTAGCCACTAAAATGCTCTGACTGATAGGGACATATGCGAGTCACATAAACTCACCACTGGTCCAGATCGTCCAGTGAGACCCATTGGACCCGGTGGACCTCTCATGGCGAGCTGCAGACACAAACCAAACACTCAAAATCACCATAAAATCATTTAACACACACACACAACATCTACTCAACTTAGAGGAGGTGTAGAAACATCCACATTTTTCAAGGATGGGTCTAAATACTACTGTAGTCTGCAACACCTGTCAGGGTCGCCCTCTTGCAGGTCGTGACCCTTGCTAGTATTTTTAACTAGTCTGTGCTGCTCTGTTAACTCTTAAACAAGGCCAGAGCGAATTCAATCCAGCGCTCCACCCCTTCCCTAAAAAGAGTCCCTGCTCCCGCACACATGCACGGCCGTGTTAAAACAGTAAGACGTGTGGCCCTTCTGTTGTGCTCTGCTCATACTCACCCTGGCCTGAGAGAGAATAGCCTGAGCCTGAGCCTCCTGAGCTGAAACCACTGGGCCCTTTTCTCCATCACCACCAAAACGAAACTGACAAAACATGAGCAGAGTGTTAGTTATCATTTCATTTTGAAGCCCTTCTTAATAGTGTATACTGCATTGTAAATATACACACTGTAAATGCACTGGCAAACAAGCTGGCAATTTTGGTAAAACTACAGTCCAGTTGTAATTGTTAATTTACAGTGTGCTTGTATTTTTTGCCAGTAACACTGTTAATTTTAAAGCAATGTTTTACAGTGCACTCATTGTAAAATTTATAGTAACTTACTGCCAATTGTGGTTGGTATAACAGTGAGTCTGTACATGTACAAGTACAAGCTGTATTTTTAAATTACAGTTGTAATAATATTTACAGTGTGCTTGTTAATTTAGTCTTACTGAGAAACAAAATGGCCAGTACGTTGCTGTAGATTTTACAGTATACTATAATAATTCAATTACAGTGTACTGTAAATATATATATGGAAATATAGCCACACAAATAGGACAAACAACAATTTGAACATTACATCAAGATTGAGTATTGGCAAAAAAAAAATATGCCTGTTCTACCATACTACGAGATCATACAGGAGAATCAGGGTTTCTGCAGCTTACATCAAGTCAGATTTAACATTTTTTAAGACCCTTTTAAGACCATTATGAATGACATTTTAGACTTGTGCAGGGTTAAGATTTTTTTCTAATAGCCTAAAATAAGAAATCATGTGGTTGTTTTTTTCTGATTCTGGAATTTAATTTGGGGAATTTGCTATAAAAATGTCTAACAGCTGTTGTGAATTGTATCTCTCTGCAAAACTTGTATATAAAAGTGTAAAAAAAAATAAGGTTTTATTGAGATGTATTGTTGGTCATTAGATGGATGTCAGCCCAATTGAGTAGCTTTACTTGGACAAAGCAAAATGAAAATAATTTAAGACCTACAACACAATATTTCAGGCCTAAAATTTAGTTTTTTTTAAATTTTTTAAAAGACATTTTAAGACTTTTTAAGACCCCGGAGACACTATGTAGATTATTTAATGAAACAACATATATTTAAGGGTCAACAAATAGTATTTGTACATAGTGTTTTGTAATAGAACTACTTTCTTCTTGGGAACGGATGCAGGTTGTGTATAAAGGGTGTAATGTAGACATATGTTTTTGTGGAATATATTTTGAAGGGTTGTTTTTACATTTTTTTATTTAATTTATCTTTTTTTTTTGTATTTTATATTGAGGTATGGAGGAATAATTTAATATTGGTAGTGCTATGCAGGAAATAAATAAACCTTTTCATTTTAGGTTTAAACCTTAAACCCATAAATTGCAATATGAATATAAATATTGCGATATGTTTTTGGAAATAATTTAGATTTAGAAAATAGATTTTAGAAAATGATTCTACAAGGAGTGCATCTGCATAAAATATAATAAACAAATTGCAAGCATAGATGGATACAATTGAACAAAGATACACATAAAAAAACATAGCTTTATGGTTTTCTAACAGTATTGTTAATATAGAATAATCAAGTCCAAGACAGCACAGTATAGTCTTCGTTGTAATAAAATACAAAAAAATATGATTAATCATTGTTAAATACATACATTATACATTCTTGTGCCTAAATCCTTTCAATTCACTTAAAATCGTACACAGTCACATGCCTTAAAAATACATTTAAATGAAATTCTTTCACACTATTAGGAATGAATTCTGAACAAATCACATGGTTCCTGGTTAATTATAAACCCAACTTGACATTAAAGATCCTGTGATGTGATTATACTAGATATCGATATCGCTGTAACAATATATTGCGCAGGCCTGTTCTATATTCAATAATACTAATTATTATCTAAATAATTATTTAATACTTAATCGACTACGAAAAGCAACATTGTGAATACTTGTTTAGGATTTACATTGTGTTTTTGTAACACTTTACAATATGGGAAAAGTAGTTAATGTTAGTTAATATATTACGTAACATGAACAAACAATGAAAAATGCTTGATAACATTAATTAATGCACAGAGTTAACATAAACTAACAAATGAACAACTGTATTTTTATTAACAAAGATTAATAAATACTTGGATAAATGTAGTGTACAAGTGTAAAGTGTTACCGTCATTTTCAATGCTTTATGACTAAACATGCTATTAAAACATGCAGTAATCATTAAGATAACTGTAGAACACTTTAATTTAAGTAACAAGTCACACCATATACTACACTGTAAAAAATGCTGGGTTCCATACAATTCCTTTATGTTTTTCCAACACAAATTGTTATCTTAATCGTTTTTACAAATGGAAGTGGATTAAACAAAAAACAATTGAGTTGTCCCCATAAAAACTTAAGAATGATGTTGTTTTACCTCAATTTAAATGTAGTTATTTAAAGCTAAATGTAAAATGTTAAATGAAAAATGCTAAATGTAGCCAATTTAGAGTAGTTTCAACAAGAAGCAAAGTATTTATTTATTTTTTTTTGCGTGCGCTGGCTTATTACGTGCTTATTACTAGTAATTAATAAGCAGTTATTTAATAGTTTATTGAGCTAAAAGTCTTCTAATAGTCTGCTAATTGCTTGAATTGTACATTAAAATCAAATGTGACTTTACTTGGTATTTTCTGTACTGTACAACACTAGTAAACAACAACATGTTGTAAAGAGTTCTACATAAATACAATTATTTGAATGTATTATTGCTGAGTACCTGAATAAAAGTGTTGTACATTTATTGATATTTTTTTCCTGCAATAAGGGTCTTACCGGCAGCATGAGCATAGTTCCAGGTGGTCCTGGCAAACCATCAGCTCCAGGAAGACCAGCACGGCCTGGAGGACCCTGAGCGACAGAGAAGAGAAAGAATAAATCAGTAACCTGACACTTCTTCACAACACACAGGTAAGAGAAAGTACAAAGAGAGGAATGAGAAAAGCAAAGGATTTAAACAGACCAATCTTCCATTAGATTTCAGTTAAGTGAGCTTGAGTTAAAGACATTGAGTCGATTGGTTTTCTAGCTCATAAGCGCAGGGAGGGAAAAAACACTGTGTAACAATTATTTGTGCCTAAACAACACTTTATTTGGCTGTCCAGATGGTTCCCCGTTGTTTCCACTATGTCCAATTATAAAGAAGTATCACCTTCAGCACGGTTAGCTTGTGAAGATGTTCAGTAAACACTAATTAAGCATATTAAATGCCCTTTGAGGTGCGCAGGGCTTAGTTTGTCTAAAATCATTTATCATTTCTCATTTTATACACTAGCAGTCCTGTGTTTTAGTTTTGTTTTCATTCAAATGAACTATCTGTCTACAGCTGAAGGATATTCTGCTGTAAGATATTTTATTTTTGTCATTAGCATACATCTGTGTGGTATATAGTTGTAGTTGTTTTTTTATTTTGACGTGTAATGTAAATAAAACAAATTTATCCTCGGATTGCCAGACTTTAATGATACATAATAATAATAATAATAATAATAATAATAATAATAATAATAATAAAAATAATAATAATAACAATAATAACAACAACAACAACCACAATAATAATAATAATAATAATAATAATAATAATAATAATAATAATAACAATAATAATATAATAAGTAACTTGACTTTAATAAGTTAATGTAGATAAAAATAAACGTTTTCAATTTAACAGCATATTTACAATGTATACAATGTTGATAAAAAATAGACTTGTTTTAAAATGTCATTAATGAGTACATTTATTTGAAAATATCATTATATTAAATGTAGGAACATAATCCCCATTGAAATTAAGTGAGTTCAATTAAATAGATCTGAAGTTATAACACACGACTGCCCAAAAATAGTCTGAATGTATGAAACCTACATATACATTTCCAACATAACAACATAAGCAGTGTAAAAAAGCAATACATGTATTTTACTCACATAAATAAAGTAAATAAATAAATAACAAGGGATCAATATGATCTAACCATATAATGTTAGATTTAGTGGAAAGCTAAATTATGTTTTATATGAATTTAATTGATACTAGTATAATTGTATAGGTCAGTTTACAAGTATTACAATTTTTTTTGACACCTAAAAGAGGCAAAATGAGCCAACCATTACTGTGTGTCATTTCCATAATATTTGAATGTTACCGAAAAAAAAAATTGTAAACAATCTGAAAAACTAATGTGGTCTATTATGGAAGTCTTTTTTTATACCAAAATGTTTATAGATACTTTCAAGGTCAAATCCGATCCAAATGCTTTGTTAGCAATGGCTTTGTATATTATATTAAAAATACTTCGCTGCATTTATTCAAAAATGTTGTGGTTATTCTGATGTAGATACAGTTGAAGTCAGAATTATTAGTCCCCCTTTGATTTTTTTTTTCTTTTTTAAATATTTCCCAAATGATGATTAACAGAGCAAGGAAATTTTCACAGTATGTCTGATAATATTTTTACTTCTGGAGAAAGTCCCATTTGTTTTATTTTGGCTAGAATAAGAGCAGTTTTTAATTTTTTAAAAAAACATTTTAAGGTCAAAATTATTAGCCCCTAAGCTATATATATTTTTCTTAGTCTACAGAACAAACCACCGTTATACAATAACTTGCCTAATTATCCTAACCTGCCTAGTTAACCTAATTAACCTAGTTAAGCCTTTAAATGTCACTTTAAGCTGTTTAGAAGTGTCTTGGAAAATATCTAGTCAAATATTATTAACTGTCATCATGGCAAAGATAAAATAAATTATTGTTATTATACATTATTTATAAATATAAATAATTTATAAATTATTTTTTCATAAATAATTTATAAATTTTTTTTTCATTCATTCATTAACTTTCTTGTCGGCTTAGTCCCTTTATTAATCCGGGGTCGCCACAGTGGAATGAACCGCCAACTTATCCAGCAAGTTTTTACGCAGCGGATGCCCTTCCAGCCGCAACCTATCTCTAGGAAACATCAACACACACATTCACTCATACACTACGGACAACTTAGCCTACCCAATTCACCTGTACCGCATGTCTTTGGACTGTGGGGGAAACCGGAGCACCCGGAGGAAACCCACACGAAGGCAGAGAGAACATGCAAACTCCACACAGAAACGCCAACTGAGCCGAGGTTCGAACCAGCGACCCAGCGACCTTTTTGCTGTGAGGCAACAGCACTACCTACTGCGCCACTGCCTCGCCTAAATATTTTGTTATAAGTTATTAGAAATGAGTTATTAAAACTATTATGTTTAGAAATGTATTGAAAAAAATCTTCTTTATGGTAAACATAAATTGGGGAACAAAAATAAACAGGGGCTAATAATTCAGGGGGGCTAATAATTCTGACTTCAACTGTATATTGCAATCATCATCATCATCATCATCACTAACACTAACTCACTTTGATCTGTATTTCTAAATAAAGTAGCCCATAGTTCCATGTCTGCAAACTCAATGTGTCGCAGAGGGTGTAAATGTGCCCTTAGGGTCAGGAATCTGCCATGACCCTGTTCAGAATAAATCAGCATTATGTACTGTTTACTGACACTTCCACATCTTGCTGTTTACAACAGCCATCTATGCCTTTTCTAAGCTTCCAGAATGCAAGGATTTCTCAGGACTGACAGTTTTCTCAGACTCAAGTTTTTTTGATTAATATTTTAACCCTGACAATAACAAATTCACTTTCTACAAACTAAAGCTGAAATATGACAGAAGATGAAGACCTGAATCTCAACTAAACATGTCAATGTCCTGAAACCACTCAATCGGATATTAATAAAGCATAAAGTCAGAGAGGGAAAAAAAAGTCCTACCCTATCACCAGGATCTCCAGCCAAACCAGGGGGGCCTTGTAAACCTGGAGGACCTGGAAGACCCTAAAGACAAAGACAGCACAAACAAACATAGGTTTGAGCGTAAAGATAAGCCAAATAACAAAAGATTAGACCTTAGTGATTTTTTTTTCTGGTCAGAGCACATGGGTTGAAAACTGAATGTTACAGTAAAACTGATGCAGGTAAATATGCTAGTTGCTTACAGCAGGTCCAGGTGGTCCTGAAGGTCCCTCGATCAGCATTCCCTTTGAATCACACCAAAATCACAATTACTGACAGATTGCATGATCAAATTATGTAATAAACTCAGATTAATATCGTCCCCATGTTGATGCATATAAGAAATTCACTTTTTACTCACTGGTTCAATCACTGCAGGCTCTCCTTTCTCACCTTTCTGACCAAGAGCAGCACCTCCACCCAGCTGAAAACACACAATACAGGTCAGACAGACAGACAGACAGACAGAGATAGATAGATAGATAGATAGATAGATAGATAGATAGATAGATAGATAGATAGATAGATAGATAGATAGATAGATAGATAGATAGATAGATAGATAGATAGATAGATAGATAGATAGATAGATAGATAGATAGATAGATAGATGGGTGGGTGGGTGGGTGGGTGGGTGGGTGGGTGGATGGATGGATGGATGGATGGATGGATGGATGGATGGATGGATGGATGGATGGATAGACAAATAGATAGATAGATAGATAGATAGATAGATAGATAGATAGATAGATAGATAGATAGATAGATAGATAGATAGACAGACAGACAGACAGACAGACAGACAGACAGACAGACAGACAGACAGACAGACAGACAGACAGACAGACAGACAGACAGGGATGGATGGATGGATGGATGGATGGATGGATAAATAGATGAAGAGATAGATAGATAGATAGATAGATAGATAGATAGATAGATAGATAGATAGATAGATAGATAGATAGATAGATAGATAGATAGATAGATAGATAGATAGATAGATAGATAGATAGATAGATAGATAGATAGATAGATAGATAGATAGATAGATAGATAGATAGATAGATAGATAGATAGATAGATAGACGTATAAATATATAAACCGACTGATAGACAGAGACATATAATAGATAGAAAGTCAGACAGACAGACAGTGTTAGTGTTAGTGCCGGTGCAGAATGCATGACGTGTAAACTATGATTGACTGTTATGCTGAAGATGTTAAAGTCTGGCGGGTTTATTTTTGGATTATTTTGCATGTTTATTCTTCTCTGCAATTGAGAAAAGGAGAAAAACTTCTTCTTAAGGGGGAGGAGGTGGAGAAGGGTGTGCCCGAACAGACAGCTGGGTCTGTGGTATGGGGTAATTGCCGTGTCCCGGGGCAGTATTGGAGATAAGGTGCTGACAGTCACAGAGTTCAGCAGCTCCGTGACTTTCAGGAATGAGAGTGAGTGTACGCTTTCTGTGAATCAGTGTGATGGAGACGAAAGAAAGAGTACACTAATGTGGATAAAAGAGAAGAAATGCATTCTAGAGGAGAGAATAAAACGGACAGACCCCATGCAGAATAGTACACTGTAGAGTCAACAACACATGCTAGATTTCCATATCCAACAATCCCAGTGCTTGGACGACACGCTCATTTCAGGGCTCAATACTTACGTCTGTTTCAGCGATGTCGGTTTCGGCCGCAACCCCAGGCCCAAAAGTGTCCTCGTAATTGGATGTTGGGTTTGGAGCCACATTGCCAAACTCATCATAAGGCCCATACTCATACTGATTTTTGTCAAGCCCAGTCACATCATATTCCTTAAGATCATACTCCTTAAAGTCATACGAGTCCACTCCGATGGGGTCAGCGGTGCCACTGGGCAGCACAGCTTCTGAGGCAGCGGTCGGATCCAGACCAGCCTGGGCCGTCTCGGTGATATAATCACCAAAATTCTCCTCTTCCATGGCCTTATTACACCCAAAGCAATGCGGCGGAAGGGAGTTTGAGCAATGGAGGGAAGATGGATGTTAGTTTTAGCAGTTAAAGCAATTACTACTGTATCTAAAGCAAAGCAAGAGCAAAATGAATTGCATGATTAATGGCCATCGATTTTGGCTGGCAACAAGGTAACACTTCTTTGTCCCATTGAAGTGATTCGAATTGCATTGATTCATAGGTGGATTAAGAGAGTGTAAGGCGTTAATTAAATTTGGTTAAGTAAATCACATTGTACAATTTACAGCAATAGGAAATAGTAATGGAGATTTAATGGCTTAAAATGTTTAAACATAAAGCCACAAGGTATTTTTTAGCTCAGTATAAACTATAATTACTTTATAAGCAAATGGACAAGCTTTCTCGAGTTTAGTTTTTTGGATAAATTAAATTAAATTAAATTAAATTAAATTAAATTAAATTAAATTAAATTAAATTAAATTAAATTAAATTAAATTAATAAAATAAAATAAAATAAAATAAAATAAAATAAAATTAAATTAAATTAAATTAAATTAAATTAAATTAAATTAAAATAAATTAAATAAAAATAAATCTAATTAAATTAAAAGTAAATAAAAAATGAATAAAATTAAATAAGAAATAAAATAATAAAGTTAAATAAAATAAAATATAAAATTTAATCAAAATAAAAACTAACTATAATATAAAAGAAAATAAAACTAATGTTTAGGGATGCTCTGATTGATTGGCCGAAGATCGGTATCGGCCGATAATCACATTTCATGACTCGATCAGTACCCGCCAATCCAATCTGGCCGATCTCATGGACCGATCACAGCGGTTTGTTTATGAGTTTACATGCAGCGGAAGACGCACAAGTGCTCCTGTATATTATATATAGCCTAAGCCAAAGTAAAATGAATGAATGAATGCTGCTTCTGGCCATGATATGTTCACACCTAAATATTTATGAGACATGTTTATAGGATTATATGCAACATCCTTCATTTATTGTCTTAGGTAAAGTGAGATCTTCCCTTAAGGATCATACATAGAGGGAAATGTGCTTTATGCATTATAAAGCTCGGAGCATCATAATCGGTACTCGGTATCTGCTGATCACCATGATAAGGATTCGGTATCCGTTATCGGCGGCTAAAATCCTGATCGGAGCATCCCTACTAATTTCTGTAAAAGTTCAAGTTAAATGTATCTTGATATCGAAAGGCTTTAAAACAAAAATTCTGTGAACATTTTTTCGTTAAAAAAATGGAGTAATAAAAACAATTTGAGTTCTGATTTCACAACTAATTTGTATTAAATGCCAATCTTTTATTTTCAAATATTTGTGTTATTTGCAAAAGGACAGAAAAAGTGTTAACTCAATAATAAAAAGCATGATTATGTTTGCTAATTTAATAATCACACAACCAAATCTGTCTTTTTTTCCACAATAAGCATAATGGTAAAGCTGTATTATGTTTAGAGGTGGAAAAACAAAGACAGAAACATATCACACTGCAGTGTTTATAAAAAAAGAAAACACAAAACTATCGTGATAATTATGTGATCGAATGCAGAAACAGGTCAAATGTAACCTAAGCAGCTCAGCATTTGATAACAACTCTGCTTACCACATTTTCCACAAAATAAAACATAATCATTATATATCTGCACAATCCACGATAAACACAGAACTGGTCAATGCATCTAAAGAAAATGGCTGTAATAGCGCTAACTAGTACCAGAACTATTCAACCATTCTAGCAGCGAATTTGATGTTCGTTTAACATCAGCTTTTATGTGTGTCACTTATTGAGAGAACTGTTTTGAATGGGACTTGCCATCCTATCAATGATAGTTCAAGCAATCAGTTCCAAACCTCAATCAAAAAATTTCTTAATTAAATGGATGGATGGATGGATGGTGGATAGATAGATAGACAGACAGACAGACAGACAGACAGACAGACAGACAGACAGACAGACAGACAGACAGACAGACAGACAGACAGACAGACAGACAGACAGACAGATAGATAGATAGATAGATAGATAGATAGATAGATAGATAGATAGATAGATAGATAGATAGATAGATAGATAGATAGATAGATAGATAGATTGATAGATAGACAAACAGATAAATATATACATACATGGATAGATAGACAGACAGACAGACAGACAGACAGACTGACTGACTGACTGTTTGATTGATTGATTGATTGATTGATTGATTGATTGATTGATTAATTGATTGATTGATTGATTTATTCGTCTGATTAATTGGGTAGTTCACCTAAAACTGAAAGTTATGCCATTTTGTTCCCATTAAGTTTTCCAAAAGTGTTTTGAGTTTATTTTTTCTTTGGAAAAGTAAAAGAAAGAAAATCTGTAACCGTTGACTTCCATAGTATTTGTTTTCTTACTTTGGAAGTCAATGATTAAAGGTTTTCAGCTAAATTCCGAGTCGATCAATAAACTCGAAAAGGTTTGGAACCACTTAAATAAATAGAAAGTAAATTTGATTTTTTTTTGTGTGAACTATCCATTTAAATCATTGAATCATACAAAAACGTGTTGTTCCTGAATGCAAACTTAACCATCATTGATATCCACAACAGGAAGCTGAAAATCCATTGAGAGATATCTGCTTGATATTCTCGCCGTGTCTGAAGTTTCACATCACAGGAAGCAGAGAGCCTAAATTTAGATCTTAGCGTTTTTATAGTGAATATCAGCTTCATGTAGATGGAATAGTTCCCTTGCAGTGACACTCAAAAGCGCAGAACAATTTCCTCAAATTGTTTTGTCATTTCATTTCAAATACTTCCTCATGCTCCAGGATTTTTCCTTGTTTTCTCCCACATTAGTGACCCTCGCCCCATTCTTAGAGTAAATAACCAAATGATTACCTTGTTTGGTCCAGTGGTTGCGACAGGCGTTTTGGAAGCATCTACTGTTCCGTAGTCAAGTTCACTGTCTGTATAGTACTCTCCATCTACATTGTTAGACTACAGCAAGTTTCAAAGTGAAAAGGAAAGAGGAAGAAGATAAGAAAGGAGGAATTAACACAGTTCAAGCAGTTTCCATAAGTGATCCGCAGAGACGGCACCTAGCAAAAGAATATACGGACGACTCTCTCAGACCATCATCAGAGATTTCCCTCAATAAAAAGGAGATCTTGATGGGTTCTGACATCGACTACACTTGTACTATTACCCCTAGAATGGCTTGTCTTGGTGTTGGTGGCAGGTATCCGTATCTCTTCTTCTTAGGCACTAACTTTTTAGCCTGTTTTGGCTCCAGGTACTTATAGGGTTTGGCAAAAGATTTAGGGGACTTTTTTGTCCTCTTGGATTTCATGGAGACACTACGTTTCACTCTCTGGAAAAAGGTTATGGTGAGGGGGGGAAAAGACACATCAAATTATTTGCATTAGAAGGGAAATGAGAGCCTGTTCTTATTTGTCAAATGTGGGTTACATGAAAAACTCAAAGATCATTCATTGAAAAAAAATTAAGTTACTGTATTATTTACAGCCCAGACTAACTGGAAATATGTCCCTCAGCCTACATCTTTATGAAATGTAAAATATGTTACTCTAGGTAAGTTTCATTGCACATTTCAGATGACAAATCCACTAGAGGGCGCTGTCTACAATTTGGTATTAATTATTTTTTGCTTGTGTATTTTGTAGGGATGAACTGAAATTAAATTTCAGAGCCGAAACCGAAATTCTGAATGCATGAAAAGTGAAAATGTTTAGTAATAAGTACTTTTCAATTTAAGTAACTTTAAACTTAACTTGACAACTTAAATTATATTATTTTAAAAAGCTAATAAAATTTTTATTGACAGTGAAGAGTTGAGACATTGTCAATTTACCAGCATTGTCATGACAAATCCACCAAAGGGCGCTGTTTGCGTTTTGATGTTAATAATTTTTTTGCCTGTGTATTTTATAGGGATGTACTGAAATTAAAATTCTGGATTAAAACCGAAAACTCTGGATGCACTTGGTGGAAAACGTAAACTGAATGTTTTATAACAAGCAATTTAAATGCAAATAACTAAACTTATGTAACTAAACTAATGTAAATTTAACTTATAACCTAAATAATACTGTTTTTTTTAAACACAAGCTAATAAAATAACCACATTTTATTAAGAGTGAACAAATCAAGAGGGGTCGTTTTACCAGTGTTGTGCTACTGCAAACAGCATGAACAAGTATACTACATAAAAATGTCCTGTCAGTGCATAATTTGAGTGCTTTGCTTTTTCTATTGAATGTGTGTTAAGTGAACAGATAACTGTATTGGCACTTGAGCGGAATACACACAGCAAAATATTAAATTTAACCTTGCACCAATGCAATGCTGCTCTTGCGCTTTTGGTTAAATACAACAACAAAACCATCCTTTTGGTCTATTGAAATTAATGGGTTTCATAGCGCAGAGCTTTCCGCTTCCAGTATGAAAGCTGCTTTACACCACGCAGTGACTATGGCTAGAGGGAAAGTAAACTAGCATGCTAAACACTGCTGATCAGCATAGCTTCTTTTCTGCTCATATTCTTTTTCACTGTATAACCAAAAATGCAATTTTCACCTGATAATGTTGAGTGCTCGAAAATTTGATGCATCCCTATTGTTTAAATCTTAAACGGCTTGCTATATTACCATAAAATACACCCAGGCAACCCACATTTGATTTCTTTCTCTTAACACTAGATTTACAGATGTACAAACACAGACAGACAACATACACTATAGATGGGCAAAAGTATGTGAATCCCAGTAGTAATGTATGGGTCTGGTTATTTAAGTTAACCAACAGGTGCTTAAAATCTGCCATACAACCATATAATCTTCTCAAATATACCTTTTATTTCAATACCACAGCAGGATTGATTGATCCAAAAAAACCCTAAGCCACATACTTCTGCCCGTAATACAAATATATAGAACAAAAAAGGAGGAAAACACATACATCCCACATTCCTGCATTTACCTGCGGCTCAGAAAACTCATCAGTCGCTGTGGGTGTGCCTCCCTCGTAATAATCATATAAATCACCATATTCAACAGGAGTTGTGTACTGCACATAGGGAGAGGATGACAAAGAGGTTAGCAAAGCAAAACACATGCATTAATGTAATCTACCCGAGGGTGTATTACATATTTTAATGGTTAGATATACTGTACTGTATAGTTGGTTTTATACAGTGCTGATGAATTAGATGTTAACATTATTTTAAATGTAAATCATGAGTGTTGTCATTTTAAAAAAATCTCTAAAAATGAAGCAAAAGTTCTCAGATTGTGTGTGTGTGTGTGTGTGTGTGTGTGTGTGTGCGTGTGTGTGTGTGTGTGTGAGTTCAGCACACATTGCATTAATTACAGTAATGTATAACATGTGATGTACTTTTTCTGATATATAGATGGGCGTTTAATGCCCTGTAAAAGGAGATAACAACCATGTGTTAGCTGCCTTCTTCATTTCTCATCTTTATTTGTGTGTAAAATCCAATCTGCCTTCTGACGCCAAAGTAGAATCAAGGGTAAAGTCTTAAAAAGCTGTAAAATTTTTTTTTTTTTTACATTAAAGTAGGAAATTGTGGTGGAATAGCTGATTTTATATCTCAAATACTTCATAATTAGACTCATACAGATGTTAATTGTTAAGTTTTGAATATTAAAATGAGGTTAATACTGAAAAATACCATTAGACTCTGCTGTTGAAAACATGTACAGCCTTTATTAGTAAGTTCAATATTTACTAATGTATTATTAAAGCTTTTTACATTAGCTAATGCACTGTGAGTTAACATGAACAGACAACAAATTACTTTTTTTCATTAACAAACATGCATAAATACTGTAATTATTGTATTGTTTGTTTATAAATGCATTACCTAATATTAACTAATATTGTAAAGTGTTGCCCATTCATCAATTATAACACCTTTTAATTAATGAATGAATGGTTTACTAGATTTCTGGTCAGTAAGGCATAGCATTTTCTCTGCTCCTTGAACACAAATAACGGCTGTCAGAGGAGCAGGAAAGCTGATAAAGCCATTGGAGTGGAGCACTCCAGGGGTTCATCCATCAAACACAAGTATATGTTAATCCTCATCCAGCATAAGAGCTCATAAAACAGCCGCTGCGCTGATGATCTGGGTCTCTTCATGGCTGGTGATCCCTCAGTACTGAGTCAGACCTCATTCAGGCTGATTTATGAGCAAAGCATTTCAGACACGTACAATGTGAGAGAAAGGGTTATTCATTTCTCACATTCTGGAACTGACCCTCTCCCTGTTTTAGCAAGACGTAATGTGTCAAAATGTCTTGCATACGTTGCCATTGGTTGAAAGAGTGACTGTAACCTGGTATATTTTTTTATGCATTATTATTCAATACTTTATTTTACTTTATTATAATTAGTATGCATTGAGTTGATGAAATGTGTTTTACAGTACCTTTCAAAATTCACTTTATGTAAATTATTTTACATTAAATTAGTTTATTATATATTTTTTATTTTTATTATTTGTTTATTTTGTTATACTATATTTTAATACATTCATCATGCTATTTTCTATTTTTATTTTATTTTATTTTGCTGTCTAGTTTTGGTGAGTACCAATGCAAAATTTTATTTTATTTTATTTTATTTATTTTTATTAAATTTATCTTGCTAACTTCTATTTTTTTACGCTGCATTTTGTGTTTTCTATTTGTTATGCCAAGCTTTATTTTTATTTATTTATTTATTTATTTATTTATTTATTTATTTATTTATTTATTTATTTATTTATTTATTTATTTATTTATTTATTTATTTATTATTTTTATTTTGCAGTCTAGTTTTAGTGAGTAGCCCTAATCTTTGTATGAGATTTAATTTAATTTAATTTAATTTAATTCAATTCAATTCAATTCAATTCAATTCAATTCAATTCAATTTAATTTAATTTAATTTAATTTAATTTAATTTAATTTAATTTAATTTAATTTAATTTTAACTTAATTTTGTTTTGTTTTGTTTTGTTTTGTTTTGTTTTGTTTTGTTTTGTTTTGTTTTGTTTTGTTTTGTTTTAATTTATTTATTTTATTTTATTTTACAGTCTAGTTTTGGTAAGTAGCCCTAATTTGTTATGAGGTTTTTTCTATTAATTATTAATAATAAATTAAAAATCACAAAAATAAATCTCAATTTATTTGTTCGCCACTCATCAAGTTCTAAAAATATTTTGTGTGTTTATAAATCTTCTACTATGATGAGTTCTACTATTAATAATACTAATAAATGAAGAAAACATGCTATTAAAGTATCTGTCAAGTAAAGCAATACTACTAATAACAAATGCATTTGAAAGCTTTTCATTCAAAACAATATAGTTTTATCTGTAATATTATTGGCTACAACATAATTCATGCACTTCAGTAATATTTCACTTTTTGTTTGTGTTTTTCAAAGTTTATTCTATAATATTATTTCAATTATTCTAACATGTGGAAAAACAACAATAAAGTATGAGTCTGTCCGTCCAGTCATTTGACTGTAGGTGTCAAAAGTATCGACAGCATGTCAGACGTCCAGAAGCGTTTAGTCTTCTGAGTACTGAAGGAAATGCTATTTCCTCTGTCAGCTAGTCCAAAAGGCTCATGGTCTATATACTGACCTCCTCTCCGGGCTCCTGTGCCTGCAGTGTGTCCTTGTGAGGGACGTCACAGTCTGGGCTGTAATGTTCACAGTAGTCGTAAGCTGCTTTAGGGTCAGCCACAATCAGCAGTTGTTGTATATCACCCTGAGGAGACCAAAAACAGAGCAATACATGAGATACATGTGCTGAAATATTACTACTGAAACATTAACACAAATTAAACATTAATCGATCAAATTGACTGTGCATTGTAGAAAAATAAGGACTGGAAGGCAGGGTTGGAACAAAACAACAAATCATCAACAACTTTCTCAATGAGAAACACAGGTTCAGGAAATTGCTGCTTTATAAGCAGGTAAATAAAACATGTTTCATCACGAAACACCTTGGGAACAGAAACCCACAAAGGAAGTCTGCTCTCGTATAAAATGTGCCTAACAATGGTTGGGCAACAGTACATAAAACCTTCAGGTCAACAACATGTTAAACATGCACACATCTACAAAGAGCACATGTTTAACATGGAGATGAGTGGAATCTGTCTTGCCATACATTCATTATGGGTGTTTGGTGATTAAAAACATCCTTTAGGGCATGAGGATACAATTTACTTCTCATGAACCTAGAAATCAATAGTCCCTCGATTTTTTGACATGTAAAAGGTCAATGTGCTATAAAAAACAAGTTTCACAACAAAACTTTCTTGTAAGCCTGAAAACGGCTTATAAAAACAAATTGTTTTAAATGTGCCTGATTAGTGATGTAATAGTTGGTATAAACTCCGGCTCCAGAGAAGATGGTCAAGGCTTGATTCCACATAACTGTCTGTTTGGCTCCGCCCACAATAACAAAGGAGGCAAACCTTTAAAAACAAACAATAAAGAGCCTTCGAAGACACCAAATTGTGGGAAAATACAGTATTTGCTAGGTATCAACCAATTTAGCAGCACTAAAAAAAACTGAATCAGACAATTTTTGTTTTAAATGCGCAATCAGAAACTGGATTTATCTATTTTTATTTTGGCCGCGTGTCCAAATTTGCACACAATCTGCACTGCAACAACTTTATACTACAAAGTCACTTCAAAAGCAAATAAACCTCAAATACACTTTTTTCTGGTTTCCAGAAAGAACAGCATGAAAAATATATAAAAATCAGTATCACGATCAGACAATTTGCTAGTATAAAATGTATACAATTTATACTAGCAGCACTTATTTTTGAATCTTTTCAGATCCCAGTGTAGCAGAGGCAGCTAGTGAAGAGCTGTGCAGGTAATCCTCACTCCTCTGACCTCTAAAGCCTGGTTTATACTTCTGCGTCAAGTGATCGGCGTGACCCTACTCCTGTTGGCAGTGAGGTGTTTATGTTCCTCTGTGTTGAGTTTCTTCACTGGTATTTTTTTTTTTCTGAATGCTTCCTTAACGTACAAGTGGTTCAAATTCGCTCATTTTGAGGCAGGAACCTGGCGGACGTGCAACAACTTTAACTATGAGGTAAACACAAAACAAAAATCCTTCACAGCACTCCACATTTGTAAACAATCCCTCCACTGGGCTTGCGCGGCTCTCGGCCCACACTCGTCAGCGATACCAAGCTGGCCAATCACAGAGCTTGCGCTACGCGTCATTGCGATGTGTAGTTACATTTTTTGAGAGGTGCAGATCAGCGACGCCGACGGCCATGGTGAGGGCTATGCGTCCACGCGTAGGCTGCGCCGTAGCATAAGCGTGTACTTGACGCTGAAGTATAAATTAGCCTTAAAGGTGCTCTAGTAACAGATAAATACACAAAAATACACAAATAATGGCTCAGCAATGAATAAGAGCAATGAACTCCCATGTGGAAAATCACCGATTTGATTTCAGCTCTGAGCGGGTTGGGTGGTGTAGGACTGGTACATTTGGTGCCGTGACCCGGGTGGGAGTGAAGTTTAGTGGGGTGAGTGTAAAAGAGGCCAGCTAGTGAAATGCTGTGCAGGTAAACCTCAGTCTTCTGACCTCTAAAGATGCTAGATGCCATGGTCTTTAGCCTCCTTGTTAGAGCAACTGACTCCCATGTAAAGAGTTGCCTGTTTGATCGCATCTCTGATTGGGTGGTATAGGACCGACGGGGTTACACCAACATTAGGAAAGAGTGGTCCAACGTGTTCTTTGATTAACTTAACTTTTCCATGGATTTGTTTACAAGCAAGGCAATATTCAAAACAGGATATACAGAAATAATGGAAGTAAGATGATGCTGAATGCTGAATCCAACCGTAATCTTGCACCATACGAGTGACGAGTGAGTTTATGTGCTCTGTTTTTCATTAACACACAGATCTGTTAAACATTTTGAAGTTAATCACAGCCTTTAAAGTCCATCAATAAAGTATGTAGATTTCAATACATTTATACATTTGTTGGCACAAAACTGTCTTAGGACATAATCTTAAACAGCAAGCAACCAAAACAGTTAGCCAATCATATTAATGAGCATTTGCATATCATGAACCCATAGAGTACTACAAATATATACAGTTAAAGTCAGAATTATTAGCCCCCCTTTGTATTTTTTCTTCTTTTTTAAATATTTCATGAATGATATTTAACAGATCAAGAAAATTTTCACAGTATGTCTGATAATATATTTTTCTTATTTGATTTATTTTGGCTAGAATAAAAACAGTTTTAATTTTTTTACATCCATTTTAAGGTCAATATTTTTAGCCCCTTTAATCTAATTTTTTTTTAGATAGTCTACAGAACAAACCATCATTATACAATAACTTGCCTAATTACCCTAACCTGCCTAGTTAACCTAGTTAAGCCTTTAAATGTCACTTTAAGCTGTTTAGAAGTGTCTTGAAAAATAGTCAAATATTATGTACTGTCATCAAGGCAAAGATAAAATAAATCAATCATTAGAAATTAGTTATTAAAACTATTATGTTTAGAAATGTGTTGGAAAAAAATCTTCTCTCCGTTAAACAAAAATTGGGGTAAAAAATAAACAGGAGGGCTTATAATTCAGGGGGGCTAACAATTTTGACTTGAACTATACATAGAAAGCAACGTCAACTTTACAGTCCTGCCCTCTAGACACTGCATTAGAAATGCCTTGCATAAGCGATAATTCCCTTTTTGTAATTTGATGCTAAGATGATATAATGCAAACATAAATACATATAAATGTTTATAATGTTTTTTTTTTTTAAATCAAATTAATAAAAACTTTGATAAGGTTACTTGTGAATAGGGTGCATTGAGCATTACAAGTTGCCATACCAATTCAAACAATATTCAGTTTCAATGAGGCCATCAAAACAAGACAGAAAAATTGCCTATTAGTTCTAAATTATAGTAATTTTTATGTAAAATCTTGATGTGGAAACTGACAGATAGAGGTTTTTGTCTTTGAACTAGATGAACACAGGATGACGTGGGGCTGTGATGAGGATTGTGTTCATATGATCGTTTTACATCGAAGCCCATGTAAATCTGGGGGATGTGTTCAAACCTGAGGTCTCTTCTTGGCACTGTCACAGAGAGAGAGAAAGAAAGAGACTGATTTTGCAGAAAAGGCAACCACTAAAAAAACTGCAGGCTTAGACTTGTTAGGAGCATGTATGTGTGTGTGTATTTTTACACCACTCTCTGTAAACTCAACTGTATAAACAGCAAAATGCTCAGGTGTGCCCATAGTAAAATAGGGGATGCTTGACCTCCTTTTTACAACAAAATACCACCTTTCAAACTGCTTATATTTAATTTATGAAAATAAAATAAGATTTTTTTTTATTTTGATGACAGGAATGTAATACACTCTTGTGTTGATTTTTCATAATGCACACAAAATGTGAGTGTTTAAAGAATATACAGACATTTTTGTAATGCTCATAAAGCTTTTAGTTGTCTATAAAGTTTTATTAGTGTAAAAAAAAGCTTGTAAAATATATTTAGCTTTCCCCTCATGTCCCACACACAATTTAGTTTTGTGATTAGCATGAATGTGAACCCATATTGACAAAACAAAACAAAATTTTAAACTTAAAAGCAAACATTTATGCAAGTGAACTTAACTTTGAGTAAAAAAATAAAAACATTTTGAGTAATATGTATGTTGTTTTGCTGAAAATAGGTTTTGTTGAATTAGAAACTACAATAACATCAATTTCATAAAATAAAACAAAGATTTATTTTATTTTATTTTATTTTATTTTATTGTGTCTTGCAATAATCCCAGTAAACCTTCAGGGATATTTCATTGATTATTTTAACGAGTGCCCTCATTCAAACTACATTTCTCATCAATATTTTATATAAACTATACATTCCGGACCAAAACTCCACAATAATGTAAAATACTCAAGGGACAATAAATTATCATAATGTAGGGCGAGCAAACCCTTTAAAAAGCCTCTATTATGGGTTTTGAAAAATGACCTTCCATGCAGTGTGTAACAGCTCAAAGTGAAATAAAATATCCAGCTAAGGCTTAAATCTGAAAGTGCACCATGTTTAAAACTATTGGTTCATCTATGAAAGAGTCGACTCATAGTGGTCACAAACACTGTAGAAAGACAAAGAAAAAGACAAACACTGTAGCAGATCCCGGTTGAATCTAGTCATGACGACGCTGTGCTCTGATGTTTGAGGGAAAGTTTGTGTTATTTTCCCTACCCAAAGATGAGGCTGTGAAGAGTCAGTGGTTGAAGTTTATTTTTGCAACAATACCTCAGCATTATAGCCCCAGCCTTGCGCTGTGTTCCCGTCATTTTTCTGATGAGTGCTTCAGCGATCTACATGCTTACAACGAGGGATTCATCAGCCGTTTGTTAATTGAAGGATCAGAAAAGACTATTGATGTGTGGGACTTTGTCAGAGCTTGACAGGAACTTTACAGTACACAGTTCAGGGATCAGTTTCTTACTCTATTTCACAAGTGTTAGTAAGTGCAATTAAAATCGTTGCCTCCTTGTTTTCTCTAGCTAGCAAAATATGTATTTAATTGTGTTTGTTATTTTAATTTGTTACTTGTAATCGCTTCATGCAGCTTGTACTGTATCTAGTTAACTCGTTATATTCTCATATCGCGTCTAAAACCTGGTTGAAAAATTAACGCGATTTAAATGCGTTCGTAAAACTAACGATCCATAAAC